TGATGTACTTGTATACAAAGTTATAAAATGAGAAATATATACATGATTTAAAAAAAAAAAAAAAAAAAAGTTATTTACAAAACTTTAAACAAACTTCTCTAAGATACTAAAACAAAAACGTCGATTATTACTACATGTTGCAACAATATCCGGGAGTGGCTTCATTTGTTAAAATAGACAGCCCTCTTTCTAGAGAAGACTATCGTCAGTAATACACACAACATAATCATAAAATCATGCTTGATGATACCAATCAGTGTTGATACAAAATATTGATTATGCTACCAAATTTGATCTTTCAAGGCAAAAATATTCGATGTTTGACTAAGTTAAAGTTTTGTTTAAAGCTTGGATGAAAACCAACAAACTGTAAATTGAATGAATTATTTATTAACATTGGCTTGTTAAACCCATTAACATGGCAGGCTGCATTTTTACGGCCGCTGTTTATTAGGATGAACTATGCTCAATAAAACTTTGTTGTACTTTAGTAGAGAAATAAATTTTCTACATACATTCAAGTAATGTTAAATTTTTTGGACCACCCTGTAGTAGTGAGAACATGCAGACTTGCCAACCTAAAATGAAAAATATGCGGGAGGTTTTAAGAAAATTGCGGTACTTTTACGGGAGATTTTTCCAAAATTCGGTAGTTTTTATGGGAGTTTTTTTTAAATATGGAAGTTTTTGCGATAGATTTTTTACAATAAAAACGGTAGTTTTTACGGTAGATTTGAAATAAAACGTTAGTTTTTACGGAAGATTTTGCGGATTATCTCCAGTTTTTTTTTAAAAAAAGCAATAGACTTTTTTGTGAAAAATTTTATAAAATGTGGTAGTTTTTGTCGGAGACATTTGAAAAACTGTAGTTTTGTGGGATTTTTTTAAAAGTTTTAGCGGGGGATTTTTGAAATAACGGGAGTTTTTGCGGTAGGCTATTGAAAAGACGGGAGTTTTTGCGGGAAATTTTTGGAAAAACTGGAGTTTGATGCAAATATTCTGATTCTAAATGAGGCATCTGTTTATACCCGCCATTGCTGAGCTTTTGCGACTTCCAATGTGTTATAACACAAGTTGGAGCAACTAAAACCTTGTGAAACCTCATTTTTGTGTAAGAACTATCAAATTGTCCATGTGTACTATTGAACCGCCACAAAAAAATTCAACAGATAAAATGTATTTTGTCACATTATGAAATGATTTATACCTCAAAATGTCAATATTTTTAGTATACAATGTTTTTGTGTAAAAAGGAGCAGATTGTAAGAAACTGATTAAACATACGTAAAATGTGTATGAGGCGTCCTACCATCGATCACACCAAACCAACGTCGCCGATTTAAACGTGAATCTTTAACATTAATAATCACGGGGTACCATCGAATAATTTTGGCAACGTACCGGAGAACGACATTTTACTAAGAAATGGCAATAATTTAGCACAATATATTTTTTAACTAGAGTTCTATTTTGATTTTGACAAAAGTAAGTATTCCATGCAATAACTATTTCATTCATGAGTTTGTAGGAATTCTGTTGGAACCCAGTTCTGATCAAGTACGAAGTTATTGAAATCGGCGCAGACGGACTTTACTCCGAAAGATGGTTTTTCGATTACAACTTTTTACAACATTTAAGTATAGACTTTTGAAAAAAGTACAGAATAGTCCTTATACTTTTGAATAATTCTGTTATTTCTGATTCACACGACTCTGATTTGTTTAATTAAAAAAAAAGTTTTAAAAATATTACTTAGGAACGTAACCGGAGCTGGGAACGTAACCGGAGCAGATCAGTTGAATTATATAATTTAAAAAAATAAAATATATGATTTAAAGCATATATATTATTTACAAACACATATGTCAACTTACTTGGTGTGATAGAATTATAGAACACTGTCTATTAACGACTGAAAAGCAATGATCTGTAGTTTAACTAGAAAAAATCATTCGCTTTCTTACTTGCTTAATGACCCACGCCTAAGTTTATCGAAACAAAGATGGATAACAACTGGTTTTGCATAAAACAATAAACGGGCACTCACTCAAACATCTTACGTTTATATGGAGGGGGGGGGGTTGTTGATTCGATTTGGTCGAGCACATGACAAGTACTTAACACACCTACGCTATATACAGTTCGTTGTATCCTAACTTTTTTTTAATAATCTAGCATTTAAATGCTTTTATTTCACCTGAAAAAGAGAAGTTGTCTTAGAAGTATAATACATGTATGTATAAACAGTGTATACAGGGTGTCCCGAAAGTATGGCCCCCCCCCTAGGCAGACATATTCCAGTGTCTTCATAGTATGTGTCATATATCATTTTAAAGCTTATCCAAAGTTACATTGATTTGTCAAGTATCATGGTTTAACTCCCAAATGGGAAAAAGTTACAGGCATTTCAAAATTTAGTGTTTGGTCAAAATTAAGTTCAATTTTACACCAAATCACTCGTCAATGTGTCCTCCCGGGCCATCTTAACAGCAGCAATTATTCGGGTCGGATGCATATTGAGTTGGAAAAAGAGAACGGTGGGGGTAGAAACTCTAAGGAAACTCTTCTAAAAGTCCCTTAACCCTAGAAGCCCTAAGGGGGGGTCAAAATGACCCCCCCTGTTAAGTTTTTCCCCCATAACTTTTGATTTCCATCTGGTAGGGTCTTCAAATTTTCAGTAGCTGAAGCTACAGATATAACAAATATTTTCTGAAAAAATCAGCAAAATTGCACATAGGGTAAATGATTTATTATGATGTAATCATCAGCTGCAATAGACAAAATCGGAAAAAGCTAGCACTATTTCTACCATACGTGTTATATTTAGAATAAGATTACACAATCTTCCATCATCATAGTTGTTAAAGTAATTACACCAAGTTGTAGATAATTGAATGAAGTATATTTTGGGAAAGTTTGAACATCCTAGCATTACTAATTTGTTATTAATCTATTATGATGTAATCATCAGCTCCAATTGACAAAATCAGAAAAAAGCTAGCGCTAATTCTACCATACGTGTTGTCTTAAGAATAAAATTACGCAATCTTACATCATCGTAGTTGTTAAAGTTTTTACAACAAGTTGTAGATAATTGAATGAAGTATATGTGGAAAAAATTTGAACATCCTAGCTCTTCTAATAAAAAATTTACAAGGGGGGTGCCCTTTTGACCCCCCCTTAGGTGTTCGTGTGACTATTTTTACCTTAGGGCTTCTAGGGTTAACAGGTTTTAATAGGGTTATAAAATTCCACACCCCTATTTTAAGGGCTTTTAAGGTCATATCTGAAAATAATTGCTGCTGTTAACATGGCCAAGGGGAGACACATTGACTAGTAATGTGACGTAAAATTGAACTTTATTTTGACAAAACACTTACTTTTAAAATGACTATAACTTTTTCCCATTTGAGAGTTAAACCATGATACTTGACAAATCAATGTAACTTTGGATAAGCTTTAAAATGATATATGACACATACTATGAGGACACTGGAATATGTCTGCCTAGGGGGGGGGGCATACTTTCGGGACACCCTGTATATACGAAATTAGTATAACAGAGTGGGTTCTAATAGTTCGCTGAACAAATACAATGGGTGAAATCAAATGGAATTATTTGCTTACTACATTTAATCACTTCATTCTCCATACAATGATTGTTCTATGTTTGATAGCCTTTCTAAGGTAAGTGCACTTAATTATGCATGGTAAATACCAAATTTAATTTTTCACAATGGATAAATTTTTTTCTTTAAATAAAATGTAATAAATACGCATTCGAACAATCCCGTATGTTTTTAAATTAGTATATGTGCTTTAAATCATATATTTTAATTTTTTTGATTAAATAGTTCAACTGATCTGCTCCGGTTACGTTCCCAGCTCCGGTTACGTTCCTAAGTAGTATTTTTAAAACTTTTTTTTAAATTAAACAAATCAGAGTCGTGTGAATCAGAAATAACAGGATTATTCAAAAGTATAAGGACTATTCTGTACTTTTTTCAAAAGTCTATACTTAAATGTTGTGAAAAGTTATAATCGAAAAACCATCTTTCGGAGTAAAGTCAGTCTGCGCCGATTTCAATAACTTCGTACTTGATCAGAACTGGGTTCCAACAGAATTCCTACAAACTCATGAATGAAATAGTTATTGCATGGAATACTTACTTTTGTCAAAATCAAAATAGAACTCTAGTTAAAAAATATATTGTGCTAAATTATTGCCATTTCTTAGTAAAATGTCGTTCTCCGGTACGTTGCCAAAATTATTCGATGGTACCCCGTGATAATGGTTTAGTTAAATGCAATCGGAAAACAAAACAATGACAAAAATTATTGATTAATAAGGCTGGTGATTGAATTGCTTATACATGTATACATGAATGGTGGCCCAGAACTAATATTATGTTTGCTCAGTTTTTACATTACAAACGATTTATACATTTTCCTGGCCGCGAAACTGAAAGTAAAAGAAAGAAGTGCGACTCCGATTATAGGTAACAGACTTGTCATATATTCCTCTAAAAATACGGTAGATTTCAGCAAAAATACGGGAGATTTTACGGGAGATATCAGCAAAAATACCGGTAAATTTCAGCAGAAACACGGAAGATTTTACGAAAAACAATTACGGGAGTTTTTAAGAGAAATATGGTACGGGAGTTTACTGGAGAAAACGGTACATGAGTTGTTATTTTTACGGAAAACAAAAATTTTACGGGAGATTCCAGTAAAAAACGGGAGGTTGGCAGGTCTTACATGTGATGTCAAAACTTCAATTTAAAGCAGGCCCGAGGAAGTCTCCATTAGGTCAACTAGTTGTTTAGCATAGTAAATGACTTTAAGTGACATAACCTTTTTTATTTTAACTAAAACTGACAAAGTAAGAAATGACAAAATGAAAGTTAAAAACCTGAAAAGGCAAACGAGGTTTGTCTTGGGATTTTGGGAAATTATTAAAACGATAAATGAAAATAATTCACATAATTTTCGTAAAGGTCTCCTGTGGCTTTCAAGATGGCTGTAAAGAGGTCCAGCTAATAAGTTATGATGTCACAGAGTTTGATAGCAGAGGTGGTGGCGCCACTATAGCTAGGACTGTCGAACCAGATGATAAAAAAACGTATAGGATCAAGAGTGGAAGTGAGGTCCGCATAAGGTAATGAATACTTAGCCTCAAACTTATCGTTCTATTATTAAAAAATATTTGTGTATGGCGTAAAAGTACATAGACCCAGTGAGGTGATGGCGGTGGTTAATAGAGTTGTTAATGTTGTCAAAGAAACGATCTGATATCCCAAGCTTTGAAATTTAGTCGGGAGTCAATCTTTAGAGTTGGCAATTGGCGAATAAAGATCACAATCAGCGCCAAGAAAATTACATAATTCGGGCTTTGTATAAAAAACCTCCTACCTCATACCCACCTACCCACGTACGTGGAACATGATACAGTCATTGAAGGGTTCAATTTTAAAGATTATTAAATCTCAAAATAGCTCAAATTGTTGACATTCCTACAATTCCGGCTTTATTTTATGACTAGACAGATGACAGATCCATAAATAAAGGCATATGGATGCATTTTAATGTGTAATGACCCGAGGGCACCCCAGGGGAATAAATAATTTACGACCGCGAGCATAGGTAACAAGCCAGCTAAAGAAATTGAAAGAAAGTGTGCTAAATTCGATGCCCCGAGTGGGAATCCAACCCAGCTGGGATGTAGTAGCAACTTGCTATCAAGAGTCGTTACAAATGCATCTATAATTCATCATAAACTAAGATTAATAAACCAAGATCTTTAAAATTGAACCCTTCAAAGACTGTATCATGTCCCACGTACGTGGGTAGGTGGGTATGAGGTAGGAGTTTTTTTTATACAAAGCCCATAATTCGGGAGACTTACCTGATGAAATTAAAAAAGCCAATATGTCCAAAAGAGGCAAAGCAAGAGCCGGGGTGTAAATGAATGAGGACGGATGCACGTGATGGGGATGGCTAACTTGTGTACGGTGTTGGAGTATGACATACCAAGAAATATCAAGAATCTCACACAATCCAGGGGGTCAAAAACTTCGTCTCGTTCCAATACGGATTTTCTCGAGCAGAATATATCCTATATTGCACTTCAAATCATTCAATAACTTATAGTATTGCAGAAATGTGTTCTAATTGCATCGTCGCTTTCCACTGGGTCTAGGTAGGAACAATCGAAACCTTGTGAATCAAGATTCTACTATATAAAAATTAGCTAATATCAATACACTCACAGAAACTAAAGAATTGCAAGTTAAGGTAACTTCTCTGCCATACAGAGAAGAGAGTTTAACTCCAATCATACATATGTGATATTTCCACATTAAATGTTGATCAATGATTGAGCCTTAAAATTCTGTCACAGTAACATTTGCTATTTTTGATCATTGATAAGAATTTGTATGTCATTACCATTGTAAATTTTCTTTTTTGAAGAAGAATTATTATGTATTTCGTCTTTTCAACATTAAGTGAAAGTTTATTTGTTTCAAGCCACGGTATTCTTGATTCAGAGTAGTTAACTAGGGACCAATCCTAAGGCTGGCCCTGGCCCTCTAATACCGTAAAATTCAAGCTTTTGTAATCGTACGAGGGTTGTATTATGGTGGATCGTATCAAAGGCCACAAATTGTAAAACAGCCATGTATGTTGACCTTCTTTCTCTAAACCAAAATTGGTTTATAGACAACATTTTAAAAGTAATCTAAACCAACTGCTCATTCTATTATACATTAATTTTTCCAAACCCCTTGAGAATACTGGAAGAACTCAAATTGGATTAATCGGTTCTTTTTTATAAATTGGAGTTACTTTTACTATTTTTAATTTATCTGAAAAAATTCCCTTTGCTTGAAGGTTGAGAATTAAGTTTCTTCATGAGGTCAAAATTAAAATTTCATTTGTTTTAGGTATTTTTGAGGCTAGTTTTCATCCGATGTTAGAGAAACATATATTGAACTGGTTAGCAATCTCCTGGCTGTCTGTAATTTCTATTTATTTATGTGTTGTTCCCAACTACCGACACCATTACCTCTATAGCCCCCTCTATATTTGCAGGTGTTTGTTGGACATCTCAGTTGATGCGAGGAAAAATGTGCAGAACCAATGGAGAAGAGGATACACCACAGTGCTCTCTGACAACGACTTTGAGATGAAAGAAATACCATTCATGGAGACGACAACAATGTACAGTCTGCGTATAGATGGAGTCTCGTCTAAACTTGGAGGAGTGTATCGTTTCCTATCATGGAATGATTACTTATGCAACAGTATTGTTTCTGTCTACATTAACTTGGAAATTTACTAGACTGATGACCAGGGCAGTAGGGAGGTATTCCCAAGCAACTGATTTACACCCTCATACATATAGCCGGCCACTACTTTATACCATTTACCCGGGCATTTACCTCAAGGAAATAATATGGCCATACAGTAACATTTCTTTACATGGAGACATTTTCTTAAATGACGGTTTTTTATTTGTTTAATTTTTTACGTGCCTGCTTTATAGAATGCAGAGTTTAGCAAAATGAATATTTCTAGCAATATCAATTCTTTAGGACCTCCCCACTACCCGACTACTAGCTGATCAACATAATCAGTAAATGTACATCCCCCTAATCTAGTTTGACAACAAGAAAGTCCCTCTTTGTACCACATATTCACATTGTAATGGATAATAACAACATTAACACTGAGCGGTCTTCAACATGAGCATGATATCTGGCGACCTGAGGACTTGGGGACTTTTGATTATCAGAAATTATGAGAGGGTAGTAAAATTGTAAATTAAATCTTGCTTCGTCGAAATAAAAGTTTTTAATTTATGAATAACTCATGAAGCTTGTCAAACTCATCAAGTTGTGTTTTCACTTGAAGGACGATTTGATACTGTAGTGTATTTTGATTATTTTTAAAACAATATTCACATGTTTCAACTAATTTGCTTTTGCAAGTATCAGATACAAGTAAACTTTGATAAATCAGAATTCTGAATAATACTATTGGTTTCCACCCAACTCAATATACGTCCTACAGTTATCAAGGCTATTCAATTTGCAAGTATTTAAATGACACATTGTACTTTTTTACTCACTGCCAATGAATTGATGATTTAACAAGACAGCAGCAACACCAAATCGTAGAAAACACCCATCTAACACTCATGGCTGGCATTCTTAAAAACGAAGTAATTACAGCAAAAATCATAAAATAACACACAAAGATGTCCACCATTTTCAAAATGGTAACTCACTATAGCCAAATTGTCATCAGAAAGTGTAATATGCTTCTAAGTAGGCACATATAAAATTTCAACAAAATCGCACACATGTACATGTGGCGACCATTTTTCAAAATGGCCACTGGCCAAAATGCCATAAGCCAGTGTGCCAATTAACAGACATAAAAAAATGGTGGCCATTTGAACAAAATTACTCCACAACTTTTGAAGTTATAGTAAAAGATGGTAAAATGGCGGCAATTTTTCAAAACGACAGCCTTCTACCAAAAGTGTCATTAGACAATGTGCCATGCTTATAGTATTCACATACCAAATATGAACAAAAATCTCTCCACTACTTTTCGCGTCATAGTAAAAAAATTTAAAATGGCAGCCATTTTTCAAAAGGACTGCCTTCTACCAAAAGTGTCATTAGACAGTGTGTCATGCTTATTACTCGGGGTGGAAGGTGTGAGAATTGTGCAAAAAATGACTTTGTGAGCTGGATGGAGTTTCCCTGTATTTTTCACTCTATTAGGGTTTCCTGCATAAGGGATTTCGCCTGCGAAGCATATAACTCTTGCGAACATATCCAAATATTGGTCTGAAGAAGACATACCTTGAATTTTTTAGAAAAAAATTGGCTAAAAATGGAAACTACAAAAAGTCAAAATGTTCAACTCAAACAAAACTCTAGCTATTTAATATTAACACTATGTATTATTTAATGTTTTTCAGATGTTTAAGGACCTTCATTAGTGTACTAGTGTCTAGAAATAAGATAATTAAGGACAACATTTGGCATTTTTGATCATTTTCGCTTTCAGCAGTAACATATAGTTCCTTATATCTTGAGTTTAATGTTGACTGGTTGTTGCAATTTTGATCAAATCTGTTCTTGTACATGTCTTCTTCCATTTAAGATACAAAAAATGTATATTGGACCACCAATGGTCATATTAGAGCTTTCAGATCTCCCCTACCCCATTTATTATGAAAAATTACTGAAACATATGAAAATGTAAAATAACTTGAATTTATAAACTTTAACAATGTTGTAGCTATTCTATATCAACATTATGTATTAATTTATGTTTTTCAGATATTTCAGAACCTTTATTGATATACTAGTGCCTAGAAATGAGACATTTAAGGACAAAACTTAGCATTTTTTAAAATCATTTTAGCTTTCAGCAGTAATATATAGTTCCTCATATATTGAGTTTTATGTTTACTGGTTGTTGCAATTTTAATCAAATCTGTTCTTGTAGATGTCTTCTTCCATTTAAGGTATAGAAAATGTATAGTGGACCACCAATGGTCACATTAGAGCTTTCAGATCTCCCCTACCCCATTTATAATGAAAAATTATAAGAAAAATATGAAAATATAAAATAACTGGAAACTACAAACTTTAATAAAGTTGTAGCTATTCTATATCAATATTATCTGTTATTTAATGTTTTTAAGATATTTCAGAACCTTTATTGGTAAACTAGTGCCCAGAAATGAGACATTTAAGGACAAAACATGGCTTTTTTTACCATTTTCGCTTTCAGCAATAACATATAGGTCCTTATATCTTGAGTTTAATGCTGACTGGTTGGTGCATTTTTAGTCAAATTTGTTCATGTAGATGTCTTCTTTCATTTAAGATATAAAAAATGTATAGTGGAAGACCAATGTTCATATTAGAGCTTTCAGATCTCCCCTACCCCATTTATTAGAAAAATGACCGGAAAATATTAATAAAAAGTAAAATAACTTCAAATTATGAACTTTTACAAAGTTGTATCTATTCCATGTCAATACTATGCATCATTTAATCTTTTTCTGATGTTTCAGGACTCTCATTAATATTCTAATGCCTAGAAATGAGATATTTAAGGACAAAACTTGGCTTTTTTTCGTTTTCACTTTCAGCAATAACGTATAGGTCCCTATATCTTGAGTTTTATGCAGACTGGTTGGTGCATTCTTGGTCAGATCTGTTCTTGTACATGTCTTCTTCCATTTAGGATATAAAAAATGTATATTGGACAACCAATGTTGATATTAGAGCTTTCATGTCTCCCCTGCCCCATTTATAATGTAAATGAAAAAGTAATTTCAAATCATAAACTTTAACAAAATTGTAGCTATTCTCTATCAATATTATTTAATGTAACCTTCATTTGATTACATGTGTCTAAAATTTGGCATTTTTAACATTCTGCATTTAGCAGTAGCATATAATTTTCCACAATTATAATTCTTTGATGATAGATGCATATATGTTTTTATTGAATCTGTCTTCTTTGATTTAAGTTAAAGAAAATGTATGAAAGACAGCGAATGTTTTTATTAGAGGTCTAAGATCTGCCCTCCAACATTTAATAAGAAAACCAACACAAATGTTGTTATTGCAAGTTAATATTCTTAAACTTTTCAAAAGTTTAGCACATTTATTGGCACACTAAAATCAAAAAATGACACATAAATGGGCAAAATGACCTATTTTTTACTTTCAGCACTAGTTGTTTATATTTTTAGTTGAATGGTGATTGACATATTTTAGATCATATATATTCAATTATGTGTCTTGTTATCTTCAAAGCATGGAAAATGTGTTTTAAACACAAATATACATATTAGAGATACAATTACTACACTACCATATTTTTAAAAGATTACTCAAAAATAGAATAGTGCGAAATAATTTTGTAATTTCACAGTTTACTCTCATGAATCAAAGGATATGTCTATATATAAACATGATTGTTAAAAACTCTCGAACTTAATCCAGCAACAGGCTGATTTTTCAAATCTCCCTGGTTCTATGTTAGAGCTGCATTTAAGTCATTTTAAAGGTCTAAGATGCTCATGACACCACAAGCTATATATTCAGATATGTAAGATCTCTTAATAATTTTTATAGTTCTGAGAAACTCATCCTAAAATATTGTCCAACGATGTGCTCTATGTTGTTTATTGCCACATGGACAAGTAGCAACACACCCTTGACTAGAAACTTTGTATTTGCAATTCGCTGCCTTTTGTCATTTTACATTTGCGAATTGCCAAGGACATATGTTTCTTGTGTTGCTACGAAGGTTTGTTTGTGAGTACTGGTACAAGACACCCATCTTTGATATATCTTCAAATAGGTATTGCACTTTGAGATTCATATAGTAATTTAGAATGCTACCTTGAAGGACATAAGAAACTTTAAGAGCTCTTTTTAACTCTCATCCTTCTTTGCAAGCAACATTCTGTATCATCAGACTGAATACAAATTCTCTCAACATTGAACTCCTTTGTCTTGTCTGCAGCACTGTAATAGACATGGACCATAAGGAGAGTGTCAACTTTTTTATGATCAGTATTTGATAGATTGTCTATAACTTGCAACTATCAGTTTTGCAAAGTTCAATAGCAGCTCAGACATAAGTGAAATTCATCCAATTTTAGAGGTCAGTAACATTGTATCACAACCCAAAGACAGCTTACCATTTTGTAATTCTTTCCAAAATCATCTTGTTGACTGTTCTTCATTTCACAATGTTTGCATTTACCAAAATATCCCCAAGCCCAATATCCTTCATGAACTTCCCACCCTTAGGTGTAATATGGAAATCACCAAGCCTTTGACAACATTGCAGTTGATACGAGGGAATTCAACCAATATGGCTTGATCACTGGTTATAATTATCACAGTACTATACCCCATTACTTTTAAATATATTCCAAGTGTTGTACTATACATTGCATAGATTCATGAGCAGTTTGCAAAGTATTATTACCAGAAAGCCCAATGGATACCCGCCCCATTGATACAGCTCAACTTTAAATGTCTAATTTTTAGACTTGTATACTCATGAAGTTCCTGACACATCTGAAAAATTTCAAATAATACATAGTATTGATCTAGAATATCGACAACTTTGTTAAAGTCTATACTTTGAAATTGTTTGGTTCTTATATTTCTGGTTATTTTTTCAGAATAAATGGGGTAGGGGAGATATGTAAGCTCTAATATAATGACATGAATGACAGGCTTTCCAATATACATTTTTAAATACCTTAAATCAAAGTAGGCAGGCAAAAGAACAGAATTGATCAAGAATCCATAAACCAATCAGCATAAAACTCAAGATATAAGGAACTATATATTATTGCTAAAAGTGGAAATGATGAAAAATTGATGAAAAATGCCAAATTGTGTTCTGAAATGTCTAATTTCTCGACACTAGTATACTACCCTGCGTGCAGAGTCTAGTTAAACTACACTCTGCCTAGTAGATACCATATTACAGTTTAGCAGCCCCGCCCCACGGCGGGTACCTGTAACAGTTTGGGTAATAAATCACTTTTGACCTACGCGCTGACCTTTCTTCCACCAATCAGCGAGCTTGAAGAAACATACGCCAAATGCGTTCTAATTAAATATGTGCATGTCATTGGTCAATTCCGGGCTCAACGATGACGTCAGAAAGAATGACCATATATAGAACGTCGGTCAAATTTGGCCGATGAACACTGATTGGCGTGGTGAGTTCATAGGTTTATTTTAGTTTGAAAGAGTGTAGACGAAGCTCTCTTTTAAGAAGTGAAGTCAAACGAATGCAAAGGGTACTAGTATACTAATGAAGGTCCTGAAACATTAATTATAGCAATCAATAACACATAAAGAATAGCTACATCTTTGTTAAAGTTTATACTGGTAGTTTGAAGTTATTTTTTATATTTTCCAGTCATCTTCCCTAATAAATGGGGTAGGGGAGATTTGAAAGCTCTAATATGAACATTGTTTGTCCACTATACATTTTCAATACCTTTAATGGAATAAGACATGTACAAGAACAGATTTAATCAAGAATGCATCAACCAGTCAGCATAAAACTCAAGATATGAGGATCTATATGTTACTGCTGAAAGCAGCATTGATTAAAAAATGCCAAGTTTTGTCCTTAAATGTCTCATTTCTAGCCACTTGAATACCAATAAAAGTTCTGAAAAATCTTAAAAACATTAAATAACACATAATATTGATATAGAATAGCTACAACTTTATGAAAGTCTATAATTTTAAGTTATTTTATTTTTTCATATTTCTCATTTATTTTCCATAATTGATGGGGTAGGGGAGATCTGAAAGCTCTAATATGAACATTGTTTGTCTACTATACATTTTCTATACCTTAAATGGAAGAAGACATGCACAAGAACAGATTTGATTGAAAATGCAACAATCAGACAGCATAAAACTCAAGATATGAGGAACTATATATTACTGCTGAAAGCGAAAATGATAAAAAATGCCAAGTTTTGTCCTTAAATGTCTCATTTCTAGCCACTTGAATACCAATAAAAGTTCTGAAAAATTTTAAAAACATTAAATAACATATAATATTGACCTAGAATAGCTACAACTTTGTTAAAGTTTATAATTTTAAGTTATTTTATTTTTTCATATTTTTCGGTAATTTTCCATAATAAATGGGGTAGGGGAGATCTGAAAGCTCTCATACGAACATTGGTTGTCCACTATACATTTTCTATACCTTAAATGGAAGAACACATGTACAAGCACAGATTTAATCAAAAATGCACCAACCAGTCAGCATTAAACTCGAGATATAAGGAACTATATGTTAATGCTGAAAGCGAAAATGATTAAAAATGCCAAATTTTGTCCTTAAATGTCACATTTCTAGACACAAGTATACTAATGAAGGTCTTGAAACATCTGAGAAACCTAACATAACACAAAATATTGATATAGAATAGCTACAACTTTGTTTGTGTTGAACATTTTGATTACATTTTTAGCCAATTTTTTCTAAAAAATTCAAGGTATGTCTTCTTCAGACCAGTATTTAGATATGTTCGCAAGAGTTATATGCTTCGCAGGCGAAATCCTTTATGCAGGACACCCTAATAGAATAAAAATACACAGAAATTCCATCCAGCTCATAAAGTCATTTTTTCCTTAACGGAGCCTCTTAGAAAATTTTCCACCCCGAGTATATAGTAATAACAAATATGAACAAAATCTCTCCACTACTCTTCGAGTTATAGTAAAAAATGTAAAAATGGCGGCCATTTTTCAAAATGTGTTCCTTCAACCAAAAGTGTCATTGGACAGTTTGCCATGCTTATACATAAATACCAAATATGAACAAAATCGCTCCACTTCTTTTCACGTTGCAACAAAAATCATAAAATAGCGTGTAAAGGCCGCCATTTTTCAAGATGGCTGCCATCTGCTTTTTTGATATTTACATTTCCAGCTTTATTAATGCCCTATATGATTTTTTACATTAAAAACATATTACTATTTGTTTTACATATTGTACCTAAATTACTGTAAAATCATCATTTGAAAATGGCAGCAATTAGATTTCTAGCAGACATTTTACTACCATAGTATATATGTGTACAAAATATGAACAAAATCAGGCCAACGGTATTTGAGTTATTGCCGGATGGATAGATGGACGAACGGACGGAAGGACAGCCGGATGGATGAAGGCGTTCCCTATATCCCTTCGAACTTTGTTCGATGGGATAACTACATACTGAACTCAATCCAGTAGCCTACAATTGGCAAGAAAGAAAAATAACTGAGATTGAAACACTCATAACAAATATCAAACACAGTACTGCAGTACTACAAACATTATACATTGTACAATGTGTAAAAGTTAAAAATGTTTAAGAATTCCAGTACTCTAACTATTTTAACCAATAATGTTCAACCAACTTTATCAGGATACACCTGATACTAAATACTCTTCAGAAAACTTTAAGCTAATTAAAATAACAAAATTTTAACAAAGGAATCTTGATTTGTTGCAAAAATACACTTCTGCTATTATGATGTTTTTCTGGAGAGTTTTTTGTAGAATCCATGCAATTCTGGATAATTCCACATAAAATAAATATTTAGAGATTCTCTATATTAATCAATCACTTTCTTGTGACATGCGCTGAGAGTAAATTTTGTTTTAGACAGTGGCATCCTGTTACTCCCCAAGTTCATATTTATACTCTAAATAGTCCATCATTAAATGTGGCAGTATTGGAGGTTGACAAGTGGACAGCTGAGAGAGTCTTTCTTTGAACTTCGTAGTTCCCAGGCTTCTTCTTATTTTGCACCTTGATAAATGTTTAAGACCCTTTGGAGACCCTGTAAATAAAATAAAATAAAAATTCTTTGATCACTGGTTTTGTCGGACATTCCCATTTGAACTCATGGTACCTTCCAAGTTCACCTTAAACATCTATGTTTGTAGCCTTCCTATCGACTCCAAGTAAGAATTTGGAGAGATATGTTTTAGAAGGAAATTTATTCTGGTTTAAATATGTGTCTTCTATTTGAGCATGTTACTTTGGTAAGGTTAAATGATGCCCAGCTCTCAGCTCTCCATAAAAACAAATTCATGAAATTGGTTTTACCATGTCATCAAATAGTTTAAGCCAGAGGCTTTACAATGTATGTTAATCAGTTGAAGTCATCTTTTGAGTTTAAAAATTGCCTCACTAGCTTTTTCATGAAGATAGGTGTGTCGAGCTGATCCAAAACTGCCTGATGCTCTGAATATAACACCAAGATACTTGTATTCTTGAACAAACCAGAAGTCTACCAAATGAGAAATAGTCAGTAGGAAGATGTACATTATTTTGAAATTGAATTATCTTCCTCTTATTTTATATTAATATTGAGTCTCCACTCGTCATAAGAATCTTTAAGTGAGTTCAGAGATCATTGTAATCCTTGCTTTGATGTTGAAAATATATCATCGGCCTACAAAAACATTTTAATATTTTCATTGTCTATAATTGGGCTATAGTCATTTAGTAATAAATCAAACAGATTGGATGACAATGTATCCCTTTTTTTACACAAACATTGGTCACTTTGAATATATATTTTACAGATTTACAACAGGGTGGCATGTTTTTTCAGATTTTCAAATCAGCTGGCATGTTTTTTCATATTTTCAAATCAGCTGGCATGTTTTTTCAGAATTTCAAATCAGCTGGCATGTTTTTTTCAGATTTTCAAATCAGCTGGCATGTTTTTTCAGATTTTCAAATCAGGTGGCATGTTGTTTTCTGATTTTCAATAGGTTTGCATATTATTTTCAGATTTTCAATCAGATGGAGTGCGCTGATGTTCTAATGCTGAATAGATCAAAGGAAAAAGAAAATGTTGCAGATAACCTACATAGACTCCTTGCTTTCCCAGATGTAGTCTCCCCTGTATGCTGATAACACCTGTGCCAGAATATCATCATTATTTCTCTCTCTCTACCTTGGCTATACTGGGGGTTCGGGGGCGTAACATTATGTTCCAAAAGTACTCTAACTGCAGTTAAATTCTTTACCATCAATGCTAACTTTAAAGCCATGGACATATTGTCAATTATTCTCACACTAGGGTGGTGTACTTCAACATCAGCTCCATATGTTATAAGAAGTTCCAGAATGTCTTTGCCAACATGCCGTATGATTGCAGCCAACAAGGGAGGCAGTTCAGTGTCTTTGGTAGAGTTAACGTGAGCTCCACTATCTAGTAGAATCTTTACCATATTTGGATATGCAGTAGATCCGTGGTAGTTACTCAATAATGTCCATGTAAGAAATGTAAATTCTGTGCAAGATTTTTGAAAGGGTCTTGTGAAAATACTATTCTCCAAACCATGATAGGTAACAGATTGGCTGTTAATGTCATAGCCTCTTTCAATGAGTTGTTTGAGGCAGTCCCCATTGTTCTGATCATTAATTGCAAACTTAAGGGGAGTCCCTACAGCACACTTGCAACAAAGGTCTATGTCTGTCACGTCACATAGCAGTCCTACACACCTGGAAAATAACATTAAGTTTGATGAGAAATTAATCAAAGATTAATTAATTGTTAGAACACAATTTTGATGGCCAATTTTGACAAATAGCAATCTTAGTTCATTATATATGCTAGCAGCTAACCCTACTATCACACCAAACTAGTTTTCTTGAAAACGGGCTTCAACTGTGTACGAACGGACTAGACGTAATTAGAACCGTTTGGGGTCTATTTACAAACTTCATCGAACATACTCGAACGGGTAGGTCCTCTAGAACTCAGAACATGCTCAAAATGTTCTCATGGTCGATACGTTCTACAATTAGAACGAGTGACAACGTACTAACGACGAGATGGACGTACTACGAACAGAACCGTCGTACTTCAATCCTACAAGGGACGTTTTAACAACGAGTTGAACTGTCTGAGGACGTATTGAGAACGAGGTAGAACTAATTGCAAACGGGTTTAAACTGATTAAGAACGTATTTAAGACTGCTTATGAATGAACGAGTTATCAAAAATATAGCTATCACACCAAACAAATTGCCACTGCGTTCTTCAAAACTGGTTTTAAACTGTGTGCGAACGGAATGAACGTAGCTGCAACTTTCTAAGGTCTATTTACGAACTTCATGACTTTCTCAGATGGGAAGGTGATTTTAGAATTTTGAATCGATTCAAAATTCGATGGTGACCATACCGTTCTGTAATCAGGTCATGATGACCTTCTAGACTAAGGGACGCGTTATACGACGTTGCACACCGACCTGGTGAGAACTGAACGAACTGCGAATGAGATGGACGTATTGAAGACTGTTTATGAACGAAGTAGCTAATTATTTTAGACATATTTCCCGACCACAGCCAGATTGAGCCCGTTTTACGACTTTTTAATAGGACTGGCAAGCACAGGTAAGAACTAGTTTGGTGTCAAAAACATTTTTCAAAAATCTTGCACAATTCATTATGAGAATACCATGGGCTTTCAACAGACAGTCTCTTGAAAGCCCATAGAAAATACAAATGTTTTATGAAATAGATATCAGTCAGAGTATAGAGCATGGAGGCTAGGCTAAGATAGATGAGTAGCTTCTCTATATACACTTTTAACTTTGCTCTATGGGATACTAAAACTTGAATTGTTATAGATGGTACAGGGTGTCCAAAATATAGGACCAAATAATAACTCCATCAATTTCACATATTCTGCCTTGACATTTCTGAATTAACTATACCGTTAAAAGATTTTTTGAAAATTCAAATGCGTGTATCAAATCCTTCAATATACATGCACATGTACTTATTGATAATCTCTTTATTGACCGAGTTATTCAACTTTTCTTCAGTCCTGTTTCTTGGACACCCTGGCCCTGTAGTATTAAACATGTAAAATATCTGCACAATATACTTTTAAATTTTCCTACTTACTCTTTATGAGCAAACTGTACAGCAGCATGGAGTGGCATGGCCTCACAATCTTTCTCAGATGTTTTAAAATGAGGATCAGCTCCCTCTTTTAGCAGGATCTGAACACAATCAGAATTTCCATTCTGGGCACTAAGGTACAACGGAGTAGCCCCATCTTCAGCCTGCTTGTCCACTAAATACCCCTGGCCTTGAAATGTATAAATATGCACATGTAATTTGAGTGTTGATTGTTGTAAGGCTAATTGATAATATGCACTTAGCTAACTCCTGGCCTTGAAATGTATAAACATGCACATGTAATTTGAGTGTTGATTATGTTGTAAGGCTAAATGATAATATGAACTTAGCTAACTCCTGGTCTCGAAATGTATAAATATGCACAAGTATTTTTAATGTTGATTATGTTGTAAGGCTAAATGATAATATGAACTTAGCTAACTCCTGGCCTTGAAATGTATAAATATGCACATGTATTTTGAATGTTGATTATGTTGTAAGGCTAAATGATAATATGAACTGAGCTAACTCCTGGCCTTGAAATGTATAAATATGCACATGTATTTTGAATGTTGATTATGTTGTAAGGCTAAATGATAAAATGAACTTAGCTAACTCCTGGCCTTGAAATGTATAAATATGCACATGTATTACATACCTAGCGAAGCATTTGTATGGAAGTCAATGGGAAAGTTAGCGAGCTATATCCACCGATATTGCCCGATTACCCCGATATAGCCCGCTTACCTCGTTTTGATATAAGATTTCTTTAATAACCATGATAATATCATGACGTCACGTAATTGATACAAAGTAACCATGGGAACAAAGGCATGTAATACATCAGTTATGTCACTATGACGTGAAATATGCCTTCCTTCTTGCCCAAATATAGAGCCTCCCAAGGTCGGCCTATATTGGGAGAACTCAGGCATATTTCACGTCATAGTGACATAACCTCTAAGTATTTTGAATGTTGATTATGTTGTAAGGCTAAATGATAATATGAACTTAGCTAACTCCTGGCCTTGAAATGTATAAATATGCATAACTATTTTGAATGTTGATTATGTTGTAAGGCTAAATGATAATATGAACTTAGCTAACTCCTGGTCTTGAAATGTATAAATATGCACAAGTATTTTTAATGTTGATTATGTTGTATAGGCTAAATGATAATATGGACTTAGAAATGTATAAATATGCACATGTATTTTGAATGTTGATTATGTTGTACAGGCTAAATGATAATATGGACTTAGAAATGTATAAATATGCACATGTATTTTGAATGTTGATTATGTTGTACAGGCTAAATGATAATATGGACTTAGAAATGTATAATATGCACATGTATTTTGAATGTTGATTTATGTTGTATAGGCTTAATGATAATATGAACTTAGCTAACTCCTGGTCTTGAAATGTATAAATATGCACAAGTATTTTTAATGTTGATTATGTTGTAAGGCTAAATGATAATATGGACTTAACTAACTCCTGGTCTTGAAATGTATTAATATGCACAAGTATTTTTAATGTTGATTATGTTGTAAGGCTAAATGATAATATGGACTTAGCTAACTCCTGGCCTTGAAATGTATAAATATGCACATGTATTACATACCTAGCGAAGCATTTGTATGGAAGTCAATGGGAAAGTTAGCGAGCTATATCCACCGATATTGCCCGATTACCCCGATATAGCCCGCTTACCTCGTTTTGATATTAGATTTCTTTAATAACCATGATAATATCATGACGTCACGTAATTGATACAAAGTACCCATGGGAACAAAGGCATGTAATACATCAGTTATGTCACTATGACGTGAAATATGCCTTCGTTCTTGCCCAAATATAGAGCCTCCCAAGGTCGGCCTATATTGGGAGAACTCAGGCATATTTCACGTCATAGTGACATAACCTCTAAGTATTTTGAATGTTGATTATGTTGTAAGGCTAAATGATAATATGAACTTAGCTAACTCCTGGCCTTGAAATGTATAAATATGCATAACTATTTTGAATGTTGATTATGTTGTAAGGCTAAATGATAATATGAACTTAGCTAACTCCTGGTCTTGAAATGTATAAATATGCACAAGTATTTTTAATGTTGATTATGTTGTATAGGCTAAATGATAATATGGACTTAGAAATGTATAAATATGCACATGTATTTTGAATGTTGATTATGTTGTACAGGCTAAATGATAATATGGACTTAGAAATGTATAAATATGCACATGTATTTTGAATGTTGATTTATGTTGTATAGGCTTAATGATAATATGAACTTAGCTAACTCCTGGTCTTGAAATGTATAAATATGCACAAGTATTTTTAATGTTGATTATGTTGTAAGGCTAAATGATAATATGGACTTAACTAACTCCTGGTCTTGAAATGTATAAATATGCACAAGTATTTTTAATGTTGATTATGTTGTAAGGCTAAATGATAATATGGACTTAGCTAACTCCTGGCCTTGAAATGTATAAATATGCATAACTATTTTGAATGTTGATTATGTTGTAAGGCTAAATGATAATATGAACTTAGCTAACTCCTGGTCTTGAAATGTTAATATGCACATGTATTTTGAATGTTGATTGTTGTATAGGCTAAATGATAATATGAACTTAGCTAACTCCTGGTCTTGAAATGTATAAATATGCACATGTATTTTTAATGTTGATTATGTTGTAAGGCTTAATGATAATATGAACTTAGCTAACTCCTGGTCTTGAAATGTATAAATATGCACAAGTATTTTTAATGTTGATTATGTCGTAAGGCTAAATGATAATATGGACTTAACTAACTCCTGGTCTTGAAATGTATAAATATGCACACGTATTTTTAATGTTGATTATGTTGTAAGGCTAAATGATAATATGAACTTAGCTAACTCCTGGTCTTGAAATGTATAAATATGCACATGTAATTTGAATGTTGATTATGTTGTAAGGCTAAATGATAATATGAACTTAGCTAACTCCTGGTCTTGAAATGTATAAATATGCACATGTATTTTTAATGTTGATTATGTTGTAAGGCTAAATGATAATAAGAACTTAGCTAACTCCTGGTCTTGAAATGTATAAATATGCACAAGTATTTTTAATGTTGATTATGTTGTAAGGCTAAATGATAATATGAACTTAGCTAACTCCTGGTCTTGAAATGTATAAATATGCACATGTATTTTTAATGTTGATTATGTTGTAAGGCTAAATGATAATATGAACTTAGCTAACTTCTGGTCTTGAAATGTATAAATATGCACATGTATTTTTAATGTTGATTATGTTGTAAGGCTAATTGATAATATTAGTGGATGAGCTCGGACCTCTTTTTTACTCACACTATTGCATTTTTGTAATTATGTTAATTATTTGTAGTTTATCATTTCTCATTGATTTTGAAAATAATAGGGTCTAGTTTTTCAGCCTCTTCGAATAATTGCCATTTATACCCTCCTTGCTACTTTTATGAGGGGGTAATACGATAAACATCAATAATTTGTGTTATATATCTCCAATCAAATTTATATTTCTGGGGAGTATGTATCTATATATAGAAAGTTCCCATGACAAGTTTGATCATGCTTGGTCAAGTGGTTGCCATGGCAACACAACTTGAGTGCGAAAAATTGTAAATATTTTGCATAAATCCACCAGTTCTTTAAAAGGTAAACGACTGCTAATCTCTTTGGATTGCACCAATCAGCATGAAGTTGACTCAAAAAACATATTTAAGGAGGTTTCAATGAAATAACATGATTAAAATGATTAATTGAATGATATCTATGACTCTAGTCCATAACTCTATTTGGTCACTATCATTCACATTGCTCAAAAGTGGGCGTGGCACTTTTAAGTAACTATCTTGAATAATTCATGTTATGTACCTCCAATCACATTCATACTTTCAGAGAGTATATATGTATATATAGTTAGTTGATATAGCAAGTCTGATCATGATTGGTGAAATGATTGCCATGGAAACACAACTTACTTATAAAGAAGTATAAACAATTGGATAAATCTACACATAGTTCCAGATTGTACCAATCAATAAAAAGTTTTTTTGAAAACATGTTATAGGAGTTGGTTTTAAGAAAACATGACTGAAATCATCTATTAGTCAATGATATCAACTCATGGTTAATTAATAAACAGAAACTACTCTGTGTTCTTATATTCACCCCGGAATAGCCTGACAACGGTAAAGTCAGATACCGTTGACACAAATGGCAGACATAACCGTCGCTTCAATTAGATTTTCATGAACTGTATGTTTAATAGAGCACCTAGACTAAATCCCTTTGGAACAACAATCAATCAAAGTGTCTTAATACTCATTGTACGGTTAATAATGTTCTACCATCGAACTAAAGTCTTTAATTTTACCGACCAAAATGAGATACGGGACAACGGACATTGTAATTATTACCAAATACCATTGTCTTTCTAAATTACTCAAATTCAGATTCCGTTGTCATTGACAATATCGAAGACGCTATATTGTGGCGATTCACGACCCAATTTGATGGAAAATGGGATTTCATATTATGCATTATCACAAGAGCTTAATGCATGCACAGAATTAGTGGCGATAAAATCCCATGAAATGAAAACCAAGTGATTAGACAGTTGAAGCGATGATTATGTCCGTCATTTGTGACAACGGTATCTGACTTTACCGTAGTCAGGCTATTCCGGTGTGATATTGACAGATCTTAACACATTCAGCCTTCTATAGCAATTGTACCTGTTTTGTGATAAATAAAAGAAATATCAAAAGGGAAATACAAGAGAAACTCGAGCAAAATGTCAAACTGATACTGCATCAACGTCTATATTGAATGCAGTCATTGAATAAGACTGGGCCCTGCATGCAAAAATAGGTGGACGTTGCATAGTTTCTGCAGAAGCAATGTACCATAATTCATGCAGAAAATATTACCTGGCCAGTAAACGCCAAACCACAAATACATGTAATAAAGTAATTGATTCATCATTCACATTTATTAGCAAATATATGCTGAAACGGTGTTGACTGGTGGTCCCATAATTGTTACATTAGACTCTCTTCACAATATGTTCCAAACACATATGAGTGAACATAATCCAACCAAACCTACACCAAAGTACAGAAGGTTAGATAACTTCAAAAGTGGACCTAGTATTTATTTTGGGGAATAATCTCAATTTCTATCGCCCAAAAGAATCTTCATTGAAAAATGAACTTGTATTTGGCAATTTAAGGGGCATCTCCGAAAAATCTATTGCAGAGGCTTTTCATAAGAATATCAATTCAGAACAAGATCTACTGACCAATGCTGGGTCGCATCTAAGACGCATCATATTAAATGCCAAAACAAAATACCCCTCATTTAATTGGCCCCCAAGAACATCAGAACTTGCAAATAGAATGTACAAATTCATACCAAATGTTCCTAAGGAATTTTTAATGAATCTCTTCCAGAGCAATGAGAACAAGATATTAAATGAGAAACAACAGCGGCTGCTGCATTCTATTGCACAAGAAATTTGTCTCGCAACTTCAAATGGATCATTCAGATTCATTTCAGATACCAAAACATTATTTACTAGCCCGGACACGACACCATCTCACAGGTATTGCCGACATTGTTACATTAATGAATCGTAATGGACATTGTCTGGCCTACACTGAGGTGATGCAAATCGAAACAGCAGGCTGTGAAGACATACAGAACAATGTTTCTAACTTACCCCACCATACTAATATGTACAGGGTGTCCCGAAAGTATGAGCCCGCTAGGCAGACGCGTACGTATACAATGTCTCCATGGTATGTGCCATATATCATTTTAAAGCTTATGCAAAGTTACATTGATTTGCCAAGTATCATGGTTCAACTCACAAATGGTAAAAAGTTACAGGCATTTCAAAACTTAATAATGTTTGGCCAAAAATATAGTTCATTTTAGTATCCTGGAAACAGCCCTGACCTGAATATGACCATTAATATGGGTGCTATTGACGAATATAGGATGGATATTGAGTTCTAAAAAGAGGACATTAAGGGTAGATACTCCAATGAAACTCTTCTAAAATGGCTTAACAAATTTTTTTGAGGATTACAAAATGCCACATCCCTATTTGAAGCGCGTTAACGGGTCATATATGAAAAACATTGCTGCTGTTAATATGGTCTAGGGAGACACAAATCAATGTATCTTTGGATGATCTTTAAAATGATATAGGACACATACTATGGAGACATTGGTATATGTCTGCAGAGTGGGGGCCCCGGTGGGGCATACTTTTTGGACACCCTGTAGTTAAGCTTATTAAATAAGGACATAATATGATGTATATCATAGAAATTAAAATAGTATTTTAAAGAAAAACAGTTAACAATACAGAAATTAATCTAAATGAACTATGTATATATCTATCTACCATCTCCACACAAGCCAAACAAGTATATTTACAAAGAACAATGCCATTCATTTGTGTTACCATAGCAACCAATTACCAATAATCATTTAAATCATGCTGTTTTATTGACCAAAAATGGTTTTGAACACAACTTTATTTTGATTGGTTTAAGAGATTAGCAGTTACTTGTTAATCTGAAATAGCTACAATTGTTTGCATGCACGTTTCCATGGCAACCATTTAACCAAACATGATCAGACTTGCTATATCAACTCACTATATGTATATCATAAAATTAATCATTTTAGTCACATTCTCTCATTCAAAACTCCTTCAATATGTTTTCAAAGTCAACTTCATGTTGATTGGTACAATCCGAAGAGATTAGCAGTCGTTTACCTTTTAAAGAACTTGTGGATTTATCCGAAATATTTACAATTTTTCGCACTGAAGTTGTGTTGCCATGGCAACCGCTTGACCAAGCATAATCAAACTTGTCATGGAAACTTGTAATATATAGATACATAATCCCTAGAAATATGAATTTGATTGGAGGTATATAACAGACATAATCCATGCTTTTCATAGTACCCCTTCATAAATATAGCCAGGAGGGTATAAATGGCAATTATTCGAAGAGGCTGAAAAACTAGACCCTATTATTTTCAAAATCAATGAGAAATGATATAATACACATAATTAACATAATTATAAAAATGCAATAACGTGAGTAAAAAATTGGTCCCAGCTCATCCACTATATGCACCTAGCTAACTGCTGGCCTTGAAATGTATAAACATGCACATGTATTTTGAATGTTGATTATGTTGTAAGGCTAATTGATAATATGCACCTAGCTAACTGCTGGCCTTGAAATGTATAAACATGCACATGTATTTTGAATGTTGATTGTTGTATAGGCTAAATGATAATATGCACTTAGCTAACTCCTGGACTTACCCTGCGTGCAGAGTCTAGATAAACTACACTCTGCCTAGTAGAGACCATATTACAGTTTAGTAGCCCTGCCCCCTCGACGGGTACCGGTGACAGTTTGGGTAATAAATCACTTTTGACCTACGCGCTGACCTTTCTTCCACCAATCAGCGAGCTTGAAGAAACATACGCCAAATGCTTTCTAATTAAATATGCGCATGTCATTGGTCAATTCCAGGCTCAACGATGACGTCGGAAGGAATGACCATATATAGAACGTCGGTCAAATTTGACCGACGAACACTGATTGGCGCGGGGAGTTCACAGGTTTATTTTAGTTTGAAAGAGTGAAGACGAAGCTCTCTTTTAAGAAGTAAAGTCAAACGAATGCAAATGGTATCCTGGACTTGAAATGTATAAACATGCACATGTATTTTGAATGTTGATTGTTGTATAGGCTAAATGATAATATGCACTTAGCTAACTCCTGGCCTTGAAATGTATAAACATGCACATGTATTTTGAATGTTGATTGTTGTATAGCCTAAATGATAATATGAACTTAGCTAACTCCTGGTCTTGAAATGTATAAACATGCACATGTATTTTGAATGTTGATTATGTTGTAAGGCTAAATGATAATATGCACTTAGCTAACTCCTGGTCTTGAAATGTATAATTATGCGCATGTATTTTGAATGTTGATTATGTTATATAGGCTAAATGATAATATGAACTTAGCTAACTCCTGGTATTGAAATGTATAAATATGCACAAGTATTTTTAATGTTGATTATGTTGTAAGGCTAAATGATAATATGGACTTAGCTAACTCCTGGTCTTGAAATGTATAAATATGCACAAGTATTTTTAATGTTGATTATGTTGTAAGGCTAAATGATAATATGCACTTAGCTAACTCCTGGTCTTGAAATGTATAATTATGCGCATGTATTTTGAATGTTGATTATGTTATATAGGCTAAATGATAATATGAACTTAGCTAACTCCTGGTATTGAAATGTATAAATATGCACAAGTATTTTTAATGTTGATTATGTTGTAAGGCTAAATGATAATATGAACTTAGCTAACTCCTGGTCTTTAAATGTATAAATATGCACATGTATTTTTAATGTTGATTATGTTGTAAGGCTAAATGATAATATGAACTTAGCTAACTCCTGGTCTTGAAATGTATAAATATGCACAAGTATTTTTAATGTTGATTATGTTGTAAGGCTAAATGATAATATGAACTTAGCTAACTCCTGGTCTTGAAATGTATAAATATGCACAAGTATTTTTAATGTTGATTATGTTGTAAGGCTAAATGATATTATGCACTAAGCTAACTCCTGGCCTTGAAATGTATAAATATGCACATGTTTTTTTAATGTTGATTATGTTGTAAGGCTAATTGATAATATGCACCTAGCTAACTGCTGGCCTTGAAATGTATAAATACAGTAAAACCTGTCTTAGTGAACACCTCTCTCTAGTGAACACCTGTCCCTAGTGGACACCCTTCCTATGCACATAGTCCACTGACTTCTGTATAAATTACCCTCTCTCTAGTGAACACTTACCTACAGTGAACGTTTTTTCTTGGCAAAAAAATGTTCACTATACACAAGTTTTACTGTATGCACATGTATTTTGAATGTTGATTATGTTGTAAGGCTAAATGATAATATGCACTTAGCTAACTCCTGGACTTGAAATGTATAATTATGCGCATGTATTTTGAGTGTTGATTATGTTGTATAGGCTAAATGATGATATGCTCTTAAAGGGTAACACATATATAGTTCTCTCAAAAGCGTTAGGTAAAGAGGGACTCTGATAAATCAGAATGGTAACAAATATCATTTAGCAAATCAAGCCCTTGTTTTTGGTTTTGCTCACTGTTTAGTATAAAATGTGTGATCTCGGAATAATACTCAAGGGTACACAGGCTGAAGTCACTGACTCATTCGTTTAAATAAATCAACATGCAAAAATACAAATTATACCTGCTGCCTTGGCACTTCCTATAAGGTAGCTTAGTACATGGGCGTGGCCAAACCTTGCAGATAGGAACAGGGGGGTCATGTTGAAGTCTGACACTGTGTCTTGTATTGCACCATATTCTAGCAGTAACTTTACAATACCTGAAATAATGAAGATAAACACATGGATGTGACTAAACCTTATGTTGAGCAGCCCTCAGTTTATTCGTTTACAATTCAAACATAAAATAAACCACTTTGTCTTTTTCTTATTATACAATTACCTTTATGCCCCTGCCCTGTAAACCTTCAATTTATCACACTCCCTTCAATTGCTAAAACACCTTCCATATGTCCCACTCACTTCCCGCCTTTTAATGTTCACATCTCCCACATTTTTGCCCTAATACCTTATACACTAACTACTATGGCAGCCACTTCATTTATGCTCAGAAAAATACGAGTTCCAATAAGATGAAAACTGATGTTTGCATGTTTGCTTCCTTGAATCAAATACTACCCAATTGTATGATTTGGTTATACATGTACATGTATTTGTTTTCAAATCATTGCCATTAGTGTCCTATGACTGAAACATGTTCTACATAATCAATTCATTCATGTAAGCTCCAGCCAGTTTATAGTAAATATTATTATATTGTGAGTGATATTTAAACCTGATGTTTGTTCTAATTACAGCATGAAAAAGTAAAAAAATTCTTTGTATGAGCTTTTCTAGCCCTTTGATGCATCATGACTCCAGCATCACTAAGCTTTTACATATTATATGTATATATTACAAGAATCTCTGATAAAACAATAAATTACTGAAAGACTGCCAAAATTTGAACTCAAATCAGTCCAAAAGCTTTTTCATGATTTTGCGTGATTTTTTTGACATTTATCATATACACAAAAATTGAGTGTGCGATTTAAATTTTTCAAGCAAATTCGTGACAAACACACGTAGTGTGTGAAGGTTAACAGGGCAAGATGCCTACTCAACATAAAACATGGGCTTTGTATAAAAACCTCATACCCACCTACCCACGTACGTTGGACATGATACATTCTTTGAAGGGTTCAATTTTAAAGATGTTTGTTTATTAAATCTTAGTTTATGATGAATTATAGATGCATTTGTAATGACCCTTGATAGCAAGTTGCTACTACAGCCCAGCTGGGTTCGATTCCCACTCGGGCATCGAATTTAGCACACTTTCTTTCAATTTCTTTTTCTGGCTTGTTGAACCTATGCTCGCGGTCGTTAGTTATAGTTATTTCCCTGGGGCGCCCTCAAGTCATTACACATTACAATACACCCATATGCCTTTATTTATGGATCTGTCATCCGTCTAGTCATTAAATAAAGCCGGAATTGTAGAAATGTTAATAATAAGAGCAATTTTGAGATTTAAAAATCTTTAAAATTGAACCCTTCAAGGACTGTATCATGTCCCACATAGGTGGGTAGGAGGGTATGAGGTAGGAGGTTTTTTATACAAAGCCTAAAACATGCTTCTACAGAACTGAATTAATTACTGAGATGCGAGTAGGTAGTTACCAGTTTCGCCACCAGGTGGCTAATTCGGGAGAAATAACATTGCGGTGTATTACAAAGTTCCCTTAAACTTGAATAATCATCAGTTTTAGTGGCTCACTTTTCATATTACCCTTACAGGTATGTATCTGATAGTTGTACAAATTAAAATATGTCCAGTAAAAGAAAATATTACCTGCCCAACACAAGAAAAGATATTTCAATTTTTCTGATTTTACGACATGGGGTCTATGGGGAATCTCCCGACCTTGAAATAACATTTTCAAAGAAAATTAAATTTTCAAACTTGATAAACTCTTTTCAAAACCACATTTCTAGATGTAATTTTACATGTTGATTCCAAATATGACATCAGTTTGACTGAATTTTGAATTAATGACGTAAATCAAGATTATTTCTACTCGCATCTTAGTTAGTCTATTTATATATTTCATAACATTTACCTAAATTGCCATTTGAGGCAGCTACATGTAGAGGGGCATCTCCAGTGTACTGCTTCTGGTCAGCATTCCCTCCATGCCTTAACAGCTTCTCAACCATATTCATACTGCCTTGCAGTACAGCTAAAACATCACATAACAAAATATGCCAGTCCCATAGCCATGGATTTATTTAGGTTTCTTTTATTTATTTATATAAAACATAATAACATTTGTACATATTCATCGCCAAAAATTATTTAAAGTTGTCAAAAAGTGAACCCCTTGGAATTTCTTAAAAAGTGAACCCCCTTGTAAAATCCTGGATACTGGCCTGGGTAACAATATGCTATAAAATAAATATCAGCTATGTATACTGTAAAGGCAGATGACAAAGCAGATGCCTAAATAGTTTCTGACAGGGACCTTAAACCCACTCACACATTAATGCTTTGTCCTGGTAGAGAAGGACTCTTGAATTCTATTGAGAATCTACCCCCCCTTGCCAGGTCACATACATATACACACTTCAGACCATATTATGTAAATCCTCATTGACTGACCATTATCTTACACATACACACCTCAGACCTTGTTTTGTAAATTCTCATTGACTGACCCTTACCTTACACATACAAACTTCAGACCTTATTTTGTAAATTCTCATCGACTGACCATTACCTTACATAACCTTCAGACCTTATTTCTTAAATTCTCATTGACTGACCCTTACCTTACACATGCAAACCTCAGACCTCATTGTGTAAATTCTCATCGACTGACCATTACCTTACATAACCTTCAGACCTTATTTCTTAAATTCTCATTGACTGACATTCAGACCTTATTTTGTAAATTCTCATTGACTGACCCATACCTTACACATACATAACTCAGACCTTGTTTTGTAAATTCTCATTGACTGACCCATACCTTACACATACATAACTCAGACCTTATTTTGTAAATTCTCATTGACTGACCCATACCTTACACATACATACCTCAGACCTTATTTTGTAAATTCTCATTGACTGACCCATACCTTACACATACATAACTCAGACCTTATTTTGTAAATTCTCATTGACTGACCCATACCTTACACATACATACCTCAGACCTTATTTTGTAAATCCTCATTGACTGACCCATACCTTACACATGATACATAACTCAGACCTTATTTTGTAAATTCTCATTGACCGACCCTTACCTTACACATACAATTTTCAGACGTTATTTTGTAAATTCTCATTCACTGACCCATACCTTACACATACAATTTTCAGACCTTATTTTGTAAATTCTCATTGACTGACCCATACCTTACACATACATACCTCAGACCTTATTTTGTAAATTCTCATTGACTGACCCATACCTTACACATACATACCTCAGACCTTATTATGTAAATTCTCATTCACTGACCCTTACCTTACACATACATAACTCAGACCTTATTATGTAAATTCTCATTCACTGACCCTTACCTTACACATACAAACTTCAGACCTTATTTTGTAAATTCTCATTGACTGACCCTTACCTTACACATACAAACTTCAGACCTTATTTTGTAAATTCTTATTTACTGACCCATACCTTACACATACATACCTCAGACCTTATTATGTAAATTCTCATTGACTGACCCTTACCTTACACATACACACCTCAGACCTTATTTTGTAAATTCTCATTGACTGACCCTCAAACAATATTTTGTAAATTCTCATTGACTGACCCATACCTTACACATACAATTTTCAGACGTTATTTTGTAAATTCTCATTGACTGACCATTACCTTACACATACACACCTCAGACCTTATTTTGTAAATTCTCATTGACTGACCCTCAAACAATATTTTGTTAATTCTCATTGACTGACCCTCAAACAATATTTTGTAAATTCTCATTGACTGACCCATACCTTACACATACAATTTTCAGACGTTATTTTGTAAATTCTCATTGACTGACCCTTACCTTACACATACACACCTCAGACCTTGTTTTGTAAATTCTCATTGACTGACCCATACCTTACACATACATAACTCAGACCTTATTATGTAAATTCTCATTGACTGACCCTTACCTTACACATACACACCTCAGACCTTATTATGTAAATTCTCATTGACTGACCCATACCTTACACATACATACCTCAGACCTTATTTTGTAAATCCTCATTGACTGACCATTATCTTACACATACAAACTTCAGACCTTATTTTGTAAATTCTCATTGACTGACCCATACCTTACACATACAAACTTCAGACCTTATTTTGTAAATTCTCATTGACTGACCCTTACCTTACACATACAAACTTCAGACCTTATTTTGTAAATTCTCATTGACTGACCCATACCTTACACATACAAACTTCAGACCTTATTTTGTAAATTCTCATTGACTGACCCATACCTTACACATACATACCTCAGACCTTATTTTGTAAATCCTCATTGACTGACCATTATCTTACACATACAAACTTCAGACCTTATTTTGTAAATTCTCATTGACTGACCCATACCTTACACATACAAACTTCAGACCTTATTTTGTAAATTCTCATTGACTGACCCTTACCTTACACATACAAACTTCAGACCTTATTTTGTAAATTCTCATTGACTGACCCATACCTTACACATACAAACTTCAGACCTTATTTTGTAAATTCTCATTGACTGACCCTTACCTTACACATACAAACTTCAGACCTTATTTTGTAAATTCTCATTGACTGACCCATACCTCACTTCTACAAACTTCAGACCTTGTTTTGTAAATTCTCATTAAATGACCCGTACCTTACACATACACACCTCAGATTTTACCTTGGTAAAGTGGTGACTCCTCCATGTGATTGAGAATATTAGGGTCAGCCTGGTGACTAAGAAGAACATTAACACAAGATTCATTGCACGCCTTTACCGCAACATATAATGGGGTCTCCTTCTGGAATCCCTCCCAGTTCACACAGCAATTTTCTGTAGAATAAAGCCATAATATTCTGTGTTATGTATATTTCAAGTGAAATCAAATGAATTAAACATAAAATATTTATTAACATAATAAGCCACTCTCCATCCCTCATTCTCTCTTTGATAGAAGATTTTAAAAAAATATATGGAGGGAGTTAATCATAGACTTAAATAATGAAAATACTTTGACAAATAAAGAAATTCAATGAAGAAATGCATGTTTAAATCTTTTGACCAGGACGTCGACTGTATCATCCTATCGGTATCGGTAAGTGGGGAACGTCGTCTTTTACACACATACTATTCTGAATAGTGTTCCATTGTATTCATAGATGTCAGGCTATGTCTAACCCTGTGGATCATATTTTATTTTACTAATAGTGGAGTCACAGGCTGGTATCGAAAGATTTGCCCACTTTGACGGAGCATGCTATTTTTCATAAAAACAATGCTTCACGATTTATTTTTTAACTCATATGTTTCGTTATATCAAAGATAATTACTTACTCTATGCAATGGATATATCATTTGCGTGTAACCTTCACTTCTGTTTGAAGTCCAATAACGCTAGGAGTAAAATCTATTGAAAACGGCGCCAGAGTATCAAACTCTAAAATGTACCATTTCTTTTTAAACTTTTTAATGGCATGATATAGTGACACGATAATATTAACATATGTTTTCAGCATAACTCTGAATGTATTAATGATATATTAATGCATTGGGTCTTTTTAATTTTTTTTATAAAAAATAATATTATATTTTTTGTCCGCTGTGACGGAGCATTTTCACAGTTCACATTTGCAACTGCTCCGTCACAACGGACAAAAAAATTAAATATTATTTTTTATAAAAGAATTAAAAACACCAAATACATCAACATCTCATTTATACCTTTATAGTTATGCTGAAACCATGTGTAAATATTATCGTGTCACTATATCGTGCCATTAGAAATGGTACATTTTGAAGTATGATACTCAGGCACCATTTTCAATAGCTTTTCTTCCCAGCGTAATTGGACTTCAAACCGCAAATGATATATCCATTGCATGGAGTAAGTAATTTTGTATGGTATAACGAAAGATATGAGTTAAAAAATAAATCGTGATGTATTCTTAGTGTTTTTATGAAAAATAGCATGCTCCGTCACAGCGGACAAATATTTCGATACCAGCCTGTGGGAGTAGTGAAAAAAACCAAAAAAACATTTATTCCTCAGAGATTTTACTGCATTTAATGATATAAATTCAATGTTATTGCAAAATTGCACCAGAATGTCTTCTTCAACCTCAACATCATTTAGGAGGCATTTTTTCACTTTAATTTTTATCATTTCTTATTTAATATAATTTATTTTATTCCTATTTTCCTACATTTATCTCTACAGCCAGTTAGCAGGCTATTGAAGCAACTGAAGATCAAAAGAGCAAAGACCAGAACATGTGTCTAGGAATGCAATTTGTCACAGATAAGGCCAGCACCATGATAAATTCTTAATTGGTTTATTAAACTGACCATGGTTTAACAACATTTGCAAGCACTCAGCCACGGATGTCAAGTACCTTCTGCGAAACTTCACTTGCTTTTTTAATAAGGGAGGATTGCAAACACGATCCAAGATGGCAGACTCTCGGGGGGCTACTTAGCTATCTACATAGAAAATAGTACCAAATCGTGGCAAATGTGCTTTGAACAGGTCAGATGAGAATTATGACAACGATTTGGCATATGGTCACGTGACCAATCTCGTGAGCATATCCTGCTATTTGATTGGTCATTGTGTAGACTGATGTGCATAAATCTGTTTACGTCATCCATCTGGCAGAACTCCGACTTAAACGATACAAGTTGACGAAAACAGTTAAATGAGGCGAAAAATAAATTTATACATTACAATTGCGGATGATGGGATGCTATGAGACTTTGGTAAATACAGCTGTTCGAGTTCAAGTCACCAAGATAAGCTAATTAAGGCAAGAATCCGAAAATTGAAAAAGGTAACTTTATTTTTTGAATTCTTGTGTCCAGTCCTGTTTATATACATATATTAAAGTTTGCAGAAAGTACTTGACGTCCATGCACTCAGTGTGGACACCAAAGGCAGTCTAATGTTAATTGTAATTTAGACTGACCCTGGTTTAGCAGCATTTGCAAGCACTCCGTGTGGCCACCAAAGGCAGCCTCGTGTTAATTGGTATATTAAACTGACCACGGTTTAGCAGCCACTCAGTGTGGACACCAAAGGCAGCCTTGTGTTAATTGGTATATTAAACTGACCATGGTTTAGCAGCGTTTGCAAGCACTCAGTATGGCCACCGAAGGCAGCCTCATGTTAATTGGTATATTAAACTGACCATGGTTTAGCAGCGTTTGCAAGCACTCAGTATGGCCACCGAAGGCAGCCTCGTGTTAATTGGTATATTAAACTGACCACGGTTTAGCAGCCACTCGGTGTGGACACCAAAGGCAGACTAACGTTAATTGGTATATTAAACTGACCATGGTTTAGCAGCATTTGCAAGCACTCAGTATGGCCACCGAAGGCAGCCTCGTGTTAATTGGTATATTAAACTGACCACGGTTTAGCAGCCACTCGGTGTGGACACCAAAGGCAGACTAACGTTAATTGGTATATTAAACTGACCATGGTTTAGCAGCATTTGCAAGCACTTAGTATGGCCACCAAAGGCAGCCTCGTGTTAATTGGTATATTAAACTGACCATGGTTTAGCAGCGTTTGCAAGCACTCAGTATGGCCACCAAAGGCAGCCTCGTGTTAATTGGTATATTAAACTGACCATGGTTTAGCAGCATTTGCAAGCACTCAGTATGGCCACCAAAGGCAGCCTCGTGTTAATTGGTATATTAAACTGACCACGGTTTAGCAGCCACTCGGTGTGGACACCAAAGGCAGACTAACGTTAATTGGTATATTAAACTGACCATGGTTTAGCAGCATTTGCAAGCACTCAGTATGGCCACCAAAGGCAGCCTCGTGTATGGGGTACCAGCCTCTGTTGTCTCTACAGTCTAAATCTGCTCCTGGAATATAAACCCCATGGCATAGGTAAGTCATTGGTTTATTTTTACTCCAGTATTCTTCATATTTGGCCTCAACCACCCAATCTACTAGTATGTTCAATAAGTTCTTTAAGGATGTCTCTGATAAGGTCCTTAACTTTCAGGAATTTAGACATGAAGTTTATAATTGCATGATATAAATGATATTTACTCTCATTTGTAGATTTTACAAGTTTGAAGTTGCTTTGTCCTAGAACCCAGGGCACTTCCATCACTATATATTTTGTATTTTCATTCAAAAATCAGTCTACAGATATTTACCATTGCATTTAATACCATTTTTCATACAATTTTTGCATATATATACATGTACCTACTGTTTGAAATGACAGTTATGCTAATTTATACTACTTCTACATCCCAACTTCACTTTTCCTGATTTTGATGAAATCTTAATCTTTTGATGACATCACAATCAACCTGTGATGATGTCATCCATATGAATGACATCTGACACCGACAAAATGGCAGAGAAAGTGCTTGATGATGTGTCAGTGGATCTAAAGCAAAGAATAGTCATTGAATTTTGTGTTAAGATTGGGAAAACACCAACTGAGACATACCATATGGTGAAAGGAGCTTATACAGAACATGCTTTTAGTGGCTGTGCACATGGCGGTGGATTAGTCACCATGAAAGATGCTTCAATGCCAAAGAAGACTACTTTGAGTGAACGATGTTAGCTTATACATCTTTGCACTCAAATAACATGGGATCAGGAAGTATATATAATATCAACAAGGCTTGATGAAGAAGGAACGATTTGACATCGGAAAACAGTTTTCTCTGAATTGAAGTGGTCTACCTCCTGGACATAGTGGTTGCTATGGCAATGAAACTGATTAGATTTTAAATATTTCCAATTATTTTATGATATTCTGAGAGTTGCCATGTAGCTCAATAAATGTGGAAATTTTCATCGAGATTGGGCATTGTTAACTTAGTTTTTTATGTCATTATTAGAACTTATTGAAATAACTTATGTATATTACTTTCATTTTGTGTAAAAATAAGCAAAATAATTTGATCAGTAACATATGTGTAGTTGTCTGGTTACCATAGATAGTAACATGACAACAGGGTGGAGCAAGAGTATGACACATTATATATAACTTTTATTGACATTTTGTATCATTACATGATTACATTAGTCACATTGTAGAGCTGGAAAAAGAGTGTTACAGGGTACAAAATTTCAAATGTGTCAGTCATGCCTGTTCATCAATTATTTTTTTCAATCTGACCATATTGTATTGTTAGTACTTAGTTATTTGTCAAATTAGTATCTTTTTCCCCTATATACCCCTTGATCAAACACATCCTTAAATTCCTAATCACCTGTCTCAGATATCCACTCAAGAACAGACTTCATTTTAAAGTTCAAAAATGTCCTGCCCTCGTAATTTGTCCTTCAGTTCACCATAAAGATAAAAGTCAGAGGGTGTATGGGTAAGCTTAGGCATGCACATATTCACATATTTTCATTGAAGTTTGAGTAAGTTTTGAGGTACAGAATAATATAACGCATTGTCGAAATGGAACTGGATTTTATGCTTATTGGACTGCTTTTGGCGAAAGGGATTCTTCAGGTCGATGACATCACAGTTGCTAACTATAGCATGTATGATACCACTATAGCATTGGTCTAATGAAACAATAATTGATTAACAGACATGACTGACACATTCGAAATAAATTTGGTACCCTGTAACAACCTGCAAGTGTCAAATTTTTTCCATCTCTACAATGCGTTGTTCTCTTGCTCCACATTACCTGCTATCATGTTGCTATGGTAACGAGATACTGTACCTATGTTACTTGTCAAATCTATTGTTTATTTTTACACAAAATGGAACAACATGTACTTTACAGTTATATATGTATATGGGGTGGTTGGGGCCAAATATGAACAATACTCATGAAGGATTAAGATTTTTAGGGCAAACAGTACAGAACTTTTGGATCAACCCTCGTACATAGGAATGTTTAACAAATGATGAATTTAGTCTTGCATTCCTCTCTTGATATTTCTATCCATAAGAAGAACATAGAGAAGAGGGCTTATAGACCGGAGGCAAGGTTGCAGGATTTGATATTTTTGAGAAGTTCAGACAATCAGACATGTAATTTGTGCATATAAACTATTTAACTACTGCTACACTTTTGCCACTTTTTACCCGACTTTCTTGTTAAAAACATATTTTATTAAAAACCTCATCATTTTGGACATGAGCAGAGGTCTTTTGCCCCTACACCCTTAGCCTATAAAATTTGGATACAATTTAAACTAAATCTGTTGACAGGTATTTTAGTTTTAATTATTTCAAGTACTTTAATGGCTTTCAGTTCTCCTTTTGGTGGGGCATCATGGCTTAAAGTGTAACACTTTGCTACAGACACCAATGATCATGCCAAAGCTCACACCAGTCACAAAAAACAGAGGCTACATTAATTTCAGATAATAGATGGTAGAAACATAAAAAAATAACTTAAGTTTTAACGTACCATTTTCCAACAAAGTTTTCAGTGACAAAATATCTCCTTCTCTTGCAGCTCTATTTACTGTCTTTTCCTCTAGTTCTTCATCCATCATTTATCTAGAACAGAGTGCAAAAGTTTGAGTGGTGTCATATGTAATAAACTATCATATTTTGTAAAAATCATGATCAAAGAGGTAGAAAGCAACTTTCTTTTACGCCCATTGAAATAATGTGAAATTGACAACGCTCAAAACTTTAATTTCTCAAATCCTAGCCCATTGAATCCTGGTATCCTTTCAGATCATGTAGTCCTTTTCAAAAAAACTTCTCATTCGGTTATATGGTGAGAAAAATATCCCGCAAACGAAAAAAGATTTTGCTACATTAGCAAGCATTGATTTTTGGGTCTGTAAATACATGTAGCATGTAGGACCTGATTATCCCATTGATTTACTGAGATCGCCAACAATATAATTCAATTTTTTGGTTCGAATTATAATCTGTCAGTGCTTCCTGAGGTTATAATGAAAACATGCGCTACGTGCTAATAGAAAATGATCCTTCCCCAACGATCTGTGGGCATGTTTTAAGCGCATGTTTATGATTGGTCTATATCCTTGGCCCAGGGACATGTATAATTAGGGTTATGATTCCCTGGGAACTTGTCAAAACATTGACACTTCAAAGGCTGTATAAAATCACCGCTAACCTGTCAATCAGACTTTGATGTGAACTTTGCGGCCGCACGAAATAAACAAAGCTCTTAAAAATTACACTTTTCAAATTACGATTTCTCTAAAAATATAAGACCAATTAAGATGTTCTTCACACCGTTAAAAAACAGAATTCAACTTTAATTTAGGAAATAATTCCAAAACTAAATGAACATGTACTTTTCTCTGTATTTGACCTGAAAGAACATGAGTAACTAAAAATTAATAATTATTTACGGCCAATTACCGGGCAATGATAAAACACGCTGGTCAGGTTTACATTACTTTTCAAATCGTCTCTATTCAAAACTTTAATTCCAATCTAGATCTACATGAAATAAAATGGAAATACAATAAGATGATTCTGTTCTTAACAATATTCCTGGTAAAATAGGTAATATAATTAACTGGGACTGACGTAATTTCAAACTTTTAAACCTAAAATCAAATTGAGAAAAACTAAAAGAAACATGAAAGGGGGGTTTATAGGGGTCTTTGAAATCCATATAGAAATTTTTCACCCCTCCTCTTATACCATTTACATTATTTTTCACCCCTTTTATAACATACAGTGTATGCAATATTTTTCACATCTCCCTATACTACCATATTTTACAAAAAGTTTGGATAATATTATTCAGAAGGAAATAACATAAGGCCATAAGACGTTCATTCTCTGTTTTGCGTCCCCTTGCTTGCACGATTTTGAGCAAATCAGAAAAAACAAACACATCCAAATAGCAATTACAAGGGTTTGGAAGTACCATCGCATTTCATTCAATCAGAATCGGACGAAATGGCAGATCATTTGATGTGCGTCAAAATTGACAGTGTTATTGATTACTTTAGCATACACTGTGTATTTTCTTATTTTGTACCCTTGAATAATAGCTATGCTTAAATGTATTGTATAGGATGTATAGATATGTGTTTGTAATCACTGCAAATTGGCATGTCATCCCTTTATATGCCCATAAACAAGTTTGTGTTTTTTCTTGAGTTTGTGTTTGTTTTCCTTGTACCCTTGCATAATTTGGATTTTGCCATGACGCAAAACAAATAACCTACTTCTTATGGCCTAATGCAAGAATCCACGTAGTTCCAAATGTATAATGATACGGCAAATAGGCTGTACACAGGCCCGTAGCCAGGGGGGTTCGGAGGGTTCCCGGTCAAAATTCTTTCAAAATAAGTGACTTTGGAATTTTTGAAAAAGTGCCCCCCCCCTTGGGAAATCATGGCTACGGGCCTGGCATATGGCATATAGAGACTACTATATAGAGACCTGGATTACCCCCATAAATGTGGGACTGATTTTTCAAATCACCCCCACAACTACTTGTGTATTGAAATCTTAGCAGTTATAAAAAAACATTGTTAGTACAGACTACAGTAGTTGACACAGAGCTGAATTTTATCTAAATAACCACTTACCCAGCTTATGTTCAACCCCAGTAATTGTGGAGGTGATTCAGAGAAAAATTAACCCCACATTTATGGGAGTAAGCTGGATCTGCTGCATTTGTTCAAACTGTACTTTAAATTTCACAATAGGCTTTGATTCTTTTAAAACATATACTGTATTTATTTAACTTATACGATACCATATACGATAAATGTTGCCCCCTCTTATGCATATACAATAAATCGTCACCCTCCTCTTTTACGATAACCCTATACACGCCCCCCCCCCCCTCATGAAAGCGAAAGAGTGTAACCGGGCACAAAAATGGAATGCGACGCCTGAATTATCCCACTGTTAAGACATGTGAGACTATAACTTCAAATACAAAGAGTAAAGATATATAAAACATTAAGGACTTGAAAAATTAAGAGGTAATATGCGACAAATATACATTATATTTTAAGTCATTAGTCAAGTTATTTCAGTCAGGACCCTGGCACAGATTTCGAAACGGAATTTTTTTTGCCGATGATCCTAAATAATGCAATGAAATAGTGAGCATATTCGCATATCTGCGACCATTCATCTTGTAAGTTGCTACTTTCTATCCTATCTTCCTTTAAAATCAGATAAAACACACTGACAAGCGATAATCTTTGAACAGTTAACGATCAAACATTGGGCTTCTTAATAACTTCTGTCTTCTGATACATGTACGCCACCTTATCTCTTCACTTACGCGATTTTATACATGTTCTCGGGCCTGTGGGAACGATCATTCTGAACATTGTGTTAGTGCGCTAGCGCGTGTTTTCATTATAACCGCTTCCTGACACTCCTTCTACATGTAGCTACGAAATTTACGTACGAAAATTTCCAATTAACATGCGTTACACATACGGAATTCGCGTGACAAATCCGAACAAACTGCGTTCGGTTTTTTCCGACGTTCTTATTTTTACCGTTACGTCAACATATTTTGAAAAAATTTCTACAGAAATATTTTTGCGTGACAATTACCAGGTAAAATGCGTATTTGCGTGACATTTTCTGTCACGCAAAAAAAACTGGCGTGACTTCAAATTCTTCAGCAAATGCGTGACAAATACGCAAATTGCGGGACAGTTGACAGGCCTGCATTTATGTGCCATACATCTACAAAGTAGCAAACTATACTTTAGTCTGTTGAAAGCCCATGGTACTACTTTTCAAAAAGGTTGTATTGACCCAGAGTCAAAGTGCTACAACTTCCTGTGTGTCTCACAGGAATTCGTCTAGAAGAAAAAAGAAGTCAATAGAGCAAGCCTTGACTCAATGAGCATATGATATAAAAGTAAACTTCCCTGTGGGGTGTCTTCTTTCTACAGTATACAATTGAGTGGGGCTGATCTTTGAACTATTGAACTCTTGTATCTGGGCCTGTGAGTATTGGAGAAAGATAGTGCTGACTCCGATGCTGACCAAACAACAGTCCACACAAATTTCAAAAAAATATTTTTTACCTTCGTCCACCATTTTGGGATTCCCTCTTCAATGTACCACGTGATCATTCCCAGGGTGCCTTTCAAAAAAGAAGGTCTTCTTCGTTCTAAAAAATATTTAGATTCAATACTCAATCCAAAACAACATAGCACACACTCGGACATTAATAACATTAATCGGAAACGATGCCTGATCATAGAAAGACTGTAGAGGAAAAGAAGTATGCGATTTTGACCAAGGACTCGATCCAAACGATGGGGGAATCCGTCGGACTTTCTGAAATTTCTGAAGAAGTTGCAGCAAATTTGTCTGAAGATGTCAGTTATAGGTTGAGAGAAATTATTCAGGTATAATATTATATAACGCTTCATTAGCATTTGGTTATTTCATGGGCTCTATTAGGTGGTAGAGCCCATGGCTATTTCTTGTATAGTAGTAACATTATATATTGCTTCTGAGTTACTGAACACAGCTGGCTCAAAAGTCTTAGACTTCTGTCAGCTCGGGAGTAACTTCTGATAGCATTTGGTTATTTCATGGGCTCTATTAGGTGGTAGAGCCCATGGCTATTTCTTGTATAGTAGTAACATTATATATTGCTTCTGAGTTACTGAACACAGCTTGCTCAAAAGTCTTAGACTTCTGTCAGCTCGGGAGTAACTTCTGATAGCATTTGGTTATTTCATGGGCTCTATTAGGTGGTAGAGCCCATGGTTATTTCTTGTATAGTAGTAACATTATATATTGCTTCTGAGTTACTGAACACAGCTGGCTCAAAAGTCTTAGACTTCTGTCAGCTCGGGAGTAACTTCTGATAGCATTTGGTTATTTCATGGGCTCTATCAGGTGGTAGAGCCCATGGTTATTTCTTGTATAGTAGTAACATTATATATTGCTTCTGAGTTACTGAACACAGCTTGCTCAAAAGTCTTAGACTTCTGTCAGCTCGGGAGTAACTTCTGATAGCATTTGGTTATTTCTTGGGGATCTAGTTCAACAAGTTAAACTAATCTGGCTTATTCATTAATCTGATCTTACTTGGGTCGGGCCATAAGACATGTCATATAAGAAACGAGGCCCCTGACTAGGTCTAATGTTGTTGGACTAGGGGATCACCGCATCATACCAGAGCCCATGATTATACCAAGGTCAGTGCATAATACCGAAACCCATTACATCGACGCGCATTGCTCCAAAAAGTTTCCATGCATGTTACTATCTACTTGTAACCATTAGAGACTTAAGAGACAATGCAAGCATAAAGTAATTGATAGACAAATTAGCAAACACATTGTATTTATAGTTTTTGGAGTAAAACATAAGACAGTTTTCAAGTTTTGATACATGATATATATGATATTAGACGTTGTTATGCACAACAGCACACCAGTAGTAGAGAGCTTTTGTGACATAAAATGCCCTTGTGTGAATGGATATTTATTTGTGACTGGGTCTGATATGTTGAGAGGTGTATTTATACCTTTCCATAGGGCATCCACTTCAGTCGAATAGCGTCTTTGGTTTTAATGGTGATCAACCACCTCAATATCAATCGGGCAACAATTAATCTTAGCATACAAAACGTTTTATTAAATGTATGATATTGGCTGGTTGTTGACATTTGAAGTAATTTGGAAGAGCTGAACGAAGCAGTGTAGTTATCAAATTTGAAAATTCATTTATGTATTTGTCATTCTATCGGTCAAAACCCCTTTGTTAGTTGAGTTAAGATGAGAGCATCAAAGTATATTTTGGTCAAATTCCAAAGCTTCAACACACCATACTTTATCGTAATTGTGATTTGATGACTGAAAATCCAGTCTGACCAGTTTTGTTAATAATGTCATTTACAAAATTAATTCCATAATTAGACCACCTTTCAAAAAATAAAGGTTTATTTCTGTACAAAAATAATTTGTTGTTAATTATCATTTGGTAATGTCTCCTAGTTATTTTCTAACCAAACAGTTAACAAAGTATGGTAAAACTGATTCTTATATGTACAATGCCTAAAAACTCCCTAATTCCTACAGAGCTGTTGAAAACACTACAATTTTTCCCAAACTTGTTAAAATACAACATAGGAATATGCTGCCAGGCACCAGATCCTGGACTTGCAAGATGTGCGACCCATTTTAACATTCTCATATTCAAGAAACACCGCAATCAGGTTAAGGAAATGGAAACACTGCGGTAGTCAGATCTGTTTTGGAAATATATAGCTTGACTTTCTAATTCAGGAAGAGAAAGAGAAGATCTACTCTATCCCTTGGTATCAAAAGAAGAAAGGTAATTAACGATAAGCGTTTTGATTTTTTTTTGTCAATAGTTTTATGCTTTAGCACACAAGTAGGCATACCATCATCTATTACATCTAATATAGCCTTAAAAGTCAGCTTGTTGCACATGTAAAAATGTAGCACCTCCAGGTTGGAAAGTTTCAATTTGCCTAACAAGTACAACATATTTCTGAGTGTTAGTTTCAATTCCGAACTCTTCTCAAATAATCTGAAAATAATATCAAAACAAAATGGTAAGACTAAGAGCGTTTCTAAAATTAGGAGCGTTTCGAGGAAAACAAGCGATTTCTCAAGAACTTGTATTTGGAATTGGACTGGAATTTTGGCAAATGAGAATATAAGATTTAATTTGTGATCTACTACTTTGACAGAAAGATTGGCATTTTCATATAAATACTAGTTTAATTCGTAATTAATGCTCGATTCATCAACTTCAGATTAGTCCGATCTAGCAAATAACAGTTTACAGGCCCATAGCCAGGGGGGGGGCTCCCCCCCAGATATCTCCTAAAAAAATGGGGACATAACTTTTTTGCTTTCTTGAAGAATTTTCTGACATTTCGAGGTAGAAGGTGACATTTGGTGACATTTGGTGACATATGTACGGTGTATTTTGATGTGATTGCCACTTTCTTTTTATAAAATTCTAAATTGACTAGAATAGTGAGGCAACTAAATGATTCGGAAATTAATCATATATTTTGATCCTCGAATTGCCCAAAACGCACTAAATCAGCCCAGAAATCTTAACTTTTTCAGGGGAGCATGCCCCTGGTTTTTTAATAAATCATATATTTTGATCCTAGAATCGCTCAGAACGTGTCAAATAAGCCTAAAAATTAGATTTTTTCAAAATATGTAAATCATATATTTTGATCCCTAGAACGATCAGAACGCATCAGAATCGCCCAGAATGCGCTAAAAAGCCTAAAAAATTCAGTTTTTTTAAAATACACAAATCATATATTTTGATCCTAGAATCGCTCAGAATGCACCAGAATTGCCCAGAATGCGCCAAATAAGCCTAAAAGTTCAATTTTTTGAAATACTTAAATCATATATTTTGATCCTAGAATCGCTCAGAACGCACTAAATCAGCCCAAGACTCCTAAATTTTCCGGGGAGCATGCCCTCTGGCTACATCACTCACAAGCTATTATTTTTCAGGCCATGATGATTTGGCTCGAAATTTTGTTCCGTCAACTAACTAATCAACTAACTAGTCATTTTAACAGCACGAGGGAATTACTGGGCATTTTTCAAAATTTAAGCCCTTATTTTCTTCTGTGCAAGCGCGGAAGTTTTTGGGTCTCCTCCCTTGTTTCCGTGGCCAACCCTGGTGTCTTATTAATAACACCCTTGTGGTCACAATGTGAAGTTGGTTAAGCATGAAAACATTTTGTGTGTGGATGGGGTTCGAGCCCCCCCCTAACCAAAATCTGGCTACAGGCATGGTTTACCACCAAAAGTTGAATAAATAAGAAATTTGCTCAAGGTATCGTTCATCGAATGGTACATAATATGTCACCATAACGTATGATATGTAAGAGAAACAAGTGAAACAATGCTCATGGTCATATTTGGATCTTCATCAGCCGCCATTTTATTTGGCCATGCAGCGTTTCTGCATGAATAAAACGCTTTGTCTTGCATGTAGGAGTGTTTGGGTATATGCATCATCAAAGAATGGAATTTCAAAACTGCAAACAGCCTTTAATTGAAGCCCAAGTTGAGTATCTAGGTCAATGAAACCGATTATCATGCAGCTAAGGTAGATCTCAAACATTCAGGGACTAAGAAGAAATATATTATTACTGTATCATATCATATCAAAACTTTCTTGTAAATGTTGTTAGTCTTGACTAAAATCATATGATATAAAAAGCCTCTAAAAAGTGAAAGTACTTATATTTTAATGAGCAGGCAAGAGACCTATATCATCAAAATACTCCTTTATATATATATAACAAAAGATTTTAAATTAATTCACATTCGAACATGACTGTATTCATGCCTTCTATAAACTATAAACAAAGTTAACATTTCACCTGGGGTATATTCGCGATCAATACCCCTGGGGTATATTCGCGATCAATACCCCTGGTAATATGTGTAATGTGTGACGTCATAACGGTGGGTCGTAGTAGTGGCGTACCATAATGAATATTCGAAACATTTTGGTGAGTTTTCATGTTTGAATCGTAATAAAGACAGAAGAGCAGGGGTAATATTGTCCAATACACCACTTAGTGCTAGGCACAAATGTTTTCTGTACCCTGAATGCCCTTAGAGAGTGAGGGGTTCGAACACTTTTGTACCTAGCCCTAAGGGTTATTGAAAATGCACATTTCCTGACATAATAATATGTTCAAATACATTTGTTCTTTCAGACATGTTGTCAGTTCATGAGACATTCCAAAAGAAAGCGCCTCACTACAGAAGATTTCAACAGAGCTGTGAGGAACAATAATACACCAGTATGTATTTAAACTCACAAAGAGTGGTTCACCATTTAATTGTCTTCAACATGGACCAGTATGTTTTGAAACTTAAGAAGTGTTCACATTAAATTATCTTGAACACACACACCAGTATGTATTGAAACTTAAAAAGAATTCACAGAGAGATGTTTGCCATTAAACTGTCTTGAACATACACCAGTATGTATTGAAATTGAAAGAGTATTCACATTAAATTATCTTGAACACACACCAGTATGTATTGAAACTTAAAAAGAATTCACAGAGAGGGATTTGCCATTAAACTGTCTTGAACATACACCAGTATGTATTGAAATTGAAAGAGTATTCACATTAAATTATCTTGAACACACACCAGTATGTATTGAAACTTAAAAAGAATTCACAGAGAGGGATTTGCCATTAAACTGTCTTGAACATACACCAGTATGTATTGAAATTGAAAGAGTATTCACATTAAATTATCTTGAACACACACCAGTATGTATTGAAACTTTTGCCATTTTGCCATTAAACTGTCTTGAACATACACCAGTATGTATTGAAATTGAAAGAGTATTCGCATTAAAGTATCTTGAACACACACCAGTATGTATTGAAACTTTTGCCATTTTGCCATTAAACTGTCTTGAACACCCTTAAGAAAAAAGCCATGGTAACCATGGTATTCCATGGTGCGCCCATGGTAATCCATGGTTTTCCATGGAAATTCATGGTTTTCCATGTTATTTTCCATGGAAATTCATGGACGCCCATGGTAATCTTCCATGGATATTTACCATGATTTTCCGTGGTAATTGTTGGTTTGGTAATTGGTTTTTAATGGATGTGTCATGGAGATGTAAAATCAACAATTTTGGTAGGATTTGTATTTACCAAAATCTCCAAAATGAATGTTTTGATGATATATCCCAGTTAGACTGAGACTTATCATTGAGAAAAAAGGGTGGACATTTCATTTTGAATGTATAGCAAGAACATTCATCGAATGTTAGACTCAGCTTACAAATGAGAAAATATGTGAAACAGCAGAGCAGAGAGTAGGCCACAAGATTTCAAAAACAATTGTGCAAAGGTCTTTTGTGTAGATCAAGACTAGATAGAGATTGCTTATTTTTTAGGCCAAACACTTCTTTCCTTTGAAAAAGATTAAGTCAAACTAGCCCAAGCTCTGTTTTATTTCAATACTTTCTTTAATTTTCAGTTTTAAAAATCAATATGAAGTAATTTAAGAAATAAATAACTCATTTTCTTAAATTACATTTCGTACATTTGAGAATACAATCAAAAACCATGGTTTCTTTCTTTGAAGTTGAGAAAAACTGCAATCAAAAGCCATGGAAGACGGTTGATTGTAATCGAAAGCCATGCTTTTCCATAGTTAATTCTTTGATATTTTGGAAAGTGCAATCAAAAGCCATGGTTTTCCATGATTATTCTTTTGATCTTTTGAAAGTCCATGGTTTTCCATGGGCTATTTGTTTGGTCTTTTGGAAGCAGAAAAATGAATAATACATTATGTTTCTAAATGAACTTCTCCAAATTAAGTCCCATTCAACTTTTATAAGCATATTATCTGAAAAAATCCACAGAAAAGTATATACTTTTACAGAATTTTGACTTGAAATTGAGATGGGGGATTAAACACAAGCCTATGGCTGCAAACTGAAATGTTATACCTAAGTGATAAAAATTCAATTTGTCTATGTAAGAATATTATATTTAAAAAGAAGTTGCATGAAGGAAGGGGAGGGGGTTAACAACACCATTTGGCTTAAAACATGAAACATAGTATAAGTAATTAAAATTTATTTGTCTTTGAATAGGAATAAATAATCATTTGCATAAATATTTGGTTGCCATTATTCTATGTTAATTAGGTGTCTTAACTCTCAAATTAATGTCAAAAGATTAATCTCTTTACAACAGATTATAAGAGGTCATTTGCATAATTCTTAAATATTCTGATCTTAATTGTTATTATATATGATAATCTTACTCTTTCTAATGCTCCCTCTTCAGTAATTATTATTGTCTGTGAGTGTAGACAGTGCAAGTCAAAAACTCATTGTTGATCAAATAAAACCAAATAGGATTTACTCCAAGTAAAAATGTTTATTCAGTCTGCAATAAGGGAATCCAATGAGCTGATTTTATCACTTATTTTGTCTTTTTTTACATAAGTGCCAAAGTTAAATGATAGCAAATCCCAGCAAACAAATTATTACTTTTAATTGTGGGGTCAAATCATCAATTAAAAAAATATTAAGTAAACAGTTCTTTGTCATATGACACTATGTACAGAATGTACTAAACATATATTCAGATTGTAAAAACATGGTTGTATTTCAGGCCTGAAACCAGCTTTTGTGAAGAAGGTTGACTTTCTCAAAGATTTTGGGGTGGGGGGGTGTCATATTCTTTTATCTATGATTAATGAGACTAATTCTCAATCCAGCTTGGATTCATTTGTTAAAATATTGATTCAATTTTGAAGATTTTGGTAAAAACAAAACCTGCCAAAATTGTTGATTTTACAACTCAAGTGTCATGGTAAAAACATGGCATGTTCATGAAAAAACAATTACCAAACCACCAATTACCACGGAAAATCATGGTAAATATCCATGGAAGATTACCATGGGTATCCATGAATTTCCATGGAAAATACCATGAAAAACCATGAATTTCCATGGAAAACCATGGATTACCGTGGACGCACCATGGAATACCATGGTTACCATGGCTTTTTTCCTAAGGGCTGATACACCAGTATGTATTGAAATATAAAAAAAATCACAAAGAAAGGTTTGCTATTTACAGGATGTCCGGAAAGTAAAGATACAAATACTCTAATTTTAATGGATTTAATTTTTTTGAAATGAAATTGCTACAGATTTTAGAGGAACATCATGACAATATATCCTCTAACTTTCATCCCATATCGTCCACATGTGTTAAAGTTACGGTTGTCATGGTTACAGTGGTGAGAGGTATTGCTCACAAAGTAAAGAAAACAAATCTTAACAAAAATTAAATTAACCTTTTAGAACAAGGGCCCATATTTCCCTGATAATGTCTCGTTAGACTTTTACATTAATGAATATGTGAAAGCAATGTTTGTTGGAAGTTCATAAAAAATGAGATTCGGCTGAAGGCCAATGTCATCAGCAAGTGGACAGCAGCAGAAGTTTATCAGGACACAATTGTGACGTTGCTTCACATACCCCCAATCCCTGTTACCATAACAACTATAACTTTTTCATTTCAAAACTATATGTCATGACAGTTGCAGGATAAATTGTTATAATGTCATTCTACAATCTGGAGCAATTTCATCTCACAACAGGTAAATCTATTGAAATTAGAGCATTTGTATCTTTACTTTCCGGACACCCTGTAAATTTTCATGAACACAACTTGATAGTTTGGAGTTAGATTTTAAATTTGGTGATGCATTTATGGAATAAAAACTATTAATCAATGGAAATCATATTAAATTAACATTTGACCAGAGACTTGAGGGCTAAATTCATGAAATTAAATTTTCTAGTGGTGTTAATTTCAGCCAGTATATGGTCAGAATGGTACAGATCAGGCCCATTTTAGACAAGTGAAGGAGGCAGATTGTTATGTGGCTGATGAACGTGACATTAATTTGGTGGAAGTGGCAAACCATACTTTCACCCCACAGCTCCCTGGAGATGTCACAGTTAAAGGTAGACCACATGAGTAATCAATCATTTAACACGAAGTATTACTACAACACGGTAGGGATTGTCATCACGTGACCTTCGCAACTGATGGTGTCTGAACAAGGCGTAAGATTTTCTCGATTAAGCAAGAAAAACGAATAATTTTCATATTTATACTTTGTTAAATGCTTCAAATCCCGCCCCACTTGTGCATACTATCTCAGTCTTTCAAATGAACCTAAATTTACAAGCAGAGGACGCATATTTTTTGAGATGTCACTGTTTTTCATTTCGAAAAATGATGGTGTCTGAACAACTCTTAAATTCTGCATGATGGTGTCTGTACAAATTTTAAAATACACTACTTGGAAAGTAGTCCTCGTGTTTTCGTGTGTTTTTTAAATACATCTGCTTCTTTCCAATGTGTTAAACCGAAATCAACCTAGAATTGTGATGTTTGCCTGTTATCACTGCCATCCATTGGTTGAATTTGCAACATTCACTGAACGATTTGCAAATCATGTGTGGGACAATCATCCATCAGAGGAATTTAGGTACATCGTGTATTGTCACCAGGAACTGGGTGATTAAGTTATTTGATCAGACGTTATTTATCCAATATTACAAAAGATTACTTGATATACTTGAATAAAACAATATAAAATGAATCCATCAATCGATTTAGACAGCCCAGGGATGGTATATTATTCAGCATCTTCGCACGCTCGGTCTTCACTGCGTTCCGACGGGAGCCGAGTGAACGAAGATGATTATTCAGTAAAGCCAGTCACCTTTTGAGAGGCCAGAGAAATCTGACCAATCAAAATACAGGATTTCTTCGTGATGTCATTGTCCTGATTAAAGTCAATTGCTCTGCAAAATTATGTAACATTAATAGGGTCTGGCTTCTGCATTGTATAATAACTTATTAAATATAGGCTTTGTATAAAAAAACTTGTACCTTATGCCCACGTACCCCCACGTACCCACGTACGTGAGTCGTGATACAGTCTTTGAAGGGTTCAATTTTAAAAGCTTTAAAGGATTATCCGAGCAAGGGGAACAATGATTTTAGTCTCGGGAATCGTAAATTTATCCCAACACGCGAAAGTGTAATTGTTTGCTCAATTGTGGATGGTTATTCCGAATTAGATGACGGGGAGAGTACTACACCCATAAAGACAAGGTTGTAATGCAACCTAAATGTGGCAATAAAGTCACACCTTAAAGACGACTTTCTGGAAATCCCCAGCAAATGAAAAACGTGACAATTTTAGTGAATATTGCTTCTAGTGAACGAGCATTAATAGATAAAGGATCCGTCATACTAAGTATATAAAACTGCCCCCAGGTCATTCATGACCATTATGACATATAATATGGTATTTAGTAAGGCGTTAATTATGGCATAGTGTTCAGGTGTTATTGAGGCCATAGTGACCTTGTATAGGTCAAGTCAGTGCATATCTGATAATAAAAGATTCTTGGGTGCAAAATCATTGTTTACAAAATTTAAAATGTGAAATTATGATAAAGAATGTTGCAAAGGACAATTTTGACCTTAACCTTTGATTTTCATTTCATTTTTTTGTTTTATTATTTTATTTGGTTCCATTGACTTAGCATATGGATATCAGCATGTATCGACTTGATGATATCCTGATGTTAAGTCAATTATTCTTTCAAATGAGCTGGGTATAATGCTCCTTCTTAACCTTGGGACAGCCTTATCTTGACATTCTAGGCAGGTTACCAATTTCCCTTGAGTTATTATTCAATTGTATAGTTATATTCTTAATCCACTTTGTACATTTGTAGCACGAGTATAGTCAACATCCAAAATGGTACAAAATATTTCGAAGAAAATGCTCGACATACAAGTATACACATATTTCAAAGGAAATGCGTGACATACGGAACTCGCGTTTGGTGACATTTCATTGAATAATTCTATTAAAGGTCTATTTTTTAAATCTTTTACAGATTTTCTTTGTAAGATAATAGAAATTGTCTAAAATAACATGTATTTATGATGAGTCAAAACAATCAGTTCATTTCTCCAAACAGGAGAGCCATCTTTTATGTAAATTCAAATGCTGTTACCTACAGGGCCAATAATGCCTTGGCTTAGGCCCTGTTTATGCTGTATACCCTGTATTAAGACTGTTTAAATAAAGGAACCATATAAACTAAACTCGTGTGAAAAGTCCGAACGGAATGCGTTCGCCTTTTTTCGACGTGCACTAATGTATTTACAATTCAGCATAGACGAAGATTGAATGATCTTATATTCAAAAAATTGAACCCTTCTAAGACTGTATCATGCCCCACGTACATGGTTTCGGGACGTGGGTACGAGGTACTAGGTTTTTGTACAAAGTCTTGAATATACGAGAGTACAGGAATGCATAGTATATAATAAACAATTACACATGAAAACATGGAGACTGGTATCCATGTCGTGTATTCAAAAATTTGTACCGACACCATCATACAGAATTTCAGAGTTGTTCAGACACCATCATTTTTCGAAACGAAAAACAGTCATATCTCAAATAATATGCGTCTTCTGCTTGTCAATTTAGGTTCATCTGAAAGACTGAGATAGTATACATAAGTGGGGAGAAATATGACACTGTTAACAAAATATAAATATGAAAAATATTCATTTATCTGGCTTAATTGAGAAAATCGTACAGCTTGTTCAGACACCATCAATTACGAAGGTCACGTGATGACAATCCCCACCGTGTACAAGGAGTTACTCTGACTCCACAACAGTTCTGACCCTAACACATTTTCACTAAAAAATAAAGATATTTGAAACTTAATATAACAAAAAGCTCAAGGCAACCTAGGGTGCAGTTACTAAACCTGATATGAACGCTTCCTGTTTTAAATTAGTAGATTTTATATAAGTTTGTTAAAATACAAAGAGCAAACCATAATATATAAGGAAAGCACTCTGTTATAAAGAGATCTGTGTGTTCTAACATACCAAACTCCGTGGCAGTGCTAGTCTTCAACAGCTAGAAGTTCAAATCTGACTTTAGATTTGAGATTTGACCTTCATTGGCATTCTCAATGTTTAAAAAAGAACTTTTTAGCTTCTAATTGACAATTTTTTTCAAAATCATCTACAAGTTATCAGAATGTCAAATATTACTTTAAATTTGACCTTCATTGACTTTCTCAAGGTTAAAAAAGTCAAAAAGGTATTTTCAACTTGCTTCAAATTGACCATTTTTATGAAAATCATCTAGTAGTTCTCAAAAGTTCAAATCGGACTATAGATTTGACCTTCAATCAAATTCTTAAGGTCAAAAAGATATTTGACCTTCTATGACCTTCTCAAGGTCAAAACTTAATTTTTCCACCTTCCTTCAAATTAACCAATTTTTTCCTCAAAATCATCTACAGATCAATAATATTGTGAGCAACTACTGTAGGTGGTGACATTTTGTCATGTTTTTGCCTTGTTTCTTCATCTGCCTGCCGCAGTTTTCTACACCAAGACACTGCTTGGGAGTTTGCTAACATACATGTACTTGTGGCTATGAATTCATGAATTTTGATATACTTGACTGCAGTGGTAGTAAGAGGTATACAATTTGCCCAGTCAACCTCTGGAAAGGTCAATAATCACAATGTTTATGTTTTGTACTCATAGCCAGCTGGTTAGCTGTAGAGGGGATGTACAGGGGAGCAGCTCAACCTCCAGGTGCAGTGAATATGTTATTTAAAGTATCAACTACTATATGTCAGTCACATAGAAATTTTGGTTAATTTATTTTACAAAACTACAAAATTAAAGCAAGCCTATCAACTCCCTCTAATTAATTATACAGAGGTGTTTACCCCTGGAATGCCTTACCACTTTTAGATAAACCATTATCTTACCACCAAGAGCTCCTGAAGTAGTCTAGTGTCTTATTAAGTAGTTTGAATTAAAGAACACTTCAGACTCTTGGCAGTCAATTTAAACTAAAAAATCATATGAACATATGAATCTCTCAGTGCCTGTAATTAGCCTTTTCCAAGAGACTGAAAGCCCATCCCTTACCCTTTTCTCACTGTCTTAATAAAAGAGTTACCACATATAAAATTTTGCATACTTTAATTGCAGTTAAGCCCCCTGACAAGGTCCCTAAGCTGGTGTCCGAAGACCTGATTGTTTACTATGACAACATGACTAAAGCCATATTAGGGCATGACGAGGAATTGATGAAGATAGCACTGACTGATCTTCGAACTAACACCAAGATAATCCCTGTCCTGCCATATTTCATCAACTTTGTCAATAGTGGGGTATAATTGGTTTTAAGATTTCATATGAGATCATCAATGAATTAAATCAATAATTTATTGGGGTAGAGGTGCTCACACCCATGTCTTTCAAGTACCAAGGAGAGTTTGTAGTGCCTCTCTACTGTTTTAGCTTACAGGGTGGTCAAAAAAATGGAAACCCTGCATTTTCCTAATATCTTTGTCATTTTAAGGAATTACTCCCTGATATTTCAAATATTTGTACATCATTCAATTTCCTACCACTCTTCCTCATATATTTGTCATTTTAAGAAATAACTCCCTGATATTTTGCACATTTGTACATCATTCAATTTCCTACCAGCCTACTTTATTTCATGACCATCAGACTGATAGTCACAATTTTACAGCACTTTGAATAACATGCTTCAAGTTTGGCCATCATCGTGCTGTAGGCAAACCTGCACAGTTATCAATAGGCCAAATGCATTCCACAGCAGGTATGGCCTGAATGATACGGATGATCTCACTTTTGAGGTTTGTGATTGTCCTGAGGTCATTCTCATACACTTTTTCCTTGCCATATCCCTACAGGTAGGGACATTTTGGACGGCGAGTGCAGGTGGCCCGACAGGGCAATAGTGGCCCCTGGGGCACGTTCTTTAAAGTGCTGTAACATTGTGACTATCAATCTGATGGTCATGAAATGAAGTAGGCTGGTAGGACATTGAATGATGTACAAATGTGCAAAATATCAGGGAGTTATTTCTTAAAATGACAAATATATGAGGAAAATGGTGTAAGGGTTTAAATTTTTTTTACCACCCTGTACTTAACATGAATTTTTATATCTTATGAAATACACAATTCAAACAAGTTAAAACAAAAAGTATCAATCAAATTAGTGATGAGAAAATTAATGATTTGATAATATCCCCTGGCCTTTTACAATCAGTAAGAACAGCTAAAATGATTTTCTTTTTTCTCAAATCTGTGGGTTACAGAACGTGTTTTGAACTTTTTTAAAAGGCTAGAAAAGTATCATAACATTAAGGTATTGACATAAAACTTTATTTACAGAAACTTAAGGAGAGGCATATTTTACAATTCAAATATTAAGGCTAATACTGACTTCAAATTTTTCGTCAGATCTTTGAATATCAATGGTGCATTTTTCATATGTCTGAGATTTACCATTTTTCCTAGAAAATGTGACTATGATTTTATGTGATCAACAATAACACATTCTTTATGTTCACTAAATCTGCTTTAAACTTTGTTGACTGTTTAACCAATGTCTGGTAGTTTTATATCAGTATCTAGTAATACTATGATATAATCTTATACTGTATTTATTAATTATTTATTTTAAACAAATGCTCTATACATCCACCTTTCGCCTTCACTATCGCGCGTAGAGGCTCGAGGAGGGTGGAACTGGTCATTGATCCAGCGATTCTTGTGGTAGTTTTCTCCACTTCTGCAGAACTTCTTTTAGTTGATTAGTAGTTTGTTAGGGATTACGATTAACTGCAATATGCTGCTTCAGGTGTCCCCATGTGTGAGAGTCACAGGGGCTGGCACCTGGTGTATTAGGCAGCCATTCATCAGGGTTAATGAATCGTGGGGTATTCTCCTCCAGATATTCCAAAGTGACCCTTGACCGATGGCTGGGAGCGATAGTGAAGGTGAAAAGCAGATGCAAAGAACATTTGTTCAATAAATAATTAAAAGATACAGTATAACATATTATGCACCTCATTGAGATACTCAAATCTGATTCGTTAAGAGCTGCAGGGTCTATTGCCATACGTGGCAGCAAGATCTCGTTCTATCCAGTATTGAAGCAACGAGATCTCCAACCATCCCATGTGCCAGAATACCTATCTTTGAAAAAAAAATACTAGGCTCGGCTTCTGTTTATAGTAGACCCATTCTTTAAAATAAAGTATTTCTTGACAATTTAACACCATCTTTTATTTATCTACAGTAAATTAATGGTAGGAAAATGATATTAACTAAGGGAGGTGCATAATAGAATAAATACTGGATGACCATGAGGTGGATATGCCAGAATGCCTATCCGAGGAAAAAAATACTAGGCGAGGCGAAGCCTTTTTTAATACCAATGGTGGCTAGATACTGATATAAACCTGAACTAGATATTAGTTAATTATTAAAGTTTGTGGCAGGTTTAGTGAACATAAAGAATGTGTTATTGTTGATCAAAAACATCATAGAAAGTCACATTTTCTAGGAAAAATAGTAAATCTGGGACATATGAAAAATGCACCATTGATATTCAAAGATCTGACGGAAAAAAATATAAGCCTATATATGCTATATATGCCTCTCCTAAAGTTTCTGTAAATAGATTTTTGTGTCAATACCTTAATGTTATGATACTTTTCTTGCCCTTTAAAAAAAGGATGGATTTTGTGCAGATTCAGTTATAATTGTCACGTTTTTTTATTTGACATTTGAATTTAAAAATTTAATAATGCATTGTTTTATTTCAAGATGAAGACTGTGAGTCATGACATTGGTCAGCTGACAAAGTTACTACACACAGTCAAGTCAATTATCAACAACAGGTCCCTCTACCTTGAACCTTTAGCATATGTGAGTATTATATACAGTATTAAATACTGCCTATGTAAGTATTACAAGTGAAATACTGCCTATGTAAGTATTATAAATGAAATACTGCCTATGTAAGTATCACAAGTGAAATACTGCCTATGTAAGTATTATAAGTGAAATACTGCCTATGTAAGTATTATAAGTGAAATACTGCCTATGTAAGTATTATAAGTGAAATACTGCCTATGTAAGTATTACAAGTGAAATACTGCCTATGTAAGTATTATAAGTGAAATACTGCCTATGTAAGTATTATAAGTGAAATACTGCCTATGTAAGTATTATAAGTGAAATACTGCCTATGTAAGTATTACAAGTGAAATACTGCCTATGTAAGTATAACAAGTGAAATACTGCCTATGTAAGTATTACAAGTGAAATACTGCCTATGTAAGTATTATAAGTTAAATACTGCCTATGTAAGTATTATAAGTGAAATACTGCCTATGTAAGTATTATAAGTGAAATACTGCCTATGTAAGTATTATAAGTGAAATACTGCCTATGTAAGTATTATAAGTGAAATACTGCCTATGTAAGTATTACAAGTGAAATACTGCCTATGTAAGTATTACAAGTGAAATACTGCCTATGTAAGTATTACAAGTGAAATACTGCCTATGTAAGTATTATAAGTTAAATACTGCCTATGTAAGTATTATAAGTGAAATACTGCCTATGTAAGTGTTACAATGAAATACTGCCTATGTAAGTATTATAAGTGAAATACTGCCTTTGTAAGTATTACAATGAAATACTGCCTATGTAAGTATTATAAGTGAAATACTGCCTATGTAAGTATTACAAGTGAAATACTGCCTATGTAAGTATTATAAGTGAAATACTGCCTATGTAAGTATTATAAGTGAAATACTGCCTATGTAAGTATTATAAGTGAAATACTGCCTATGTAAGTATTATAAGTGAAATACTACCTATGTAAGTATTATAAGTGAAATACTGCCTTTGTAAGTATTACAAGTGAAATACTGCCTATGTAAGTATCATAAGTGAAATACTGCCTATGTAAGTATTATAAGTGAAATACTGCCTATGTAAGTATTATAAGTGAAATACTGCCTATGTAAGTATTACAAGTGAAATACTGCCTATGTAAGTATTATAAGTGAAATACTGCCTATGTAAGTATTATAAGTGAAATACTGCCTATGTAAGTATTATAAGTGAAATACTGCCTATGTAAGTATTATAAGTGAAATACTGCCTATGTAAGTATTACAAGTGAAATACTGCCTATGTAAGTATAACAAGTGAAATACTGCCTATGTAAGTATTACAAGTGAAATACTGCCTATGTAAGTATAACAAGTGAAATACTGCCTATGTAAGTATTACAAGTGAAATACTGCCTATGTAAGTATTACAAGTGAAATACTGCCTATGTAAGTATTATAAGTGAAATACTGCCTATGTAAGTATTACTTAGCCATTATGTCCCTATCATTGAATATATGCCTGAAGTCTGACGTCAATATAGCCCGAGCTTGCGAGGGTTATATTGACGACAGACTGAAGGCATATATTCAATGATACGGACATAATTGATGTATTACATACCTAAAGTACATTTACATTGCATTCCTTGAAGGTATTATGTAGAATAATGCGTGAAAAAAGACTAAAATTTTACAGATTCCAGTTGAAATCACTTTGTTTCCATGTTTTGACATCATACAATTGTCATGGTAAAAAAGTTCGGCGGCTATACAGGAATATATAGCCGTCCTTCAGCTCCATTGACTTCCATACAAATGCTACGCTAGGTATGTAATACAATGAAATACTGCCTATGTAAGTATTATAAGTGAAATACTGCCTATGTAAGTATTACAAGTGAAATACTGCCAATGTAAGTATTATAAGTGAAATACTGCCTATGTAAGTTTTATAAGTGAAATACTGCCTTTGTAAGGATTACAAGTGAAATACTGCCTATGTAAGTTTAAGTGAAATACTATTAAAGGACAACTGAAATAGCTTTTCTCAACTTGCAGCTACGAAAATGCGGTTTTCTCCATTGTAAGCCCACCGTAGAGTTCTTGCGATAGCCATTATAAAATAAATGTTAGATAACTGCTAACGGTCATAGATAACGAAATAAAATTAACTGATAAATCAAATTGGCCCCCACGTGATTAGTAACGTCATATACAAAATATAGCTTTGGTTTATTGGTTCCATAGTAATCACAACGTCACGGCAACCATAGGATTGTTGTGTAAACAAATAACAAAACATTTTGGCATTATGACGTCATGATCTAATGGACCAAAACGGGCCACGTGGGGACCAGTGAGAGATCACGTGGGGGCCAATAACGTCACAACCAATTCGAATATTGCTTATTAAGCAGCTATAACGATCGTTAGAGTGAAATAGTTTTCACACTACTGATGAGAAAACATGTCCAAATACATCTATCAAAAAATTATATTGATTCCTTTAGGTTAAAAATACCATTTCATATCTGCTTTAAATATGTTCATCTGGATAGTTGCATATGATATCCAAATGAATTAAAGAGGCTATTTACATCAGGGTACATATCTCCAACATCAACAGAGATATATAAGGGCAATCACGAACTCAGCCCACTTTCGGACAAGTTGTTGCAAATTCAACCAGCTAACACCCTTAATTCCCAACCGTCACACTTCCTTAATGGAGCTCTTCACAAACACTCTTCACTCGCAAAGTCAGCAAATAATACATGTAATATCTACATCATATCGGCTTAATAACAATTAAAAGTGTATTTGTTGTTCTAGTTGGATGGTCTGCTACAATGCATTCTCTATTGTATATTGGAGCCTCTAGCTGCTTCTATTAACCCCCTCAATGACCACTGGGCCCTGCGTGACTATGCAGCTAATCTGCTAATACATTTAATAAAGTAAGTTAGTCAAACAATTTATATTTCTCTCATGGAACTGATGTAACATTCCTGTTCAGACAATATCGTTCGACTTATAAGTACCTTTTTGTAAGTGTTTCTATTGAATCAAGTGATTGACATTTTTGAAGACAGAAATGTCCCTCATGCAAGAGTAATATTTGTCCCTTGCAAGAGTAATATTTGTCCAGAATTGTAATTGTTCCTTTGGAAGAATTGTATTTGTCCCTTGCAAGAATTGTATTTGTCCATTGCAAGAGTAATATTTGTCCCTTGCAAGAATTGTATTTGTCCCTTGCAAGTGTTATATTTGTCCCTTGCAAGAGTAATATTTGTCCCTTGTAAGAGTAATATTTGTCCCTTTCAAGAATTGTATTTGTCCATTGCAAGAGTAATATTTGTCCCTTGCAAGAATTGTATTTGTCCATTGCAAGAGTAATATTTGTCCCTTGCAAGAATTGTATTTGTCCATTGCAAGAGTAATATTTGTCCCTTGCAAGAGTAATATTTGTCCCTTGCAAGAATTGTACTTGTCCCTTGAGAGTGCAATATTTGTCCATTGCAAGAATTGTATTTGTCCATTGCAAGAGTAATATTTGTCCCTTGCAAGAATTGTATTTGTCCATTGCAAGAGTAATATTTGTCCCTTGCAAGAATTGTATTTGTCCATTGCAAGAGTAATATTTGTCCCTTGCAAGAGTAATATTTGTCCCTTGCAAGAATTGTACTTGTCCCTTGAGAGTGCAATATTTGTCCATTGCAAGAATTGTATTTGTCCATTGCAAGAGTAATATTTGTCCCTTGCAAGAGTAATATTTGTCCCTTGCAAGAATTGTACTTGTCCCTTGAGAGTACAATATTTGTCCATTGCAAGAATTGTATTCGTCCATTGCAAGAGTAATATTTGTCCCTTGCAAGAGTAATATTTGTCCCTTGCAAGAATTGTACTTGTCCCTTGAGAGTGCAATATTTGTCCATTGCAAGAATTGTATTTGTATGTAACATTGCAGTGGTTGGAGTAGCCCTTTAAATGGATTATACAAGAGATGCAGTGAAGCTCTAAAGCAGGCCCTCTATGATGCAGCCAAACCTTTATGTTCACATTATGGTGCAATAGTGGCTATACTAGCTTTGGGAAGCCAGGTGATTATACCCTTGGTTATTCATTTTCATGCCATCTAACAAACAGATCAAACATCGAGATAAAGACATTTCAAAAAAAAGAAAGTCTGTGCTGAGCAACTTTTTTGTTTTAAATTTTAAACAAAGAATTTTCCATCGTTACGTTAAAGGATGAGTCTGGGTATTGACTTAAAAAATATTGAAAATTGTAATGTCTGAAAAACCAACTCAATCACACATATTATTAAACTTCAATATCTTATCCTTCTTCTGAGAGTACAAAAATATCAATTTGTATTACATTTAATGAAGAATATTGGCATCAAAGACAGTGCATATCACTTTGTCAGAAATCAAGGGCAAATATTAAATGAATTATTTATACAAAAAGTTTGAAACATATCCTCTAAAACATTGCTTACTTTTTTTTGTATAGACATTGAATGGTATTTCTGGATAAGTGAATTGGTGTTTATCTGGATAATCAAGGGATTATAGTCACTCAAAGTTACTGAGCATCCAGTTTTGAGACTTCAATTGTGTTGGTGAAGTTGCACATATTTCAATCAAATTCATGCTGAGCACAACATTTTGGTTTCAATTTTATAATCTCTATACATGACCCTGGTGATGAAGAGTAGGAATCAGTCAAAAAACCTAGACCAGAAAAATGTGCTCATTGTGAAAACTAAAAGTGAAGCAACTTTTTTTCTGATATTTTTCTTACATCAAATAGCAGCCATCTTGTTTTTCCCCCTTCAAATTAAACTGGCGGGAAATTCAAAAATTTGAAAAAAAATTAATCCTTAAATATATTTCAAAAATATGATTTTGTTTTTAATTCTTCATGGGTCTTTGGTTATTTCTTCTTTGTAAGTCATACATGTTGCCATTGGTGTTTTTTCAATGATAATGACTATTTTTTGTTTTTGTTTGTTAAGATACCTATTCTGACTCTCAGCAGGGGGTTAATTATGCATCAGAACTCGTGAAAAAGTAAATATACTATCAAATATAACTAGGACAGTAATAAAAAACATATTTCATAATATATAATCCATCACAAAATTGTTCACTAAAATTGCTAATTTTACTCAATTGAACACCATCTGTTGTGTATGTATGTCGTTAAAATGTCAAAAGCTGTCAAAAATGGAAAATTATCTGGTTTCAACCTATTTTAGAACCTGGAATTCAAGAGGTTAATAGGTCATCTCTTATCTTCTATTAGATTACCTTTTTTCTGTTTCAGGCAATATCTGAGATTCTACTTCCCCATATCTCCACCTATTGGCCACACCTGACATCTATTATGGAGGACCAAACCTACACCAACTGTCAGGTGAAGACTGATGCTCACAGAGTACATGCTGTTCTACTGGTATGATTAACACCATCAGCCACAGTGGTTTAACTATATAGACTGAAGTAAATTCAGTCACATATTCAGGTTAAGTACATGATGGAGAAACCAGAAATAAAGTGACACTTGAGTTTATGAAATTTATTTTTAAAATAAAAATTATATTAAATTAGTGAAGCTGATTTTCCATTTTATGCAATTCCAGCTGGCATGCGAGTGTGTTTTGAAGTCCAAAATAAATGAAGCTCTTGCCGAACAAGATGAGCCCCCTACAATAACAACAAAAACAGAGCTTATATCAATAACAAATACTGAACCTTCAACTACAACTTCGCAAGTTCCCTTGTTGGATGCCATTAAAGTAGAACCAGGTGACTCTAAGACTCTAGAAGAAACTGGAATATTCCAGTCAGGTGTCCTCCTGGAGCCTGATCGCGCCCAGAAGACTCCTATATCATTGAACGATTTATATGCAGAACTCTATGGCTATTTTGGGGACAGCTTAGCCACAAGGCTTCCCCAGCATCAAATTAGTAATTTCTACCAACCAAAATCTCCAAAATCACCTGTGCACTTGACTGACCCAGACACATTTAAAAGTGGTGAAGAACTTCTATCAGTGTTCCTAAAACCAGGGGTGAAAACTGAGGGTAGCAATCACTCACCTATGGAGGTTGGGGGTGACGGTTCCAGCACTTATAGCTCAGACCCCCAGAAACTTACTGTGAAAAGTTCATTAGAACAACCAGATCATGGTATCAAGTTAACTGTAGGTAGACCTGGTAAACTCAAAAGTGGGAAAAGACCTGAATCTCGACGTAAACGAAAACAAAGTCATAAAACTCTAATGCAAGAATATTTTGAGAGTTCCCGGATGTGTAAGCGAGAAGCAGTGTTTAGTTTTCAATTCAGGGGAACTGTCCACAAACAGAAAACATTGAGGAGTTTCTCAGTGAGTGGAGAGACATCTGAACCACCTACACCTGCTACTAAACTAACATTTCCCTTATTTGGTAAACGAAAGGCCACCAAAAATGGTACAGCTCGTAAAAAGAAAATAGCTACAGCTTGTGGTAATATGTTGGCTATAATGTAGCTACTTGTTAAAGTAATATATTGGCTTTAACAAATGTCACAGTATGAAAGAAAATATATATAGTTTTCAAGACTCTTTTATAAATAAACATGCTTGTCTGTTAAAGGTTTTATTGTAATACTTATCCTTTCAACCTGAATATATGTACAATGTGGCTAGCCCTTATTTTTAACTTCATTTTTTTTTTATTCATAGAATTTATTTTACAAATACATAAAGTACATAAACATTATACACTTGTAGTGGCTTTGCTGAAGGCATTATCAGCCACTTGATTAATAATTGCAGGGTGAAGAAAAAAGAAAAATTTAAATATGGACTCAAGAGTGAAGTGAGTGGTGGCAGGGAAACCTTCACATTTGCACATTTTTCTAAGAATGATGCAGTGAGCTTGAGAATTTTCAAATTAGTGGATTTAGTTAAGTTTGAATCCCCATGAAGAAATAATTCTACTTTGTCCCTCTTGTGTTTGAATTGAGAATAACCAAAATTAAGAAAAGCTAAATTGTTTTCCAACTATTCTAAGAATGGAGCACGGAGAATACAGGAACTTCATGTTCATAAGTCCTTTGGTCTTGTGTGACCTCCAGAGTATCTCACTAAATGCTATAGATCTTGCATACCGGATTTTCTCGCATATACGCCCCCCTAAATTTAGGCCCATGGGCCAAAAATCGAATGTAGTACGCTTATACGCCCATGGGCCTATAAAAAATGACTATTTATTGATTTTTTCAATAAATTCAAGAGTATTTTGTCACTGGCAGATCGTTCTGTCGTTACTTTGTTTCAACATTAAGTTCAACGCTGTGCTGTAAGTGGCAGTGGTGGATCGTTCTGTTGTTACTTTGTTTCAACATTAAGTCCAAGGTTGTAGGTCCTCTATAATTCTTACAAAACATGCGGTAGGACTACAACAGTAGGTACGGTAAACCATTTTATTCATCAGCTCTTCTCACCTTTACGCCCACTGGGCCAAAAATCGAAAGTAGTACACTTATACGCCCATGGGCGAAAAATAAGAGGTAAAATAACAGACGAAATTACCCCTTCTTTCAGTTATACGCCCAGGGCTTATATGCGAGAAAATCCGGTACATGTAAATGTGCCATGACTTTGTTATTTCCAATGTTAACCTCTTGAATCCCAGGCTCTAAAATTGGCATGAAACCAGAGAATTTTTCATTTTTTGCCACCTTTTGACATTTTATTACATACCTATACAACTTTAGATGCTCAGCTTAGTAAAATTGGATGGCAGAGATCATTTCTACACGTTTTAAAACAATTTTTGTGTAAATTGGATGAAAATTGTTCAAATGAGAGTGATTTTTGTGAAAAATTTTGTGACGGATTTTCTCGTCCCTCTGAGCACCAGTCTTATTTCATTTGTGACGGATATATCCGTCACTCTGGGTATTCAAGAGTTTAAACTGAAGTCATTTCATAAAATAACATGAAATGAATTTTGAGGATAACAGCAAAAATATTTTCATCACAAACTAAAGTATTCAATTTCTTTATCCAGTGATATATTTCCTCAGAAAGTTCCATGCTGCTTTTTGTACAACTGCTTCATTCAATTTTGCAACTTCTACAAAAGTTGAGGGCCTGGATCCTATACATTTCCATCTCTAGTTCATTCTCATCTGTCATTTGTTTTGAGTTTCAAATCAATTGACAAAAGAGGGTTTTCTGAAACTATTGCTTTCACAAAAAAAACATGATTACAGTATATGGTTCTCTTTTAAAGGCCCAGTCTGGGGTAGACTGTAAATCTAGTAAATCTCGTAAATCTAGTAAACCTAGTAAATCTAGTAAAATCTTGTAAAATCTTGTAAACTTTTTAGGGACCATTCATTTGATATCAATGTCAGTCTCTATGTAAGAGTATTGGTGATTATGATTCCTTTTACAACATTAGAAAAATACCTTCTCTGCATTAAAATTCAGAGTCTTTCCTTTCATAATCAATATACAAATTTTTTAACAAAATTGTGAAATATTATAATAAAAAAGAATGTTTAAGGGGCTGATATGATATGGCTTTAAACTATTAATTACAAGGAATACAAGGAACATATCATCATCAAAACGTAAATGGAAAGCATTGTAGAAATGCCATACTATACTTTATGTATAGGTAAAGCAAATAGATCAATCAGTAAGTTGTCTCACTAGATTCCCCTTACTACAGCATTTGATTGTTTTTTTTTATTATCGCACTTTGAAAAAGTGCTATATTGCCGTCGTCTTGTGCTGTTGGGCGTGCGGGCGGGCGTGCGGGCGGGCGGGACATAAACCAAATCTTGTCATCTAATTTCCAGGATAACTGCTTACCTGTTCAACTTGAAATTTTTACAGATGCAAGAGCAGACTAGTACCAAGATCTGATTAGGTTAAGGGCATGCTGGGTAAATTACGTGGCGGCCATTTTGAATTTTTCAACAAATCTTGTCATCAAAATTCCAGGAAAACCACTTATCCGTTCAACTTGAAATTTTTACAGATGCAAGAGCTGACTATTGCCAAGATCTGATTAGGTTTTGGGTATGCTGGCTGAATTACATGGTGGCCATTTTGAATATTTCAATTTGGCGGCCATTTTGAATTTTTCAACTTGCTCCAAATTGACCAAATCTTTTTTTTAAAAACATCTACAAGTTCTCAGAAGTTCAAATCTGACCTTAGATTTCAGATTTGACTTTTCATTCACCTTCAGTGACCTTGAAAAGGTCAAAAAATTTGATTTTCTAAATTGATATTTTGGATTTAAATTTAGGTCAGCTTAATTACAAAACACCTACTGAGGTCTGAAAAAGTTAAATTTTCAAGGTCGAAGGTCAAGGTCATTAAACTAGGTCACAAATGATGTTATCCAAGTTTCTCAAAGTTTGAGACTACAAATCAATTCTTGTCATCAAAATTCCAAGAAAACCGCTAAGCTGTTCAACTTGAAAGTTTTACACATGCAATAGCAGACAAGTGCCAAGATCTGATTAGGTTTAGGGCATGCTGGGTAAACTACGTGGCGGCCATTTTGAATTTTTCAACAAATCTTGTCATCAAAATTCCAGGAAAACCACTTATCCGTTCAACTTGAAATTTTTACAGATGGAAGAGCAGACTATTGCCAAGATCTGATTAGGTTTTGGGTATGCTGGCTGAATTACATGGTGGCCTTTTTGAATTTTTCAATTTGGCGGCCATTTTGAATTTTTCAACTTGCTCCAAATTGACCAAATTTTTTTTTAAAAAACATCTACAAGTTCTCAGAAGTTCAAATCTGACCTTAGATTTCAGATTTGACCTTTCATTCACCTTCAGTGACCTTGAAAAGGTCAAAAAATTTGATTTTCTAAATTGATATTTTGGATTTAAATTTAGGTCAGCTTAATTACAAAACACCTACTGAGGTCTGAAAAAGTTAAATTTTCAAGGTCGAAGGTCGTCAAATTAGGTCACAAACGATGTTATCTAAATTTTCCCAAAGTTCCAGACTACAAATAAATTCTTGTCATCAAAATTGCAGGAAAACCGCTAACCTTGTCAACTTGAAATGTTTACAGATGCAAGAGCAGACTAGTGCCAAGGTCTGATTAGGTTTTGGCCATGCTGGGTAAATTGCATGGTGGCCAGTTTGCTCTTCAAAGTGCGATATTTATCACTGTGTGTCTTGTTATTTTTTTGGGGTTGGCAAAAATCAATTTTGAAATTGCCATTTATCCATTCCTCTCACATTAGAACTTTTACAAATATTGTCAATTGAACAGCATCGCCAAAAAATAACCAATAACTAAATTATCTGATAGGCTAAGCATTATAACATTTTGTGAGGGAAAAACAAGCCTGTGTCATTTAGATGGTACGCATTGTCCCCTCAGTCCTTAAATATGTAACTTAATTTGTTAATAGAGCATGCTTCTTGGGTGGGTTGTGTATGATGATAAAATGGGTGTACCATTTGATAACCATTTTGTTATCCAGTACTAACATATAGTTGTTTTGTAACTAAATAAAATGAAATAAAAGGTAGAATTTTTTCTACATGTTCATTTCATTCATACAAAGGCATTTTCAGTGCTTTTTCGACATTTGCACTTTATATCTTAGACATTGAATAATCAAGTTTTTACAAGATTTTACAAGATTTTACTAGATTTACTAGATTTACTAGTTTTACTAGATTTACTAGATTTACAGTCTACCCCAGTCTGGACCTGGCTGAAGCTTATAAAACAAGCTGTCACTGTTCAGCCAATCAGTGCTCATGTTGTCAGTTTAATATACATAAACACATGGTATGCTTCAAGTGAGATGCAGACTTAAACAACATTTTCAGAATTTGGTACGAAAGGATTAGTATCGATATGGCGAACTGAATTGAGCACATGTTTCTCCAGTCATCTAAAATTTTACACATCATCAATCTAATGATCATCTTTTGAATGGTAACAATTTAATTTGAAAAAAAAATTCTTTTCTCTATATTGTTTTAGAAAACACATCAGACACTTCTTGGAATGAAACGAAACATCCATCTCAACATCATTGGAACAAAACGACATACATGTATACAGAATGTGTTTACTTCTCTCAATATTGTAATTATACAAATAGAGTTTGGTTGATTTAAAAAAGTATCTTGTTCATGAAATAAAAAGTTTACTTTAATTTTTATCTATTTTGGGGGTTTTTGTTTTAATTTTTTGAATACTTTTTGTTAAATCAACCTTTTCCTTTGTTTAACTATAATATTGAGAGGTCTAAGAAAATGTTGTGTAAGCTATTTTGATCAACAAGGTTCGGAAAGATATTGTATTTCATTCTCAGGTATTGGTAGAAAGGAACAAAAAACAATTGTACTAAAAATTAAAAAATATTAACAAAACAGTTATAAAGGTCAAATAATTTTGCATTAAATTGTCGTCAATCTGTGACCATTACATAAATGACCAGGTTTTCAATAATTGGTTTAAAAGAAAAATAATGTTGAATTCAGCTCACTAAAATCTAGAGGTCGCAACGGTACTGAAAACCAGTACCGGTAACCATCACGCTAATAACCGTACCGTTACCGAAATACCGGTAAAAATTTGTAAGATAAAATGCCAATGCGCTGACACCCCCACTTTGTTCCTAACTCTCTCCGTAGCTTCTCAAGTCTATATGCATACTGATGAACTTCACGAAACTTTTTCGAACTAGTAATGAAAGTAGTAGTGAAATGTCTCTTGTGTAGTACCAAACTTAAATTTTATGGTGGTAGCACATCAGAAAATGAGGACCCATTTATTTGGAATCCATAAGAAAACAGTTACTGAAGCGAAATCTCCCAGTGCTTTGTCCTTGAAGCAATCTTCTCTGAAGAAAGTTTAGATCTATGTCAGCTTTGAATTCCAAATCCAGGATCCCTTTAATGACTTTACAAAAGGATCAACACAGCAATGCCCCGAATGTGTGCCATGGACTTAAGGTCATTAAGTCTGGTAGAAGGTAAGGGTTTCAGACACCTCATGCAAGAGGTAAAGCAAAGTTACCCAGTGCCAACTGCAAACACGATTAAAAGGTACGTGTTCAAGGAATACGCTGACATAATGGAAAAGACTATTAAGCGTCTGTCTGGAATGGTCGTAGCTATAACCACTGATGAAGCTACTACACCCGAACTGCCAAACATGGACATCACACCTGAACTGCCAAACATGGAAATCACACCTGAACTGCCAAACATGGACATCTAAATTTCTATGTAAATGTACGCATCGTGAAATAATTAAAAAACGACGTGTCCTTTATATCCCCGGGGATTATCGTCGGTTAACCGGTTAATAATTTCAATACCGGTAAATGCTCACTTCCGTACCGAAACCGTATAACCGGAATTACCGTCAGCCTCTACTAAAATCAATACCAATCCTTTATAGTCATAAACCTCTGAAAAACCTCTGAAAAGTATATAATAGAAAAGAGCTTGTAACTTATCGTAGCAATCTTGTTATCGCATAAAGTTTGAAAATGTTCTCATTTTGTTTGAACTGGACATTTAAACTGCCATATTTGGCTGTTGAAGGCTGTTCCATCTGCCTTTTATACTCTCTTGCAGCCTTTAAATAACATTGCTATCTATATTAATTAGTGAATATTAAGAGTTTATAGAAGGTAGTTTCATATTCCCTAATTTGCTGTGGAACGCCATCTTCAGTTCCATTGAACATGGATTATTCTAAAAACAGTTGTGGCTCCAATTACTAATTCGCAATTATTGAGTTGGTTCATTAAAAGGCCGGATGTGGACTACATAATCAATGACAGAAGAAATGCTTGTTAAAGATAAATGTTTTATTATTGTGCACTAGAGAAATACACATTTCCAAAACGCTACTTAAACTACAGATGCACATCCTGTTCTCCCACTTATATTTGACTCCCACTTATATTGGCTTCTTATTTAGCCATTTCATAAGAATATTCATTTCAATACAGTAATAACAATCTTCCTTCTAATTTATCTTTTTCAAAACTTGAAATGTCATGTTTTACCTATTATTCCCCAGCAGTTTCATGAATTTGAACTGTTTCAATTTTGCAGCTAGTATATTTCGCGAATTTTCGAAAACCTGCGAAAAGTGGGAAATATAGTAGCAAAAATAACCAGGAGTACAGTATTTAAATACTGTACCTATATGGCATTACAAAATCAAGGCAATAAATGTGATGAACAGTTCTTTGGTTCAATCTTGAGAAATCCTCTAACTTCAATCCATCTATAAATGGTCAATTAATGACAGATATGAGTATCTTCCTGGGCCCATGTTGAACACTTAGTATTGTCACAATTCTCTCATCGCATATTTTGGGCCCATGTTGAATACTTAATAATGTCAAACTTCTCTCATCGCATATCTTGGACCAATGTTGAATACTTATATTGTAACACTGTTCTCATCGCATATCTTGGACCCATCTTGAAAACTTAATATTGTCACACTTCTCTCATCGCATATCTTGGACCCATGTTGAATACTTAATATTGTCACACTTCTCTCATCGCATATCTTGGACCCATGTTGAATACTTAATATTGTCACACTTCTCTCATCGCATATCTTGAGCCCATTTTGAATACCGTCACAATTCTCTCATCACATATCTTGGACCCATCTTGAACACTTAATATTGTCACACTTCTCTCATCGCATATCTTGGACCCATGTTGAATACGTAATATTGTCACACTTCTCTCATCGCATATCTTGAGCACATGTTGAATACTTAATATTGTCACAATTCTCTCATTGCATATCTTGGACCCATGTTGAACACTTAATATTGTCACACTTCTCTCATCGCATATCTTGAGCCCATGTTGAATACTTAATATTGTCACACTTCTCTCATCGCATATCTTGAGCACATGTTGAATACTTAATATTGTCACAATTCTCTCATTGCATATCTTGGACCCATGTTGAACACTTAATATTGTCACACTTCTCTCATCACATATCTTGAGCCCATGTTGAATACTTAATATTGTCACACTTCTCTCATCGCATATCTTGAGCCCATGTTGAACACTTAAGTAACACTTCTCTCTTCCCAGAATGTGATGTCCCTCTGATCAGAGAGAGGTTATGAATATATCCCAATGCTCACAAATTAGCCATAAAAGTCAAAATCATCTTCCTCATCATTATCCTCCTTTTTGTTGGGCTTACTGGTGACCTTAGCTAGGCCTGTGTTTCCCATTGGGATGTCTATATCGTAATCTGAGTCTAGGTCAGAGTCCGCTCCCATCATGTACGCTGGAATATGGAAAATAAAAGAAGTTAAAAAGAAGTTATATCCTCTATCATGGAAGGACTATGTTGTAAAGAATCAACTGCTATATTAACTGTATTAACCAAGCAAGTTCTTGCGATTTTGTGGTTCGTGGTTTGATTTTTATTATTCATCCTTGCATTTACATGAAAATTAACTGAAGTATTTTACAATATATGTAATTCTGCATTAATTAGGAGGTTAAGCTACACATTTTTAAGAGAACTTGAAGAATTGTAAAGTGTAGAATTATGATCCTCTAGAGATTAGTTCTCCCCTGTGTAGAATTTCCGATTTGAGCTAAACTTATAAGTTGAATCTGGATTCCAAATTAATTCGCCATGCAAATTAATAAACCTCCGATGGTAAATAACCACAAATAAATGCTCAAACAACCGCGATATTGGAGAATTTTAAAGAAAATGGCTTCACTTAGAATAACTCTAACTGAAGTTGATGATGACGTAGATCATCAGCTTCAGTGCCATTTTCTTTCAAATTCTCTAATGTTTGGGCATTCATATTAATACTAATACTACGGACTTACTAATATTGCGGATGTTTGGGCATTCATTTGTGGTTGAATACAATCATAGTTTTATTAATTTGCATGGCGAAACTTTTGGAATCAAGATTCAACTTAGTTTAGCTGAAATCGAAAGTTTATCGAAAAACAAAAGAATCTCAGCAACCATCTTGAATAAAGCTGTTTAGAGTCATTCAGCTGTGGAACAGTGAGAATCATCTGTAAATATCCAACTAAAGTGCAATAATAAAATTCTCAGGAATGATGTTGAAAAGCTATCTTTTAAGGCTAATGACCCCCTCCCCAAGACTGTTCAAATACTGTTAATTTTCTAACATCGATTCTTTCGAAATGCTTCCCGTTTGATTCTCGTTTGCACAAACATGAACATTTTTACAGCACTAAACACAAAAATGCAATCTAAATGTGGCATAGAGTGACACCTTTTAGTTGAATTCCCCAACAAATAAAATGATTTTAGTGTAGATTTTCAATTGTGCAATTTTGATGAAGGATAAAATAGAAACAGTAAACAATTCTGGCCTTATTTTATGACAAAATGCAAGATCCATTAGACATATATATAGGCCTAGGACGAGTGCATTAATGCGTCTACAATTCAGCAAAGACGGAGATTAAATAACCTTGATATTTTAAAAACTGAACCCTTCAAAGTCGTGTTCGACACATTCCTATATTGATTCATGTACTTTCAGTTAAAAGTTATATAATGAAAAATAGTGCAAGCTTAAACTCTCTGATATTGCTTCAATCACGCTTACATTTTCACAAAATGTTCCTCTCATTAGAAACTAGGCGATATGTCAGCATTTTTGGTGGTGGCATGAAAAGAGTTTTCAAGTATTTTGCAACCAGAACAACGGCAACGCCAAACCGTAGCGAATCCCATCGAACAGAAATGGCTGGCATTTTTACAAACCAAATATATAGCAAATTTCATAAAACAACACATATAAGAAAGGCCACCATTTTCAAAATGGTTGCTCACTAGCCAAGTTGTCATCAGAAGAAGGAATATGCTTTTAAATAGCCACATCTAAAATTTTATAAATCGCACACATGTACATGTAAATGGTGGCCATTTTTTAAAATGGCCACCTACTACCCAAAATGTCATAAGACAGTTTGCAATCCTTACAAGTATTCACATATCAAATATGAACAAAATCGCTCTATTACTTTTTGAGTTATAATAAAAAATGTAAAATAATACACATAAAAATGGTTGCCATTTTTCAAAAGGGCGGACTACTCCCCAAAGTTTTATTAGACAATGTGCCACGCTTAAAGTACTCACATATCAAATATGAACAAAATCGCTCCAATACTTTTCGAGTTATAGTAAAAAATGTAATAAAAATGATAGCCATTTTTTAAAATGGCCGCATACTACCCAAAGTGTCATTAGACAGTGTGCCATGCTTATAGTATTCACATATAAAGTATGAACAAAATCGCTCTTCTACTTTTTGAGTTATAGTAAAAAATGTAAAATAGCACACGTAAAAATGGCGGCCAATTTTCAAAATGGCCGCCTGCTACCCAAAATGTCATTTGACATTGTGCCATGCTTAAAGTATCCATATACCAAATATGAACAAAATCGCTCCACTACTTTTTGAGTTACAGTAAATGTTAAATAACACACGTAAAAATTGTTGTTAGACATTGTGCCATGCTTAAAGTATTCACATACCAAATATGAACAAAATCGCTCCACTACTTTTTGAGTTACAGTAAAAGATGTTAAAAAACACACGTAAAAATGGCGGCAGCATACTACCCAAAATTTTAATAGACATTGTGCCATGCTTAAAGTATTCACATACTGAATATGAACAAAATCGCTCCTCTACTTTTTAAGTTACAGCAAAAATCGTAAAATGACGTGCAAAGGCAGCCATTTTTCAAGATGGCTGCCATGTATTTCTTCTATATTAACATTTCTAGCTTAATCAATGTCCTATATAACTTTCTTATATTTAAAACATATTGCTATTACAGTTTTATATGCAGAACCTAAATTACCGTAAAATCGGCACTAAAATGGCTTCCATTTTTAAACGAGTGGCCATTTTGAAAATTGATTTTCGAGCAGAACTTCTACCCCCATTGGGTATATTTGTACAAAATATGAACAAAATCAGGCCAACGGTATTTGAGTTATTGCCCGAGCGGACGGACGGAGGCGGAGACGGACTTCGTTCGATGGGATAATCAACACTAAATTGAATCTGAAAGTCCCGAAGGAGTAATGATGAAATTGAGGTATTCCGTAATGTCAAGACAACCTACCAGGCTTCTTCTTCCCTCCTGTTGATCCTAAACCACTAAAACTGGACATGGTTGACTTGCCACTGGAAATAAATACAAATTGCAACTTTAAGAAACAATCTTTTGATTTGTATCTTAGAACAGCCAAATTATTATATATACCTGTATACGTGGACATAAGTTATTACAATTGGTATGGACTATTAAAGTTCCAAATTATTCAAAGTACTATGTATAACTTATAGACTTTTTGTCTTTCCCTTTTATATGTTATACCTGGATGGTGTGTCATGAGTGGAGGAATGATGTCACATTGTCAGTACATACCAGACACACCAATTACACATTATATGCACAGGTCCTTTAAGTCATCACATAATATACATAAGTCCTTTAAGTCCTTTAACTCATTGTTAATTAATTACTTCTGCATTCAGTGCTTACCTTGGCAAATTATAGGCTTATATATAACTTTTATTGACATCTTGTATCATAACATGATTACATTAGTCATAAATTATTACAGACATGTGCCCGGGTGTATGTGGTAGGGTGAAGTTTTAGAATGTCTGAGGTAAATATTCATTTAGATTAGAAAACTTCTAACCGTTAATGTTTTATATTAATTTGTTTTTAGTTCACTTGGTTTATTATAATCAAACTTTCAAAACGTGTGTCATAACTTTCCGGTCAATTTTGCTATTTCTATATTTCAATTGTTCCAAAGTTAAGTTCTCTTTCCAATTCAGTGCCCGGGATTCAGCATCCATGTGCAGTGATAGTGATGATAGTGAAGCCTTAAAAGTCGAGTGATTGTGTTTGTGTAGTGTGACATTGAAACTTGGACAAACATCTTTATTGTGCTATAAACATATAAAGTGAACAGAATACTTTTGAAATAATTGACATTTGTGAACGATAGTGGATTATCTAATAATGCTGAAGTGATTAATCCATATTAGAATACTCAGCATTTAGTGAACATTAATAATGAGCTGTACAATTTTCACAGTCCATAATAGGGTAATTGTAAATAGGAGAATTAGGAGAAATAGGACAATCTATGAACTCATGTATACGTTGCAAAATTATGTACATATATACTTTGTGAAGGTTAGTTCTATTTTGAGTAAAAATCATATTGAAATGTAAGAATAAAGGTATAATAGTTCAAAGGAACTAGGTTAGAAGCTAGCATTCATTTTTAATTAATTAGTTAATTTCCTTTGTAAATATATTTCAGTAAAACTAGATATGTGTTTGTTCTGTGTGGTAAAGGTTTTAAAATCTCGAATGTAGTCACATTATCAGTACATACCAGACACATCAATTACTAATCTAAACCATGTCACCCTAATTGAAATAATGAAATACAGTAAAACCTGTGTAAGTGTAACACCTTTGGTACCTCTAAAAAGTGTTCCACTTTTAATGTATTCTTCTAACAATTGTTCATTAATCATTTGGTCAATTGGTGATGGGGGTCACAGAGGTGAACTTGCATGGGCTTTACACGTTAACTAGTTCACAAATCAAAAGCATCTAGGTTGAGATATGGTCAATTTTGTACAGTGTATATACAGTAACAGTTATACAGTAGTAGTAGAGATTATCCTATATGAGGTTCAGGATATTGGGATTATCCCGAGGCCAATATAATATATTTGCCCGAGGTTCTAAAATCAGTGTATTTCTAAACCATTTTCCACCTGCTAATCCAACACTGTTTGTCAGTTGTAGAGACATTGGGATTAGACAGGTTTTACTGTAGTTTGTTTTCACATCAAAACCTCACCTTTTCTCCATGGCTGTTGGTACATAAGGCTCCATTGGTGAAGGCAGGGGAGACTGGTTGGGTGAAAGGGCATCAGTTTTCACAGATGAACGTCTAGTCTCCACGCTGGGTGTTGGGGATACATCTATTGTGTTGGAACCATAACTCAAACCAAGGCTCCCTGTACCACCCAGGGACCGACTGGAACAAGAAATACACATCATCAATGCCTCCTGTTTCATCTGAATGCCTCCTGTTTTGTTCTCAATTTCAATATATCTTAAACATTTTCACGTACCTCTGTGATCTGAGCACATCAGATGGGAAGAGTTACAACTGTCAATAAATGTAATGGTTATCATGTAATAATATACCTTTATGTCAATACATTATATAATAGGCATTGTATTTAACAGCAGATATTAGAATATGCATAGGTACACAATTTTTATGACCCCAATTAGATGAAATATGAGGTGGGATGAAAGATCTCAAAAATCCTCAATTTTGGGCTATCCTGGATCGCCAAATCAAGCTCATTACAGGTTGTTCCAAAAGTAACAGGACCGGTGCAAGTATTTTGTTAAATATGCTCCAATTATATTCAAAATTTTACTTAATGTTCTTTCGTGTATTGTGACTAAAACTGTAGTTTCTACAAAAATTATAAAACTTGGGTAGAGTTATGGTTGCTATGGTAACATGACATCACAATACCTGGGGCAACATTCCAAGCAGAAAGTTACACAGACTCTTACAGAAATGCTTAAAGTTTGTACTTTCCCTATCAAAATTGAAATTCCCAACAACTGTTGGGAATTACATTTGCTTTACATCATTTAATATTCCTATGTAAAGTAATGTATCCTTACTTTGAAAAGTAGGCTCAGATTTGTGAAAATTTGAAGACATTCAGTGCAGAATTGACAAAATGCCAGCACCAGTCCTGCTACTTTTGGAACACCCTGTATATCATGGCATCTCAGGGCTGAGAAGAAATGAGATGTCATGGTTTATCATGATGATAACATGTATGAACAAAAATTAGCGAATTACAAAACCGATACAATATTTGCAATCTACTCTAAATTGCTTTTCAATGCGTTTAATAAAGCTATACTTCAGAAAGATCTCAAAATTAACGAAAAATATCTGTTGGCGGCCATTTTGAATTTTCTGGGATACAAATCAGAAAGACAATACCATAGTTATGATCTACCCTAAACTTCCTTCAATTTGAGTACAATATAGCCATATAATACTTTTAAACGGATGAAAGAATATTATTGCGAAATCTCACATAAGGCGGCCATTTTGAATTTTACAAGGCCCAAATTAACATGTTGCCATTTCACCACTATTTGACTTATCATCTTAAAACTTGGTACAGATGTTTTAAACATTATGCTTCAAATAAAATAAAGCTTCTACTATTTAATTGGTTCATCTCATGGTTACTATGGTAATCCGATGTGACGTCAACCGGAGCAAACTTAATTTTGCGAAAAAATGAAACTATTCTCGACTTGATGAACTTAAATATCTTTCAATTATTTTTCAATATATTTTATTTGTTACATGTTGCCATTCGATCACATATAATGCCAAAGACTCTATTTTAGTTGATTATTTCATTTTCTGAGAAAGTGCTAATAATAATATAAAGTGTTTAGAACTAACACATTATTGTCTTTATTAAATTTTTCATCCTTTTTTTGCTTAAAGGAACATTCCTGGCCAAACCTTTTCTATCCTGATGTGATAGCTATAATCATATATATACTTTCCATATTTAGCAAAACAACAGGAAATGTTTAATATAGTCAATATTGATAATTTAAAAATGTAGTGCTCATTTCCAGTAAGCTGCCATCTTTTAAGATTTTACTCAGGAAGAGATGTCATCGACTCTCAACTTCCATGACCTTGCATATAACAGTATAGGGAAGTAGCACAAAATAACTTCTAGACAAGTGGTTCTTACTTTATGTGCAAAAATATTTTCAGAGTTTGTCAGCTTAGAATAATAGAAGAGACTTATAGAAGGATTAAATCATAGATAAAATTGAAAAAGAATGCACAGCTGGTTTTTGTAATTCTTAATAGCTCCTTATAATGTTATATGCAAAGTTGAGAGTCGATGACATCACTTCCTGAGGGAAATACTAAAAGATGGCAGCCTACTGGAATTCAGAACTACATCTTCAAGTGATCAACATTGACTATATTAAAACATTTTTCCCTGTTTTGCTAAATATGGAAAGTATATATATGGTTATAGCTACCATATGAGGAGAGAAATGGTCTGGCCAGGAATGTTCCTTTAACAAATAATTCCCGGGTGATGTCACATCAGTTTACCATAGTTAGCATACAATCAACCACTTAAATAGGAGACACTTTATATTTATGGTATACACTCAGAAATGCTTGAGGAAGATCTGTAACAAGTTTCACGAAGATTAGTGCAGTAGTATTGAAATGGCGACATCTTTGATGTTGCTTCTGCACTCTAGAAATATCTCAAAATTAACGCAAATTCCCATTTTCCTGACCCTGGGGTTCATGGTGAAAAACTTTGAATATATATGAAATAGATAGATGTTGTGAATATACTACCAAAATTTTAAACAATAATATTTATTAATTTGGTTTAAAATGAAAAACTTATGATTTTCACGAAAAAATCCCGCCATTCTTAAAGCTGTCCACTAGTATTTAAGTTAACATCTGGATAGACAGGGCTTCACTATATCCCTACGGAACTTCGTTCATTGGGATAATTATAGGGACCCTTCTTTGTAATGAGAGCAAAACACTAATATATGCAAATGATCTAAATAAATATTCATTTTGAACAATTACAAAATAAAAAGGACATCTTGGGAAAGAAATGTATACAAGTTAACCTAATCACCATTGTGGGCTAAGAGAGCCAGCAGGGCTGCCTTCAGGTACATGGTACATACTGTCCACTTACTCAGCATTGTTTTTCTGATTTGAGGACTTATGACTCTGACTTCCAAGTTGAGCCTCAATATCATCACTGCTATCTGAATCCACATCACTTTCTTGTCTTGTTGTTGATGTCATGGTGCCAGCTAGCATAGACCGATAAGCTGCTGTCTCTGATTGGAGAATAATGAAACTAACAATCAGTTTATTGAACATGTTATCAATATTTATATAAAGCCCATGGCTGTAGTTTTCTTTATAAAACCATTTTCTTTAATCTAAGGAAGATGGAATTTGGTGAAGTAACCTGAAGACAGAGTGTTATAATGTACTTATACATTCCATCTTGGAAACAACCTTTCAAACTAAATATCTATGAAAAGTATCATTATGAAGAAAGGAGTCCAATGTTTTATAAACATAGCAGTCTAAATAAATGGTCAAAATAGCCATCAATAGGGAATCTTGTACTTTGAAGAATCTGTTTGTTGTGAAGGTATTAACTCAAAGGCACCTAATTAAAGTATTCACCCACCTGTTAAATGCACTTTGAATTATTAGATTATTCATCCACCTGTTAAAAGCACTTTGACTTATTAGTGTTCTGCCACCTTTTAAAAGCACTTTGAATTATAAGAGTGTTCAACCACCTGTTAAAAGCACTTTGAATTATTAGTGTTCACCCACCTGTTAAAAGCACTTTGATTACAAGAGTGTTCACCCACCTGTTAAAAGCACTTTGAATTATTAGTGTTCACCCACCTGTTAAAAGCACTTTGAATTATTAGTGTTCACCCACCTGTTAAAAGCACTTTGATTATAAGAGTGTTCACCCACCTGTTAAAAGCACTTTGAATTATTAGTGTTCACCCACCTGTTAAAAGCACTTTGAATTATTAGAGTGTTCCCCCACCTGTTAAAGGCACCTTGAATTATTAGAGTATTCACACACTTGTTAAAAGCACTTTGAGTCATTAGAGTATTCACCCACCTGTTAAAAGCACCTTGAATTATTAGAGTATTCCCCCACTTGTTAAAAGCACTTTGAATTATAAGAGTATTAACCCACCTGTTAAAAGCACATTGAATTATTAGAGTATTCCCCCACCTGTTAAAAGCACTTTGAATTATTAGAGTATTCACCCACCAGTTAAAAGCACTTTGAATTATTAGAGTATTCACCCACCAGTTAAAAGCACTTTGAATTATTAGAGTATTCACCCACCTGTTAAAAGCACTTTGAATTATTAGAGTATTCACCCGCCAGTTAAAAGCACTTTGAATTATTAGAGTATTCCCCCACCTGTTAAAAGCACTTTGAATTATTAGAGTATTCACCTACTTGTTAAAAGCACTTTGAATTATAAGAGTATTCACCCACTTGTTAAAAGCACTTTGAATTATTAGAGTATTCACCCATTTGTTAAAAGCACTTTGAGTTATAAGAGTATTCACCCAGCTGTTAAAAGCACTTTGAGTTATAAGAGTATTCACCCACCTGTTAAAAGCACTTTGAGTTATAAGAGTATTCACCCACCTGTTAAAAGCACTTTGAGTTATAAGAGTATTCACCCATTTGTTAAAAGCACTTTGAATTATTAGAGTATTCACCCATTTGTTAAAAGCACTTTGAGTTATAAGAGTATTCACCCAGCTGTTAAAAGCACTTTGAGTTATAAGAGTATTCACCCACCTGTTAAAAGCACTTTGAGTTATAAGAGTATTCACCCACCTGTTAAAAGCACTTTGAGTTATAAGAGTATTCACCCACCTGTTAAAAGCACTTTGAGTTATAAGAGTATTCACCCACTTGTTAAAAGCACCTTGAGTTATAAGAGTATTCACCCACCTGTTAAAAGCACTTTGAGTTATAAGAGTATTCACCCACTTGTTAAAAGCACCTTGAGTTATAAGAGTATTCACCCACCTGTCAAAGGCACTTTGGATTGTTGTGGCACAGTCTGGTTATAGGAGTCATCTTCAGAACTCTCATCTTCATCCTCTACAGGGGGACTACCTAAGTTCAGTGGTGGAACTGGAAGTCATAAAACATGTAAATGTAAAGTTAGTTGAATGGCAAATTCATTACAAAATCTCGCTGCATTGTTTGCATGTATTTAGATTGTTGAGAAGACTAGGACTGGTTGATTTGATGGTTTATTGGTGTAAAAACTGTTCATAGAAGCAAGAGGTCCTGGGTTCAATCCCAGCCCTTCTTTCGAATAATTAGAGTCTAGTTCTACTATAGTCAGGCCTGTAGCCAGCTTTTGCCAAGGGGGGTTAACTTTTCAGAAAAATTCCAGTAGAGTTCACAAAGGAGGAGGGAAAGTATCACTACAGGTTTCGGACAGTCATATGTTGGCTATTTTCTGAGGATTTAAACAGGTGCATATGTTATATTAGGCCAGTGCATTTCTTCTGATATGTTTTCCTGATTTTCAACCCCTTCCACCACTGCTTTTTCGATTTTCGTTGCATCAATATGTTGCGTTTTGACACACAGTTAATCCCTTTAAAGGAATAAGTAATTCCTCCAGAGGTTTTAAAGATATCCATTATGGGTGACCAAAGTTAGCTGAAAGCAATGGATCACATGATGATTCCCTATAGGAAAATAACATGGGAAATATTGTTTTCCTCATTATCTAACAGGAATCACTTATTCCTTTTAATTGAAAAAGCAGGGGTGGAATGGGTTGAAAATCAGATCAACATTTCAGAAAAAACATGTGGGTGGGTTGTTTGCATCATCTCTGTCTCAAATTCGAAATTATTTTATCATCTCTATGAGTGCTTTTCCTGCAGACAATGCATTGGCCTAACATATGCACTTGTTTAAATCCTAAGAAAATAGCCAAAATCCAACATATGACTGTCCGAAATCTGTTGCGATACTTTCCCTCCTCCTTTGCCCCAAAATCACATGAAATATGTTCAAAATTGTGAAAAACTGCATGAATTTGAAAGAATTGCTCTACCTTGATCACTGTTAAATACAAATTAAATACAACTGTAACAATATTCTGTGTGTCCATATGAATACTTGGAATCATAATTGTCAAGAGATTTTACACCCTGTAGGCCTATTTCCAACAGTTATTGCTCACCTTCATATGTTAAACAAATACAATACAAAGGGACTTTATTTCTGAAGAAAATATTGGAAACCATAAATTGATGGACTTAGGGTTCCTGCATACCTTTTGGTTTGTTGTTTGACTTCCCCAATGTGTCATCTCCTATTGCTTCAATCGTGCCACTGAGAGTAGAGTTCTTTACTGTTGCAGGCATTGTGGGTAATGAGACAGAGGAGGTATCTGTGACATCAGAGTCATCCATATAAGCGTTCTTCAACAACACTGCGAGAGTGTTTGAGGCCTGTAAGTAAAGTATGTTTAAGGGATAATGCATTATCCATTTAAGGGAGAATGCAATTACACTTAGGGGAGAATGTCAAAACTTCTACCCCATAAGGTATATGTGTACAAAATTTGAACAAAATCGGGCCAACGGTATTTGAGTTATTGCCCGGACAGACGACTAGATGGACAAACGTACGGACGGACATATGCACGGACAGACGGACGGATGGACGGAGGCATTTCTTATATCCCTCCGAATTTTGTTCAATGAGATAAAAAGACATTTTTGATATTTTTTGATGCTGAGAAGGTCACTGAAGGAAGCAAGTTGAAAAAAAGACCTTTTTGACATCTTTTGACGCTGAGAAGGTCCATGAAGGTGATATCTCAAATCTAAAGTCAGATTTGAACCTCTGAGAACTTGTAAATGATTTTAAAAAAGAATTTGGTCAATTTGAAGCAAGATGAAATAATATCCTTTTGGCATTTTTGACCTTGAGATGGTAATTGAAGGTCAAATTTGTTTTGACATTAACATTGAAAGTCAAAACCCAAATCTATAGTAAAATTTGAACTTTTGAGAACTTGTAGATGATTTTGAAAAAAATAGATCAATTTGAAGCAAGTTGAAAAAACACCTTTTTGACCTCTTTTGTAAGGTCATTCAAGCTGAAATCTCAAATCAAAAGTCAGATCTAAACTTCTGGAAAAATGGTCAATTTGAAGCAAGTTGAAAAAAAACGTTTTGACTTTTTCATCTTTTTTTACCTTGAAAAGGTCTGGAGTCAGATTTGAACTTCAGTAAACATGTACACTGTAGATGATTTTGAAAAAATTGAAGTCAGTTTAAACAGTGTTTGTTAAGAAAGAATTGTAAGAATTTGTAACAGACACCGATCACCAACTGCCAACCACCAACCACCACCTCTGTACCCCCTTTTTGGCGCACGCTTCACTCACAGTGAGGCAAACCCAAAAAATTGCAACCCCCTGACCATTGCTGGCAATGCCCCTGCTTTCATTCCATATTTCTTACCTTAGTTTCTAGTTTAGACTTTTTAGATATCAGCAATGGAGCGAATATACTAGCAGTCTCATCACTGTTCATGATGTTGCACTTCACAATACTGGTCATGTGACCAAACACATGGTCCCAGAGGTCCAGATCTGATGAATAAATATAACCTCTAAAAAAGAAAGGAATTACGATAACACTGCAATATGCATCTGACAGAAGACGATTTGTATATATTGTATATAAAAATGTATTCTGGAGTCATGTTTGTACATTATATGTTTATTAAATTATCATTTTGCATAGTACATAAGAGGGCAAGGGCACAAACAAATGAACTTTTAAGATTATTTGAAATAAGAAAATCAAACATAAAGCAAGGGTAACATTTACTTAAACAGGTAAAGGAGGGTTAACTGCTTTATACGACAATGTTCACCCTCCCTGCAGGGTCTGTAAGATCAGTCATTGAATACACAACTAATACAGAACGTACCTGATATTTGCCTCACTAGTGGCAGGTATAGGAGGGTTAACTGCTTTATCTGACAATATTCACCCTCCATGCAGGGTCTGTAAGATCAGTCATTGAATACACAACTTAAATAGAACGTACCTGATATTTGCCTCACTAGTTGCAGGTATAGGAGGGTTAACTGCTTTATATGACAATATTCACCCTCCCTGCAGGGTCTGTAAGATCAGTCATTGAATACACAACTTAAATAGAACGTACCTGATATTTGCCTCACTAGTTGCAGGTATAGGAGGGTTAACCGCTTTATCTGACAATATTCACCCTACACGCAAGGCCTGTAAGATCAGCCATTGAATACATAACTTAAATAGAACGTACCTGATAATTGTCTCACTTGTTGCAGGTATAGGAGAGTCAACTGCTTTATACGACAATATTCACCCTCTCTGCAGGGTCTGTAAGATCAGTCATTGAATACGCAACTAATATAGAACATACCTGATAATTGCCTCACTAGTTGCAGGTATAGGAGGGTTAACTGCTTTATCTGACAATATTCACCCTCCCTACAGGCTCTGTAAGATCAGCCATTGAATACACAACTTAAATAGAATGTACCTGATATTTGCCTCACTAGTTTCAAGTATAGGAGGGTTAACTGCTTTATCTGACAATATTCACCCTCTCTGCAGGCTCTGTAAGATCAGCCATTGAATACATAACTTAAATAGAACGTACCTGATAATTGCCTCACTAGTTGCAGGCATAGGAGGGTTAACTGCTTTATACGACAATATTCACCCTCCCTGCAGGGTCTGTAAGATCAGCCATTGAATACACAACTAATATAGAATGTACCTGATAATTGCCTCACTTGTTGCAGGTAAAGGAGGGTTAACTGCTTTATACGACAATATTCACCCTCCCTGCAAGGCCTGTAAGATCAGCCATTGAACACACAAACTATTATAGAACGTACCTGATAATTGCCTCACTAGTTGCAGGTAAAAGAGGGTTAACTGCTTCATCTGACAATATACACCCTCCCTGCAAGGCCTGTAAGATCAGCCATTGGATACACAACTAATATAGGACGTACCTGATATTTGCCTCACTAGTTGCAGGTATAGGAGGGTTAACCGCTTAATACGACAATATCCACCCTCCCTGCAGGGTCTGTAAGATCAGCAATTGAATACACAACTAATATAGAACGTACCTGATAATTGCCTCACTAGTTTCAGATAACGGAGGGTTAACTGCTTTATATGACAATATTCACCTTCCCTGCAGGGTCTATAGGATCAGTCATTGAATACACAACTAATATAGAATGTACCTGATAATTGCCTCACTAGTTGCAGGTATAGGAAGGTTAACTGCTTTATCTGACAATATTCACCCTCCCAGCAGGGTCTGTAAGATCAGCCATTGAATACACAACTTAAATAGAACGTACCTGATATTTGCCTCACTAGTTGCAGGTATAGGAGGGTTAACTGCTTTATATGACAATATTCACCTTCCCTGCAGGGTCTATAGGATCAGTCATTGAATACACAACTAATATAGAATGTACCTGATAATTGCCTCACTAGTTTCAAGTATAGGAGGGTTAACTGCTTTATGTGACAATATTCACCCTCCCTGCAAGGCCTGTAAGATCAGCCATTGAATACACAACTTAAATAGAATGTACCTGATATTTGCCTCACTAGTTGCAGGTATAGGAGGGTTAACTGCTTTATCTGACAATATTCACCCTCCATGCAGGGTCTGTAAGATCAGCCATTGAATACACAACTTAAATAGAATGTACCTGATATTTGCCTCACTAGTTGCAGGTATAGGAGGGTTACCCGCTTAATACGACAATATCCACCCTCCTTGCAGGGTCTGTAAGATCAGCCAGTGAATACACAACTAATATAGAACGTACCTGATAATTGCCTCACTAGTTTCAGGTAAAGGAGGATTAACTGCTTTATATGACAATATTCACCTTCCCTGTAGGGTCTGTAGGATCAGTCATTGAAAACACAACTAATATAGAATGTACCTGATAATTGCCTCACTAGTTGCAGGTATAGGAGGGTTAACTGCTTTATCTGACAATATTCACCCTCCCTGCAGGGTCTGTAAGATCAGCCATTGAATACACAACTTAAATAGAACGTACCTGATATTTGCCTCACTAGTTGCAGGTATAGGAGGGTTAACTGCTTTATCTGACAATATACACCCTCCCTGCAAGGTCTGTATGATCAAAGGAAGCTGTTGCAAGACCAGCATGCTTAGATCCACTCCAAAATCAATGCAATCCAAGTCTTCCAGCCCCTTACTTCCACTGGCATTCACAACACTGCGGAGAATAGAAACTCTCTGTCTCAGTTTTATAAACAATTAGCACTATTTTGGTGACATGTAACTGACAAAACCAATAGAAGTTAACTAGTGTTGTCGCAATTAATCGATACATCGCGATATACATCGCCAAAGCTGATTCTGGCGATGCATATGCATTTGCTAAATATCACCCTTTCTTATTTTATTTTGACGCAAATCGCTTACCTTTCTCATGTCTTATTTCATTGTCCAATGTTTTCTGATATTCTTTCGCTTTAAAACTGTTTTAGCAAGTCGAAATGAACCATTAATCTAAAAAAATTACTTTACTTTCATTTCACTGTTACTGGAAGTTCCCGGATGTACCAGCGTACTCTTATTAATTTGTTCTGCTCAGTATTTTAATGCATTGGCGTACGGTATTTCAGTGCACTTTTCTTGGACTTTTTCTCGATGTACAATGTACGATGTGCAATGCATCGATGTACGATTATGGCACATCGCGACAACACTAAAGTTAACTGAGATAAAAATTATCAAAATAAGTTACATTGAATAACTGACTCATTAATAGTGTATGTCATTAAACAGAAGAAGACATTGTAAAAGGCATTATACAACCATTTGACTTCTCAAAAGGATTACATTTTGCATAATATGATATTGCCAAATAACACACAACTCATACTTTACTGCTTTATATCACTACTCACTCAACGATTTCATTCACTCTATCAGCAGGAAGAGGGGGTGACCTGAAATAGCTGGCTTCATTGAAAGTCACCCCAAAGTCATCTCTGAGTTTTTCAAACACACAGTAGAGTCCTTCATATGACAGCACAGGTCCTGGGCTACTGCTGTAAAATACAATTACAATACAATACAAAAGGTGCAAGAAGAGATAAGACTGAACTATTGTGGCTGCTTCATAAGGTTTATGATCTTACAAAATCATATAGCTTTTTCATTTAGTGTTCTGGTAAAACATTTGATTCAGAGAAGTTTGCATGTTTTCACTACATTCTTATTATCAATTGATTAGTAAAGTGAATAATCAGAAGAAGATTATGACTGAAACTTCTGAGTAATATATGAAATTAACTTTACCTTGTTACAGCTACCTCAGATCTTGGGCTTGTAATTGAGCTTTTAGATCCCCTGGGTGTCGTTTGCTTCCCTCTTAAACTCTCTGGGGTGGTTGCTCTAGGGGGGTGCTGCATTCCCCTGGGGGTGACAGACTTTTTAGGAAGACTCTTGGAGGTAGGGTGGTCATCAGGGCTGAGGGGGAGACTCAAATCATCATCAAACTGATCTACTGGAATATTATGAATAAGCACAATAATCATACAGAAAGGGTATTCCATGTTGAAAGCATGGAGCCATTGATGCCAACTATTCCAGATTAGTGTAAGGTTTATAAGCGCCTTGTTCTAGATTTTAAAAATACAAACAGTTAACTGTTCATCAGTTTGATTTGATATTAAGTCTTATCTACCTTCTTGGTCATCTCTGTAGGCAGCAGCACCAGGGGAGGGGGTACTACCAACTTTCTCACTCACTTCAAAGTGTGTAGGACCACTAGCTATGGAACTTTGGCTTGCTTGTTTAGCAGGGCCCTTCGGAGGTATATGGTCTACTCTGTCATCACTATGAGCTGAGTTCATCTTCCTGGGGCTTGATTCTTTAGAGGGGAGTTTAAGACTTGCTATAAAAGCTTCCTGTTCTTTATCCTCTATAGAGCTAACTCCGAGACTCTCATCTGATGAATCAGCTGTCTTGTTATGTGGATTTGTCAATGGTGTAGGAGGCTCAGTTGTGATGGTATAAGCACCCTGGGGCATCGTGGAGAACTGACTTTGCATAGTGGCTCCCAACGTATCGATCATGCCCCCTTGTTTGCCACTTACATTAAAGTTCATACCAGTTGAACCTTGAGTTATATCTGTTAATGTTTGTAGACCTGAGCTCCCCATTTGATACTGTGTGCTAAACTGGGCACTTTGATTTGTATTGGACATTGAGGCCAGATGGCTGTTTTGATAAGGATCTCCCCGAGTTAGATTTTGAGCATTTGTATTTTGAGAGTTCATGGATGAAGATATTCTTGAATCTGCCAATCCTTGCTGAAGCTTCTGTTGTTGTAATTGTTGTATTAATTGGACCTCAGCATTCTTTTGTTGTAGAAGTTGTTGTATTTTAAGCTCCTTTAGCTTTAATTGTTCTTTCAACAATTGTTCTTGGGATGCTTCTTCCAGATGACTTGGGTTCATGGAAGAATCACTTTGTTGGAGTTGAGGATCGAGTGAAGAATCATTTTGTTGAAGATGAGCATTCATGGATGGATCATTTTGCTGAAGTACTGTATTGAGGGACTTGTCATACTGTCCAGTCTGGTTTAAAGGTATGGACAGGGGACCAAGACTCATTTCTGTGAACAAATTCTGAACTACAGGTTGAGGCTGAACTTGTTTTTGTGTCTGAAATAAATAAATAATATATAATCAAAACTTAAGTGTATCAATTGTTCAAGCAATGACTCGACTATATTATATGTAACTTCTGTATTTGTTTAAAATAATTGTTCAAAATGCTCAACATGCATCTACAAGTATACAAAAAAATTGTGCTTAACTTTATAAATAAGTCAACTGTATCATTTAAAACCTAATATTTATATTTTGTTCCAAGCATACCTCTTTTTGATATTTCCAAAGTTTCACCTGTTCTTTCCATCGTGGATACATCCTGTCAATGTACTCTTCATACTGGTTCTACAAAAAGATAATTTGATCAAACAGTAAAATAGTAGTTAAATAGAATGCAATTGTATTTTCTGACATTGAGATAAATAGTCTAAATTAAGAATCAAAAGTCCCAGTTTAAAATATAGATTCAGATATATAAATTGGATTGTTTATGACCGTTCCCCTTATTTACAAAGCACCCTAGAATGAAGTTAGCATTTTACAAAATGAGACAAACTACTAGTATTCAAAATGACTCATATATATATGAGAGTGATTCATTCTAAATAGAATCAGCTGCTCATGTACCTTCATGACTTGTAGATTCTGTGATCGTGCATTCAAAATGACTCATATACTATATATATATACATGAGAGTGATTCATTCTAAATAGAATCAGCTGCTCATGTACCTTCATGACTTGTAGATTCTGTGATCGTGCATTCAAAATGACTCATATATATATATATATATATATATATATAAGTAAAAATAAGAAGAACTAATAAAATACGTTTGAAAATCTAAACATGTTTCTTTATTCCTCAGTAGATTTTTCAAAAATGAGAACAAGAGGTATACAGGTAAGTATGACGTAATATTAATATAATTAATTAAACGTCATGGAAACCAATAAACAATTTATTTGTTTAGTTTTGGTTTAAGATATATACAGGTAAGTATGACGTAATATAAATATGATCCGCTTATATAGTAACCAATAAACAATTTATTTGTTTATTTTTGGTTTAAAAATATACAGGTAAAAAGGTATATGACGTAATATTAATATCAAAATGACTCATATATATATATATATACATGAGAGTGATTCATTCTAATTAGAATCAGCTGCACATGTACCTTCATGACTTATAGATTCTGTGACCGTGCATTCAAAATGACTCATATATATATACATGAGAGTGATTCATTCTAAATAGAATCAGCTGCTCATGTACCTTCATGACTTGTAGATTCTGTGATCGTGCATTCAAAATGACTCATATATATATATATATATATATATATATAAAAAATATATATATATATATATAAAAATATATATATATATATAAAACTAGATACATTAATAAAGAAACACGGGAATGGCCTTACAAAAAACGAAAAGTGTTACATTACGCAATTTGAATGCAAAACTAGTAACTTTTACGGTTTACCGAAAATACACAAATGTGAACTTATAAGAGACAGATGTAAATGTGAACAATCCGAATATATAAAAATGGAATGTCCATACAATTTGACTTTTCGTCCGATAGTTGGCGGTCCAGCTAGTGAGACTAGCAAACTAAGCGAATTTATTGATAAAATTTTACAACCATTAGTACCAGAAGCGATGGGAAATAGTTACATTAAAGACGACATGGATTTCATAAAGAAATTACCCAATCTTACTACTAACTCTTCTACAATGCTGGTATCATTCGATGTAGTAGGATTATACAGCAATATTCCGCATGAACTAGGTTTACAAGCAATATCTTATTGGTTGGATAAATACGATAATGACATCATAAAACGGATTTCTCCTGATTTCATTATGAAAGCTATAGAATTAATCCTCGAAAACAACTTTCTTCAATTCGATAACGAAGTGTTCCGACAACTGAAAGGAACAGCCATGGGAACGAAAATGGCCCCGTGCTATAGTAATTTAACTTTAGCGTTTGTGGAAGAGAAATTAATGGATGAGATGCAAATAACATTTCCCGAAGATATTGCCAAATTCATTCAAATTAATTGGAGACGATATCTGGATGATTGCTTTATTCTTTGGCCTTTCTCTGAAGAAAGATTGAAAGCCTTTCACATGGTTCTAAACAGTATTGATGACAATATAAAATATACATGTGAAAGTAACAGAAACCAACTCCCGTTCCTCGATATCATGGTTAAAATAAAACCTGGAGGTGAAATCGCAACAGACATTTTTAGAAAACCAACTGATACGCAACAATATTTGAACTTTAACTCATGTCAGACCACCATGTTAAGATCAATTTACCGTATAACTTAGCCCGCCGTATCATCTGTATTGTAAGTGAAGAAGAAGTGCAAATTGAAAGATTAACCGAATTGGAGATTACACTGATATCACGTGGTTACCCCAGAGGCCTGATACACGATGCAATAAAAAAAGCCAGAGAATATACTAGACATGATCTACTATACGGAAACAACAATGACAACAAAAAGGGTGATAAAAAAATCCCTTTTATTTCAACATTCAACCCTAGAAACCCAGACTTGTTTTCAACTTTAAAAGAAAATGCAGTTGTTCTTAACAATGATACAAAAATGAGAGACGTGATCACTAAAAAACCATTTTTAAAGAGTAAACGTCAAAGCAGAAACTTGAAAAGAATCATAACTTCTTCTGCTTTCAAATCTAATAAAGAGGATATAACTGTGACCAAATGTGAAAAACCAAGATGTGGCTGCTGTGTTCATATTTCTAATGATATTAAATACAATGGCAAAACATTCAACGCCAAGGTATCAATGAATTGTGAATCAAGAAACTTACTATATGCCATGAAATGTGTTGGATGTAACGAGATTTACATTGGACAAACGGGCGACAAACTTCGGAACAGGGTCCGGGTCCATAAGCAACAAATTCGTGACCCTACTGTCCGTATGTTGCCAGTAAGCGAGCATATTGATAATTGTGCTACTGGACATGAACCAAAATTCACAATAATGCCTTTTTTTAAATTTCATGAAGACGATATCGAACAAAGAATCGCCATGGAAAATCATTTTATTAACATTTTTCAACCCAAACTAAACAAATAAATTGTTTATTGGTTACTATACATGTAACGGTTAAATTGTACGTGATGGATAAATACTACTGACAATAATTAATTGTATTAATATTACGTCATATACCTTTTTACCTGTATATTTTTAAACCAAAAATAAACAAATAAATTGTTTATTGGTTACTATATAAGCGGATTATATTTATATTACGTCATACTTACCTGTATATATCTTAAACCAAAACTAAACAAATAAATTGTTTATTGGTTTCCATGACGTTTAATTAATTATATTAATATTACGTCATACTTACCTGTATACCTCTTGTTCTCATTTTTGAAAAATCTACTGAGGAATAAAGAAACATGTTTAGATTTTCAAACGTATTTTATAAGTTCTTCTTATTTTTACTTATATATATATATATACATACATGAGAGTGATTCATTCTAAATAGAATCAGCTGCTCATGTACCTTCATGACTTGTAGATTCTGTGATCGTGCTTTCAAAATGACTCATATATATATATATATATACATGAGAGTGATTCATTCTAAATAGAATCAGCTGCTCATGTACCTTCATGACTTATAGATTCTGTGATCGTGCATTCAAAATGACTCATATATACATGAGAGTGATTCATTCTAAATAGAATCAGCTGCTCATGTACCTTCATGACTTGTAGATTCTGTGATCGTGCATTCAAAATGACTCATATATATATATATACATGAGAGTGATTCATTCTAAATAGAATCAGCTGCTCATGTACCTTCATGACTTGTAGATTCTGTGATCGTGCATTCAAAATGACTCATATATATATATATATACATGAGAGTGATTCATTCTAAATAGAATCAGCTGCACATGTACCTTCATGACTTGTAGATTCTGTGATCGTGCATTCAAAATGACTCATATATATATATATATACATGAGAGTGATTCATTCTAAATAGAATCAGCTGCTCATGTACCTTCATGACTTATAGATTCTGTGATCGTGCATTCAAAATGACTCATATATATATATACATGAGAGTGATTCATTCTAAATAGAATCAGCTGCACATGTACCTTCATGACTTGTAGATTCTGTGATCGTGCATTCAAAATGACTCATATATATATACATGAGAGTGATTCATTCTAAATAGAATCAGCTGCTCATGTACCTTCATGACTTGTAGATTCTGTGATCGTGCATTCAAAATGACTCATATATGTATATATGAGAGTGATTCATTCTAAATAGAATCAGCTGCTCATGTACCTTCATGACTTGTAGATTCTGTGATCGTGCATTCAAAATGACTCATATATATATATATATATACATGAGAGTGATTCATTCTAAATAGAATCAGCTGCTCATGTACCTTCATGACTTGTAGATTCTGTGATCGTGCATTCAAAATGACTCATATATATATATATGAGAGTGATTCATTCTAATTAGAATCAGCTGCTCATGTACCTTCATGACTTGTAGATTCTGTGATTGTGCATTCAAAATGACTCATATATACATGAGAGTGATTCATTCTAAATAGAATCAGCTGCACATGTACCTTCATGACTTGTAGATTCTGTGATCGTGTATTCAAAATGACTCATATATATATATATATACATGAGAGTGATTCATTCTAAATAGAATCAGCTGCTCATGTACCTTCATGACTTGTAGATTCTGTGATCGTGCATTCAAAATGACTCATATATATATATATATACATGAGAGTGATTCATTCTAAATAGAATCAGCTGCTCATGTACCTTCATGACTTGTAGATTCTGTGATCTTGCATTCAAAATTACTCATATATATATATACATGAGAGTGATTCATTCTAAATAGAATCAGCTGCTCATGTACCTTCATGACTTGTAGATTCTGTGATTGTGCATTCAAAATGACTCATATATATATACATGAGAGTGATTCATTCTAATTAGAATCAGCTGCACATGTACCTTCATGACTTGTAGATTCTGTGATCGTGCATTCAAAATGACTCATATATATATACATGAGAGTGATTCATTCTAAATAGAATCAGCTGCTCATGTACCTTCATGACTTGTAGATTCTGTGATCGTGCATTCAAAATGACTCATATATATATATATATATATACATGAGAGTGATTCATTCTAAATAGAATCAGCTGCACATGTACCTTCATGACTTGTAGATTCTGTGATCGTGCATTCAAAATGACTCATATATATACATGAGAGTGATTCATTCTAAATAGAATCAGCTGCTCATGTACCTTCATGACTTGTAGATTCTGTGATCGTGCATTCAAAATGACTCATATATACATGAGAGTGATTCATTCTAAATAGAATCAGCTGCTCATGTACCTTCATGACTTGTAGATTCTGTGATCGTGCATTCAAAATGACTCATATATACATGAGAGTGATTCATTCTAAATAGAATCAGCTGCTCATGTACCTTCATGACTTGTAGATTCTGTGATCGTGCATTCAAAATGACTCATATATACATGAGAGTGATTCATTCTAAATAGAATCAGCTGCTCATGTACCTTCATGACTTGTAGATTCTGTGATCGTGCATTCAAAATGACTCATATATATATATATATACATGAGAGTGATTCATTCTAAATAGAATCAGCTGCTCATGTACCTTCATGACTTGTAGATTCTGGGATCGTGCATTCAAAATGACTCATATATACATGAGAGTGATTCATTCTAAATAGAATCAGCTGCTCATGTACCTTCATGACTTGTAGATTATGTGATCGTGCATTCAAAATGACTCATATATACATGAGAGTGATTCATTCTAAATAGAATCAGCTGCTCATGTACCTTCATGACTTGTGTATTCTGTGATCGTGCATTCAAAATGACTCATATATACATGAGAGTGATTCATTCTAAATAGAATCAGCTGCTCATGTACCTTCATGACTTGTAGATTCTGTGATCGTGCATTCAAAATGACTCATATATATATACATGAGAGTGATTCATTCTAAATAGAATCAGCTGCACATGTACCTTCATGACTTATAGATTCTGTGACCGTGCATTCAAAATGACTCATATATATATATATACATGAGAGTGATTCATTCTAAATAGAATCAGCTGCTCATGTACCTTCATGACTTGTAGATTCTGTGATCGTGCATTCAAAATGACTCATACATATATATATATACATGAGAGTGATTCATTCTAAATAGAATCAGCTGCTCATGTACCTTCATGACTTGTAGATTCTGTGATCGTGCATTCAAAATGACTCATATATACATGAGAGTGATTCATTCTAAATAGAATCAGCTGCTCATGTACCTTCATGACTTGTAGATTCTGTGATCGTGCATTCAAAATGACTCATATATATATATATATATACATGAGAGTGATTCATTCTAAATAGAATCAGCTGCACATGTACCTTCATGACTTATAGATTCTGTGATCGTGCATTCAAAATGACTCATATATATATATATATATATAAGAGTGATTCATTCTAAATAGAATCAGCTGCTCATGTACCTTCATGACTTGTAGATTCTGTGATCGTGCATTCAAAATGACTCATATATATATATACATGAGAGTGATTCATTCTAAATAGAATCAGCTGCACATGTACCTTCATGACTTGTAGATTCTGTGTTTGTGCATTCAAAATGACTCATATATATATATATGAGAGTGATTCATTCTAAATAGAATCAGCTGCTCATGTACCTTCATGACTTGTAGATTCTGTGATCGTGCATTCAAAATGACTCATATATATATGAGGGTGATTCATTCTAAATAGAATCAGCTGCTCATGTACCTTCATGACTTGTAGATTCTGTGATCGTGCATTCAAAATGACTCATATATATATATATATATACATGAGAGTGATTCATTCTAAATAGAATCAGCTGCACATGTACCTTCATGACTTGTAGATTCTGTGATCGTGCATTCAAAATGACTCATATATATATATATATATATACATGAGAGTGATTCATTCTAAATAGAATCAGCTGCTCATGTACCTTCATGACTTGTAGATTCTGTGATCGTGCATTCAAAATGACTCATATATATATATATATATACATGAGAGTGATTCATTCTAAATAGTATCAGCTGCACATGTACCTTCATGACTTGTAGATTCTGTGATCGTGCATTCAAAATGACTCATATATACATGAGAGTGATTCATTCTAAATAGAATCAGCTGCACATGTACCTTCATGACTTGTAGATTCTGTGATCGTGCATTCAAAATGACTCATATATATATATATGAGAGTGATTCATTCTAAATAGAATCAGCTGCTCATGTACCTTCATGACTTGTAGATTCTGTGATCGTGCATTCAAAATGACTCATATATATATATATATACATGAGAGTGATTCATTCTAAATAGAATCAGCTGCACATGTACCTTCATGACTTGTAGATTCTGTGATCGTGCATTCAAAATGACTCATATATATATATATATACATGAGAGTGATTCGTTCTAAATAGAATCAGCTGCTCATGTACCTTCATGACTTGTAGATTCTGTGATCGTGCATTCAAAATGACTCATATATATATATATATATACATGAGAGTGATTCATTCTAAATAGAATCAGCTGCACATGTACCTTCATGACTTGTAGATTCTGTGATCGTGCATTCAAAATGACTCATATATACATGAGAGTGATTCATTCTAAATAGAATCAGCTGCACATGTACCTTCATGACTTGTAGATTCTGTGATCGTGCATTCAAAATGACTCATATATATATATATGAGAGTGATTCATTCTAAATAGAATCAGCTGCTCATGTACCTTCATGACTTGTAGATTCTGTGATCGTGCATTCAAAATGACTCATATATATATATATATATACATGAGAGTGATTCATTCTAAATAGAATCAGCTGCACATGTACCTTCATGACTTGTAGATTCTGTGATCGTGCATTCAAAATGACTCATATATATATATATACATGAGAGTGATTCATTCTAAATAGAATCAGCTGCTCATGTACCTTCATGACTTGTAGATTCTGTGATCGTGCATTCAAAATGACTCATATATATATATATATATACATGAGAGTGATTCATTCTAAATAGAATCAGCTGCTCATGTACCTTCATGACTTGTAGATTCTGTGATCGTGCATTCAAAATGACTCATATATATATGAGAGTGATTCATTCTAAATAGAATCAGCTGCTCATGTACCTTCATGACTTATAGATTCTGTGATCGTGCATTCAAAATGACTCATATATATATATATATATACATGAGAGTGATTCATTCAAAATAGAATCAGCTGCTCATGTACCTTCATGACTTGTAGATTCTGTGATCGTGCATTCAAAATGACTCATATACATGAGAGTGATTCATTCTAATTAGAATCAGCTGCTCATGTACCTTCATGACTTATAGATTCTGTGATCGTGCATTCAAAATGACTCATATATACATGAGAGTGATTCATTCTAAATAGAATCAGCTGCTCATGTACCTTCATGACTTGTAGATTCTGTGATCGTGCATTCAAAATGACTCATATATATATATATACATGAGAGTGATTCATTCTAAATAGAATCAGCTGCACATGTACCTTCATGACATGTAGATTCTGTGATCGTGCATTCAAAATGACTCATATATATATATATATACATGAGAGTGATTCATTCTAATTAGAATCAGCTGCTCATGTACCTTCATGACTTGTAGATTCTGTGATCGTGCATTCAAAATGACTCATATATATATACATGAGAGTGATTCATTCTAATTAGAATCAGCTGCTCATGTACCTTCATGACTTGCAGATTCTGTGATTGTGCATTCAAAATGACTCATATATATATACATGAGAGTGATTCATTCTAAATAGAATCAGCTGCACATGTACCTTCATGACTTATAGATTCTGTGATCGTGCATTCAAAATGACTCATATATATATATATATATATATATATATATACATGAGAGTGATTCATTCTAAATAGAATCAGCTGCACATGTACCTTCATGACTTGTAGATTATGTGATCGTGCATTCAAAATGACTCATATATACATGAGAGTGATTCATTCTAAATAGAATCAGCTGCACATGTACCTTCATGACTTGTAGATTCTGTGATCGTGCATTCAAAATGACTCATATATATATACATGAGAGTGATTCATTCTAAATAGAATCAGCTGCACATGTACCTTCATGACTTGTAGATTCTGTGATCGTGCATTCAAAATGACTCATATATATATATATATATACATGAGAGTGATTCATTCTAAATAGAATCAGCTGCACATGTACCTTCATGACTTGTAGATTCTGTGATCGTGCATTCAAAATGACTCATATATATATATATGAGAGTGATTCATTCTAATTAGAATCAGCTGCTCATGTACCTTCATGACTTGTAGATTCTGTGATCGTGCATTCAAAATGACTCATATATACATGAGAGTGATTCATTCTAAATAGAATCAGCTGCTCATGTACCTTCATGACTTGTGTATTCTGTGATCGTGCATTCAAAATGACTCATATATATATATATATATATACATGAGAGTGATTCATTCTAAATAGAATCAGCTGCTCATGTACCTTCATGACTTGTAGATTCTGTGATCGTGCATTCAAAATGACTCATATATATATGAGAGTGATTCATTCTAAATAGAATCAGCTGCTCATGTACCTTCATGACTTGTAGATTCTGTGATCGTGCATTGAGTGCCTTCATGTGGTTCTCCACTCTCTCAAAGTCCCTGATCAGCTGCTCATTCCTCTTCCTTCTCCTCTTCTCCTCCTCACAAATCTTCTTCCAATGTGTCTGTAGCCTTTGTGCTCTCAGGTTTGCCCTTTAAACACAAAATATTAACATTCACTTATTGATCTATACACAGATTTAATTTGTGCTCTAATATTCAGTCAAAATTTACTATGAATAAGAAAAATGTATACAGTAAAACCTGTATATCTAAACACCTCTCCCTCCAATCCAATCACCTCTCAATATGAACACTTTTTCTTGGTCCCAATTGACTCAAAAATCAAGAACCTTGGAATATGATCACCTGCTTATCTGAACACTTTGGGCCAATAATAGTCCCATTCAGATAAGACAAGTTTTAGTGTATATTATTCACAAATACTAGAATTCCATGATTGCGCGTCACCGCAGAAAAACCACAGATTTTTTGCATGGAATTTCATGGAAAACTTGATTTTTCAAGTCAACCATCTCATCTCATATATTTGTCACTCACCTTGACACCTAAAGATAGTCATTTGTCAACTGATGTTGTTAGGGTGAGATCTGTTTAAAGTTCTCAAACTTCCGCCTTTGCACTTCATAATTACATCTTATATGTCACAAAATTTGAATTCCCTGCAATTTCGTTATAGTTCAGACATAAGCCGTTGCTTGCAGAATTTATCGCGGAATTTGAGATTTCATGCAGAATTTGGCACAGAATTTGACTTTTTACTCATGCAGAAAACTTGTCTGTGTGATTTATTGTCATCTAAGTGAACTGTACTTACAGTCGACTGTCTGACTTGCTGTATGTATTTAGCTCTTGTTCAAGCTCCAGTCTTCCAGTTTCTCTGCAAAACAAATACATGTACATTGATGAAGTATAGAATAGTGGATCAATCAAAGTTAGTCTCAAACATTTGATTTAAAGATTCCTGTTTGAAAAATAACATGTGACTCAATTGAGAAATGCAGCAAAATTCCGAACATGCACCCTGTCCTTAAGCATAAATTATTTGTAAAGGCTAGAGTACCGACAATTGTGGGTACGGGAGACTTCGCTGTGTGGACACGCTAGACCGACAAATAAATTGTCAGCACTTTAGCACCTCCTAGTAGGAACACTAGAGAACCAAATGTCGACACTGAAGGCACTCCTAATAGGATCTAATAGAGAACCGACCATAAGTCTGTGTGTCTGCTAAATACTGTAAAACATGCTAAATACGCAAGCATAGTGATTTCGCCTTTATTTGCCTAAATGTAAAATCGCGAATCTAAAACTGTGTATTTTCCTGAGTAATGTGGATGAATTAATGGAACAAATGAAGAATAAAATCTACTGGTACAGTTGGGGACATAAATAAATGACAGGTGGATTTGCTGAAGTGAGGATTTCCCATGTTAAAAATAAGAGAATTTACAAGAGGCCATAAATCAGTGGATGAGATTATACAAAATGTAAAATATACAAATTTTAAGGGATATGTATCTAGACAATATTGGAAATTATGGGCTTTCAGACCAACATAATTAGGAAATGGTGATCGAAAATCGACCTGTCATTTATTTTTGTCCCCAACTGTATACATTATTTCTAATTGTGCTTTGTTTATCTTATTCAAGTGTTATATGCAATTATAAAACCAACATGAAGAAAAACTTACAGCATTTAGCAGACACACAGACTTATGGTCGGTTCTCTATTAGATCCTATTAGGAGTGCCTTCAGTGTCGACATTTGGTTCTCTAGTGTTCCTACTAGGAGGTGCTAAAGTGCTGACAATTTATTTGTCGGTCTAGCGTGTCCACACAGCGAAGTCTCCCGTACCCAAAATTGTCGGTACTCTAGCCTTTACAAATAATTTATGCTTAAGGACAGGGTGCATGTTCGGAATTTTGCTGCATTTCTCAATTGTCGTATTTGAATACATTTGTTTGTTTCAAAACTGAGTCCGCAAAAGAAGCAAAATGTATAATCTAGACACAGAAAAAAAATTGCAATCCGAAGCGGGATTCGAACTCGGTACTACATGTATGTGCATAGCAGCCAGCGACGCTAACCACAACACTAACAGTGAATCTTGCGAACAACAGTGAAAGTAGTGGATTTATTTTTGAAAATGTCAGTCCTCTATCTTGCCCTACTTGGAGACGATAGAGTGACAACAATTGTCGGTACCCAAGCAAATACTCGGTACGGAGACAGTCTGTAAATTATTATCTCAAAGGAGAAAATAAACAATAAGAACAATACAAATCATATGTAAATAGTTCTCTGTGTTCATGACCTCTTGACCCTTGGAATGTGGGATCGTCCTGCAAGTTCTTACTTGCACATTCAATACTCCCACATTCATGCAGGGGGTACTCTATTATCACCCACTATTTTTCAAGAAAAGCACTTCTGCATCGTTAACAACACCTACTTGACTTTTCTAAGATTTAAATTTTAGAGGATATCTCTGATACATATATCATAAAATTTAAGCTAACCTTTGAAGTTGATATTCTCTTAAATCCCTAATTTTTTCGAGAAAATCGACGTTGTCCATTTTCTTCGTTTTTGAATCTGAGTATTTCGTTCGGTGCGTTCAAACCAGAACGAGATTAGATAAAACGCGAGAAATGTAGTCCAGAGGGAAGCAGGTTTGTTCTCTTATTATCCTAAATAATAGGCGTTTTTGTGTTATTATTTTATGTAAGATTAGTACTTTGATATCGAGAAAATCGTACAATCGTAATAATCAATTTGGATTGCCCTATTTGTTGCGTTTATTTTGCATCAATTTAGCGTGATGAAATATATTGAATATTTGTTTTTTAGAAAATGGCCGCCCAGGGACAAAATCCCTCATCAATGGTATGATATACTCTACCTTTAGTAATATAATAGACAATATTATACTAAATGTAGAGTATACCATTGATAGTGCTGACTGTGGCCAGGGACCACAGTGACCACTATCAATCTTCACTACAGTCTGTTACACTGCTTCAAAGGCAAGCAGTTAAACCTGAAATATAAGAAATCTAAATAACATTGTGCAATAATATATAGAAAAATATATTCATATTGCACACTAATGACATTTGTATATGTTGGATTGCTTGTAAATTGGCTCATAAACTCTGTAACCTCTTATATTTTGATGCTTCTCTACCATGTTAATTCTCAAAAAAATAACATGGCGGACAGACCTCAAATTACAAGAGGGCACAGGCTTATTGCACTAAACACTGAATAATCTGAAATATACAAATGTCATTCGTGTGCAATATGAATATATTTTTCTATATATTATGGCACAATGGTCTATAGATTTCTTAATTTTCAGGTTCAACTGCTTGCCTTTGAAGCAGTGTAACAGACTGTATTCAAAAAGTGCGTTTACTCTTTTGACTTCCGGTTTGGTCATAATCACTGTGTTCATGTGTTGGTGTATATTTCATCTTATTTTTTAACTTCAGTTGAGTCTCAATACTCTAAGCATTATTTTGATACTTAAAAAATCGTCAAAATCACTTGAAAATTGCAGATATTGAGCTTGAAGCGCAAATTTCTTACTTTTTTTGGGCCAAAACTCTGCTCATGGACATGTTATTTCAAAGAGTACTAGTAAATGGAGAAGCGTCAGAATGGGCCCCTGTTGTATCAGGTATCCCTCAAGGGACCTGCCTTGGGCCATCCCTATTTTCTATCTTCATAAATGACCTCCCAGATGCTACAAAGAACAAAATACTAATGTATGCAGCATAGGCCAAGGGAAAAGTAATACTAAGCTGTATATAGAAGAGACAGGTCCACAAGTAAGATTGAAAATTATTCAAATTTTTTTAGTCTTGGCACTAGTTCTCCTTACTGGTATCAAATTGTATTCCCAAATTTCTCCAAAATCTTCTTCAAAGTGTTTTTCAAACTTATATCATTGTTTTTTTCAAATCTTTATCTAAAAACTGCATATTATACTGCATATAAAACAACAACTATGGAAACCTACAATTGCCTGGCAAGCTGAAACTGATTGTCACTGTTGGAGGTCAGGGAGGTCAGCAGTGACCAATCAGATCACTTGTTTACTAATGAACTTGCCAGGCAATTGTAGGTTTTCAGAAATTCTCTCTTTTAGTCAGCATTATTCACTCTATATCATCTGACTGAGTTTCAATCTTAGGTAAGAGCTACAAACTATCAATTTTCTATCAACTCCCCATGGCTTTTTGAAAATAATACACTAAATATTGTTGAAATCTCCATCTTAACAAGTGGTCTAAGTCAGAGTTGTTCACCTGTCTCTTCTATATACGGCTTACTATTACTTTACCCTTGGCCTATGGTATGCAGATGATGCTAAACTGTATGGTTGTGTACAAAACCAGGAAGACAAAAAACAATTACAATCGGACTTAGATAAAATGACAAAATGGTCAAAAGATTGGCAACTCCCCTTTAATACTGACAAGTGTAAAGTAATGCACTTAGGAAACAAAAATGATAATCAGGAGTATACCATGGACAATAAAACCCTACAACAGACAGTGTTAGAAAAAGATCTTGGAATCAACATAGACAATCAACTTAAGTTTCATAAACATATCGACATACAAGTAGCCAAGGCAAACAGCATCCTCGGATTAATAAAAAGGACATTTTCTCATCTGGACAAAACCACCCTACCACTTCTCTACAAATCCCTCGTTAGACCCCACCTTGAGTATGGAAATAGTATATGGAGTCCTTATACAAATATAGACATCATTAAAATTGAAAAAGTACAAAGAAGAGCCACCAAGTTAGTACCAACCTTAAAAGACTTAAGCTACTATGATAGGATGAAACAACTAAAACTCCCCTCCCTCCAATATAGAAGAACTAGAGGTGACCTAATACAAGTATTCAAGATAGTGAATGGTTATGACAGAATCAAACTCATGGACATTGCACAAAAATCAGAAAATAAGATGACGAGAGGGAATACAGAAAAATTAAGCCATAGATATAGCAGACTCGATGTAAGAAAAAATGTATTTGGAAATAGAATCGTCAACACATGGAACAATCTTCCCCAATCTGTAATAGACACCACAGATATAAATCAATTCAAGAATGGAATTGACAAGCACTTGATGAGACAGAAATTCCTTCACCACAACTAACCCATGTCCAGTGAGCAATTAAACAACGCCCCCCTTAACATGATATGAAAATAATACATAAAAAGATCTGGATTATACAGGACTATCCTTCTTCCAGAATTATAGATATTATGAGGTTATATAATGGTTCTTTCTGTATATCGTGTTTATACTCGAGTGAGTATATGATATATTCACAAGTGAGCGTAGCGAACGAGTGAATATATTATATCCTCACGAGAGTATAAAATGCACGATATACAGAATGAACCATTATATAATCTTATTATGCCACTCTAAGTTCAAGTACAGTTGATTCGAACACAATCATAACAATTAAAAACCATAAAAATATCCCATAGCCAACTCAATAATGCTGATGTTGATCTCGAACCATTTATGACGTGGCTTGATTCTAGCAAATCATGCCGGAACCATTTATGACGTCACTTGATTCTAGGAAATCATGAAAATTTTCATGATTTTTTTATTCATTAGTTCCCAGAATGCACTTCTACAGTGGTATACGCTGGAGTGTATACGGAGGAGTTGTATACGATGACGATATACCACTCTCCACTGTATATCGTTGTTATAGACCCATGTTATACAACTGTAATTGGACTTAGAGTGGTATAAAGATATATAGATGACCTCATATCTCCTTATCATATCATATCAATATTTATTTCAAGTCAGATATTTTTGTACAATAAACATTAGCGCAAGCGCTATTGACCGACATTTAGTCAAAGAAATCTTTAAAATAAAATTTTAAAACATGTAACAGTGTTAACAAGATAAATACTAAAATATCATTGCTAAAATACATTTACATAGTGGCACAGAGAATCTGAAAGGTTTACATTTTACATTTACATAAATCATTTGCAGTTTTCACAGGTCCATGATTTAATTAGTTTTTTTGAACTCTGTTAGAGATATACAATTTCTGAGATCATTGGGTAGATTGTTCCATATAAAGCATGCATCAACTCTAAAAGAGTGTCTGCCATGTGTTACAGTATTGAAAGAACGAACATTTAGAGTATTTTTGTGACGTAAATTGTAACTAGATGTACGCTCCTGTAGTATGTCGTTAAGGTAACTAGGAGACTGATTATGTATGATTCTAAAATTTCTATTGCTATCTGCCTTTGTCTACCTAGAGTTAAGGTGGGCAGGCCTGACTTGTCTAAAAGAGTATCATAATCAGACTCCTAGTCCTTGTAAACAAATCGGAGACATCTTTCTTGGAGCTTTTCCAATTTAAGAGCATTCGTCTTGCCGCATTGGTGCCATACTATCGGGCAATAATTAAAGTGTGACAAGACAAAGGCCTTAAATATTGTCATACGACTTTTCATGTCTAATAAATTTGAGAGTCGCTTAAGGGCATTGATTTGACGTGCTGCCTTAATGCATAATTCTTTAATATGATCGTTAAAAGTGAGCTTGTTATCAAGGGCTACTCCAAGGACCTTCACAGATTGCTCTGTATGAATTGAAGAATTGCCAAAAGTTAGAGTATCTGGGAGGAAATTGGAGTTAATCCTTGAATGTTGTAACACCATAGCCTGAAATTTATCAGGGTTTGCCAGCATTTTATTTTGATTAAACCAGTTTATGGCAAGAGAAGACTGTGATTCCAGGTCTTGAAGAACTGATTGTTTGTTTTCACCAATCACAGAGATTGTGTTATCATCGACATAGTTATATAAATTACAGTTCTTCAAGGCTAGAAATATGTCATTTATAAAGATATTGAAGAGACAGGGACCAAGAATACTTCCCTGAGGGATGCCTTTCAATATGGTTTGCCATGAGCTAGTTGAATTTGAAATTTTTACTCTCTGTGGCCTGTCAGAGAGGTAACTTTTCAAGAGAGAAGTAGCTGAGTCGCTAACTCCATAGGCGGTGAGTTTGGCTATCAAAATATCATGCGGTAAACAGTCAAACGCTTTTGACAGGTCCATTAACACCGTACCTACCACTTTGTTATTATCAAGGGAAAGCTTCCAGTCTTCGACTAATTTTAGTAACACAGACTGGCAGCTAAACCCCTTCCTGAAAGCACCAAGTAATGGCGATAAAATATTATCAAAATAACAGGTAAGTTGATCAAAAATAATACCAGGGTTCGAACTTAACTTTTTAGACTGGTAGTGAAAATAGTTACCTGACATTTTTTCTAGGTAACTAAATTCCAAAGTAAGGTAGTTTTTTTTACCGGTTGAAAAAATTTCGATAGACACAGTTTTCCTTGACACTAAAAACAAATTTATCGACCTGTTGATCTCAAGTTTATTATAGTTTACAAAATAAACCCTCCCCCTTTAATATGACATTGAAATAAGATATAAAAAGAACTGGATCATACAGAACTACGAACTATCCTTCTTTCCAGAATGATAGATATAGATATATTTGCCTCAAAAAATAGTATTTTTCTGACTCAAAAGTAAATAGAATTAGCTTTAAAAGACCTTAGAAAAATGTTTCAAGTCAATCAA